TCTCGGAGCGACCTCTCTTTGCCACAGGTTCCATTGTAAATTTGCTCTTTCCTACGACTACTACAACAACACTGACTTTGGCTGTATCAAACCGACAAGCCCAAACCCTGTTTTGAGCCCATTTGAATCAAATCGAAGTGGTCACGTGACTGTGCGCAGGAACGAAGCTTAGGACGTCACTGATCACGTGATCAGCAGCGAACGAACCGAGCATCGATACATTTGCTTCGCCTTGCACTGGTTCATATTTCGACACAAGCTTCGAAGCAGGAGGGTCGGGGGTAACAACGCTACCATTGTCCAGTCGTGACAGAACGAACTGGCCAGCATGAACCCAGCCGACTCAAACCAATTGAAGGCAGCCCTTTGCTCCCAAGGCACCCGTCTTAATCAGCAGGAGGATCAGGTGTCCGCCCTGCAACGTGGAGTGAAGGAGCTGGCAAGCGGCTAAGAGAGTTTCAAGTCCGCCATGACTTCCCAGGTGAATCTTCTGTCAAATCAGATTCATCAGATGCTTGCTCATCTAACTCAAGCACCCACAACCACGACAGCTCCAGCAGCTGCCGAAACACCACCGGTTCCAGCTCCCCACGGCCAGACTCCTCGCCTGGCCCCACTCGAGAAGTTCTCCGGTGAGCCTGGGGAATGCAAGGCCTTCATAGTGAACTGTGAGATGCACTATGCACAATTGCTATCAGCCTTCCCCACAGAAGTCCAAGATGGCTTTCATGATTTCTCATCTCACGGGGAGAGCGAATAGCGGATAGCGGATGGAATGCCACGGCATTGTACGATGCCTTCATCTCAGGACTCGCTGACCCCATACAAGACTCGTTGGTGCCCCTTGAATTGCACGAGGATGTCAACGCCGTAATCGCATTGGCGGTTAGGACAGAACATTGCTCAAAAACGCGAAGATGGGACACATCACGCTGTACAGTCCCTCAGGATCGCGCCAAAGGTCACCCTCCAACTGAATGGAGGGCTTTCCCTCGCCTGTCGCCACCAGCCCTGCGGAGGACTGCCTCCTCGAGCGATCCAGAGGAACCCATGCAGCTGGGACAGGCTTGGTTGTCCGCGGAAGAACGACGCCGTCGCCTGCAGGAGGGGAGGTGTTTTTACTGCGGGGAACAAGGGCACCTACTGGCAGGATGTCCGGCAAAAGCAAAGACCCACCAGGTGAAGAGTTCCCTGGTGAGCCGCCTCTCATCGGGCAGTGCCCCCGCTCCCTGACCAAGATCCAGGTAAACCACCATGACTCCAGTCTCCATGGGAGTGCTGGTCGACTCGGGGGCTGATGAGAGTCTCATGGACTGGGGTTTTGCCAACCAGATGGGTATTAAGACTGTACGTTTGACTCAGCCATTGAAAGCCAGGGCCTTAGATTGCGGCTTTATATTTGACGTAACTCATGTGACTGAGCCTGTGGGGGGATTATACATTGGGGAGGGACTGGGGTAGGTCCCGGCAGGGTTCCTAGCAAGTTGGAGTCCTTGCTGACCTTGATTCGGCTCAAGCCCCTGGCCAGACAGACTCAAAGATCGACCTGCCTGAAATTACCATAATTCCAAATTACTATACAATCTCAAGGAAGTGTTCAGTAAGAGTAGCCACTTCCCTACTGCCTCACCGTCCTTACGACTGCCCCATTGACCTTATCCCAGGGGCACCGATTCCAAAGGGGAGACTTTACTCTATTTCCAGAGAAAGCAGCCGTGACCAAGTAGATTGAGGCTTCCCTGAAAACAGGACTCATACGCCCCTCATCATCTCCAGCAGGAGCAGGGTTCTTTTTGTGTGGAAAAAAGATGGTTCCCCGAGACTCTGTATAGACTATGGCCCTTTACATTACCAGACATTACCTGACATTACCATTAAGAATCAATACCCTCTGCCCCTCATGTCATCAGCCTTTGAACAGCTACAACAAGCAAAGATTTTCACCAAGTTAGACCTGCGGAACGCTTATCACCTGGTCCGCATTAGAGAGGGCGACGAGTGGAAGACCGGCTTTAACGCGCCTTCTGGTCATTACGAGTACCTGGTGATGCCATTCGGCCTAACCAACGCTCCGGCGGTGTTCCAGGCATTGATAAATGACGTGCTTAGAGAGTTTCTTAACCAGTGTGTTTGTTTACCTGGATGATATTTTGATTTTCTCCACGGTCAAGGACTCACCATGTCCGCCGAGTTCTCCAGCGCCTGCTGGAGAACCAGCTTTATGTTACGGCAGAAAAGAGTGAATTTCATGCCAATGTTGTCTTTCCTGGGCTTCGTCATAGCCCCTGGAAAGATACAAATGGACCCAGCTAAAGTCAGCGCTGTGGCTCAGTGGCTTACACCTGATAACCGCAAGAAGGCTCAGCAATTCCTGGGTTTTGCTAACTTCTACAGGCGGTTTATCAGAAACTTCAGCGCCGTAGCAGCCCCCGTCCATGCTCTCACCTCTCCCCAAGCCCCATTCCTGTGGTCCACCCCAAGCTGAGGAGGCCTTCACCCAGCTCAAGGAGAGGTTTACCACGGCCCCCATTCTCACAGTCCCAGACCCAGCCGACAGTTTGTGGTGGAGGTGGATGCCTCTAACGACGGCGTGGGGGCGGTCCTGTCTCAGCGTTCTGCAAAGGACAACAAACTACACCCATGTGCCTTCCTGTCCAGGAAACTTCCAGCAGCGGAGCGCAACTATGACGTTGGTAACCGTGAGTTGCTCGCTGTAAAGTTGGCACTAGAGGAGTGGAGGCATTGGTTAGAGGGGGCTCAACACCCGTTTATTGTATGGACTGACCACAAGAACCTGGAGTATATCCGCACGGCTAAAAGTTTGAATTTTTGCCCAGCCAGATGGACTCTGTTTTTTACTGACTTTGTTTTGTCCTACAGGCCGGGGTCGCAGAACACCAAGCCAGACACCCTGTCCCGTCTGTTTGACCCCGAGCCCACTGCCAAGAAACCTGAGCCAATCCGTCCACTGCACCGTGTGGTAGGAGCGGTAACGGGGCAGAGGTGAAGCGTGCTAATGGTGAGAACCCTACACCCAGCGGTTGTCCAGTCAATCGTCTGTTTGATCCGGTTGCTATGCGACTCCACGACTCCACTCCGCGACTGCCACTCCACGTCCCCTCCCGGAAATTGGCTCCCAGGTTCGTGGGCCCATTTCCTGTGTAAAAAGTAATTAACCCTGTCTCTGTCCGACTGCGTCTTCCCAGGTCCCTGAGGGTGCACCCCACTTTTCATGTGTGGAAGATCAAACCGGTTAAGGAGAGCCCCATGGTGCCTGCAGCCGCACCCCCTCCACTTCCCCGCATGGTTGATGGGGGCCCGGTCTACCCAGTGAAGCGACTCTTGGCCGTACGCAAACGGGGAAGGGGACGCCAATATTTGGTGGACTGGAAGGGCTATGGGCCAGAGCACCGTTCCTGGGTTCGTTCCAGCTTCATCATGGACCCGGTTCTCATCAGGGACTTCAACAACCGCGGAAATCCGTCAGGAGCCGTTCCTAAAGTGGGGGGGGGGGTCTTGTCTCATATCAGGTAAACAGGATATGTGTGCATCGTCTACTTTTCAAGCTTGTCTTATGTTTTGTGAATAGTGTTTTTTGCTCGACCACAAGCGATTTTTAGTTCAGTGACACATGCCTATTTGTTAATAAACTTTTGATTTCTTTTGAACTTTGCCCACGAGCATTTGGCTTCAGGGCCATTGTCCAGTCGTGACAAAATGTCCATTCACTTATTCTAAAGCTATCCCGTGACTTGTGTTGCGCGCCCCCCCGCAGACGGCTGTCGTGTGTTACATGCTGCCCCCCTGTGGTCATGGCTGCGTGTTGCATGTAGAACGTATTCAGTTGCAAGAGAACACATTCAGGTTTAATGACTTTGCTGCGATTAGTTTGTGTCATCAGTTTGCGTGTGTGTGCTCAAAAAAACAACAACCATGGAAATCCTTCAGTGAGAAGAGGGATCTACAGCGGCAGATGATGCACTATACGCAGCACCCTGAGCTCTGGTTAGATTAGGCAAAAGCAAAGACGGTTATTATTATTATTATTACATTGCAGCCTCTGCCCCTCCCACATCCTGTCCTGTGTGAAAATATCGATCCACACTCACATGGCTGACATTAAGGTTAGTAGATATGTCTAAATGTTGCACTGTCGTGTACTTTTATCTCTCGATCACTCCGCTCTGCAGCCGCCACCACTCATGCAGAATGGTCAGTTTGCATGTACATGTATCCTCCGCGAGCGCCTCTAGACGCACGCTGCCGGATGCGTTCAAAGGCAGTCGAGGCACTTTGCGGAGTAATTGTTGCTGCGCAAAGTGGATGTGGTTATAGGGGGGGTTGGATGGTATTGGTTGAGGCACCGCATGTTTTCCGCCAAAGCGAAACTGAATTGAGCCGCAGCGGGAGCCCATCGACATCAACCGAGACACACCCGACGAAAAAAAAGGATAAAAAAGGTCAGAAAGTCTCAATATTGATGAGCTTATAACATGTAACAATAATAACAATGTTATTACACACACATTTGGTCTCACATCGGCGAGCGAGGTTGGTTTATTTTTGCTGCAATTCATTATTTTACTGTAACGGTAATTCACTTATAGTCACTAACCTAATTGTGGTTTAAAATGGGGACAGAGCAGCTTTTAATAACATTAGAGGGAACAAAGATGCTCTGGGTGTGTCGCAACTCTTGCTCGCTTGTTTAACCACTTTAACCATCGCTCTGCTCTTCGAAATCACGCTCGACAAAGCATCGAAATCACGGCAATTTGCGACGTAATGTTTTCAGTGGCGCGAATGTTGCGGTTAATTTGTCACCAAATGACGTCATCACCTGTTTGTCGGATGCTGCAGGCGTTCGGCGCTCAACACTGCAGGAGCACTAAGGAGGAGGGAGGAGGAAGGAGGAGGGGCTTGTGCGCGCCGAGGAGCATGTCTGGGCGAAAAACTACCACAATAACTCAAATAAATGCCCCGTCGGGTATCAAAACACATTTGGGGGGAATTGATGACAGAGAGAGTCATTGTATTCCTAAATATTGATGAATAAAGAAACAATTAGGCTGCAGCAGAAGCGGCACTTTTCTTATCCAGGGCAAAGGGGCAGGTGCTTGAGCACCACGAGGGGTCTACCTGTGCACCTTCATGCTGGTAGTAGAAGACGCTGCTCGTGCGCAGGTAGACCAGCGCGTGACCCCGGAGCCGCTCCGCGCGGTCTATACGGTCCAGTTGATGACGACGTTGAAGAGGAGCAGCACCGAGAAGGACGCGGTGGAAACGTGAAAAGCGCGCGCGGGTGAGCTCGTGCTTTTGTTCCCAGACGTTATTCCCCAAACTTGCGCTACGTTCCGTCCGCAGGACGATGAAGATGGTATGAGTCTGTCCTCCCTGTCTTCTCTCAGTGCTGTCTCACTGGAGACTGACCCCATGCGATCAACCGCACTCTCACTCACACACTCTCCATCCGCACGCACACACAAGCTGATAAATATTTATTCCCCCTCCTCATTTAGTCCTTTGGCCGACGAGGCCTGCAGTTAATGCTCCATCAACACTGCATTCATAGTGAATCTCACTCACAGTTGTATTTAAAGTGTCCATTCACTATACTAAAGTTACCCCGTGACCCCCCGCAGACGGCTGTCGTGTGTTGCATGATGCTGCCCCCCTGTGGTCGCGGCTGCGTGTTGCATGTAGAACGAGAGAACGCCCTCAGGTTAAATCCCTTCGAAACCGGCAGCAGAGGGAGACGTCAGTTGGGTTTGTGTGTGTGTTTTTTTTATTTTTTAGGTTAGTCCAAAGTATTTGCCGTCTCGAACCCACCGCTCGCGTGGGTGGAGGGTGTGTGTGTGGGGGGGGGGGAAACAGAAACTAACTTGTGTGGAGGCCACCGACACACATCCAACCGAGACACACCCGACGACAAAGGGATAAAAAGGTCAGAGAAAGTATTTTATTTTAGCGTCAATATAGCTCGCTATATTATAACAGTGTAGTAGCAGTGTAATAGATACATCTGCGTGCGACATTGGTTTATTTTACTGTAATTCACTATTTTACTGTAATGGTAATTCACTTATAGTCACTAACCTAATTATGGTTCAAATGTAATAACATTGAGAGAGAGCACAAGATGCTCTGGTGTCTCTTAAGTCTATCTCGCTTGTTTAACATCATTAACCTTCGCTCTGCGTTCCGGTGAAAGAGGAAGCTAAACTGATACTTTTTAAAACGATACCGGTGCTAAACCGATACTTTTTAAAACGATACCGGTGCCTAAACAGTGGCTGGACTGATACTTTTTAAAAAAAAAAGGACAAAACAACAATTGACACATTAAAGAAAGTTTTTTTTTTTAATTGAACAATATACTAACTTTTTTTTTTAATTTACATTTACAGTATTGTTCAAACTACAGCTTCAAACTAGTGAGGTTCCAGTGGTCCCTAATGCGATCATTTTATATAATCCACCGTGTTTTATTTGACTGTTACTATTGCCACAACTCTAACTCACTTGTTTATGTCAGGGTGGGTGGAAGGCAGGACTCAAACGCAGAGTTTAGTAGAAAACAAAAAGGGACTTTAAGAGTTAAAACGGTCTTCAAAATCAAAACTCCAAAAAGGCAAAAACATAGGCATGAAACAAGAGACGGGAACAAGGACATGGGACATGAGACATGGGCTTCTGACATCCACCAACATGGAACCGCTAACATGGAACAATGACGCGACAAGTGACAACAGACACACATGGTTTAAATACACTAGGGAGGTGCAGGTGATTGGAAACAGCTGGAAACAATCATGACAATCACAGGGGATGACAGGACAAGGCAGGAAGTGAAGTTACCCAGGGAGACAAGAAGCAGAAACTACAAAATAAGACAGGAAATAAAACCACACCGTGACAGTTTAACCACTTCAACCATCCCTGTGTTCTGGTGAAGGAGGAAATGTACCAATTGTGTCCCAACCAGTGAGGTTTTGGTTGTTTTATGTGATGTAATGCACCGTGTTTTACCTGACTGCTGTTTTCGCCACATATAACATTACATTTTGATTTTAACAAAGCAACAGGTGACTTCACATCACCCTCTGCACCTCCCACCTTCCCTACTTTCTGTTGGCTGGTTCTACCTTATTTTTAACTTTTTATTTATATTTTTATAACATTTATTTTTATTTTTAATGTCGTCTCATCTGTCTTGTTGTCCAACGTCTTGTCTGGTGTTATGTACCAACCGCCAAGTCAAATTCCTTGTATGTGACTTTGGTAATAAATGTTCCTGATTCCTGAACAGTGTAATCGTTTAATTACACTTAATTTTTGTGTTTAAATATTAATGGTACAAGGGCACTGTGGTATCAGTGGATAAAATACATTTTTGAAATTACCGTATGTCCTGCATTCAAAATATCCAGTATTTTGAGTCACATCAGCACCTTGTGGCAGGAACACTATAATTTTCTGTCGGCTTTCCAGTCTTTCCAGTCTCCAGACATGGCCGTCCAGCAGCAGCCGACCCAGGTGGTGACCGTGGTGACCACCAGCCAAGGCCCTGGCACGTGGAGCACCGGCGTCTGCGACTGCTGCAGCGACATGGGCACCTGTAAGTCAAACCCGCCAGTGGATCTCCGTGATGACAATGTCTGACATTTGTCACAACAGGATGCTGTGGTCACCTGTCTGCATTGGACTTGTTGAATAGAAATATTGCCAGCAGACTGTGGAAAGTAACGGCCTTGTCACGTGCAACTTTAATTGGTGTTCAAGTCGAAACAACTTCCCACCAGGGAGCAGAATGTCTGACGTGGACAAAGACCACTGCCGCTAGAAACTTCATACATACATCATGAGCCGCAGATGATGTATATTCATCACAGGATGAGTAGTATTTTCCTGTTCCCGTAAACCATAAGTGTAAAAGTTTCCTTTTTTAACACAGTTAACAGTTGGGTCACAGAGGGCAGGTGGAGGGTTGAGTTACTGACACATCCGGTTTCCAGCTGGAGTAAAACGACTTCAGCACACCATTTTCACAACTGTGCCCTAAGAGGACACACAAAACAAGAGTGAGATGTATCTGATCACTCTTCTCTCTTTGCCCTGCAGGTTGCTGCGGTCTTTGGTGCTTCCCCTGCATGCAGTGCCAGACGGCCGGAGACCACGGCTGGTGCTGCGCTATGCCGCTGTTGGACGTCTGCTGCGTGGTGTCCTGCCTGCTCCGCTCCTCCATCAGAGAGCGCCACAACATCCCCGTAAGGCCCGAGGCAACCATGAAGTGCTAGCAGCACGTAGCGAGGCTTAGCAAAGAGTCAGTTGAAGAACTAGTTTTCCCACAACAAAACATTTTTTTTTTTCCTGTAGAGAAATGATGAGAAGGACACAATGCAGCGTTTATGGGAATCTACGGGTGTGGTGCAGATTGCAATCAGCCGAATATCCCCTTTCATGACCTGATTCTCCTTGATATATTTAGAGTTGTGAACTGTGCGCATTGTTTACAATGGCCGCTTTGTGTCAAGCTTTTATCAGGGAGCAGGATAGGCTAAGTAATCCTATAGCGCGTGTCCCTGTTATAGCAAAGTGGACCGGCACTAAGCACACCGCTGGGATCTACTGTGCAGGGAATTCACATTCCAATGGAGGCTCATTGAAAACAAACCGTATCAAGGGAAGACACAAGGGAAGTCTACTAGGGGAAGTGACTCCTCATGAAGGGTACATCTTATCTAGTATCTACTTATCTTATCGAGTAAAAGCGAGGAATGGAGGGGTTGTAACCTACGTTGAACTGTCCATACCCTCATTTAGTTGCTAGTTGAAGCAAAGCAGAAATCCTTAAAGCTCATCTATTGATTAGAGCGTGTAAAGTAAGAAAGAACAATAACATAAATACAGTTATAGTAATATTCACAAGAGTATAACAACGTTCATTGTGCCCTCCCCCCTCTTCCTGGCGCAGGGCTCCTGCTGTGACGACTGCTGCAAGTTGTTGTGGTGCTACCCGTGTGTCTGGTGCCAGATGAATCGTGAGCTGAAGATCCGGCGCAAACACTGAGAGACCTACACCTCGATCACCACTCGAGGATAGGACGCCGCGGCGGAGGGCATGACACACGATTCACGTGTAACCCATCGAATCTTTTTTCTTAATGTTCTTATGCAGGGTTCACACGGCCATGGAAAACCTGTAAAAGTCATGGAAAAAAATAAAATCCCAAAAGTTTTGGAAAAGTCATGGAAATTTGTTGTGGTCATCTGTTCATGTTGTTCATTTAAGATGAGTTTGAAATAATTCAAATGCTTTTAAAAGAGATACGCTCAAAATATAAGCAGGCCCACACTCTTATACTCGCAGAAGGACACAATGCAGCGTTTATGGGAATCTACGGGTGCGGTGCAGATTGCAATCAGCTGAATATTCCCTTTCATGACCTGATTCTCCTATGACTTATATATACGCAATATAATTTAAAATAGCGGCAAGTGCTTCCTACTGCATGTGCAGTTCATGGCAGTCATAGGGACTTATGTGAATTGTTTGAATGTGGGAAGTGATTTACAGAGGAAAGGTCAGTGGGGCAGTGATTGTGCTTTTGGACAGGTTTCTTAGGACAGGATATTGAGGTGCTTGTGGACACAATGGGATGGGGCATGAAATAATTATAGATTTTTATTGAGAAACACAATTTTCTTCACAGTATTGGTGTTGGGTCGGTTTCTTAGATACTGTTTCCCCAGCTTTAAAAAAAAACGCGCTCACACAGCACTCATAAGATTACGTGCTAATACAAATAGATGTGGGTACACATGTTTGTGTTTGACCCAATATTTTAGCGGGTCTTCACTCGAATGTTTGGTTGAGCCAAATATTGGGTGGTCTCCACAATAAAAATAAACATCATAATTACACAATACAAATGACAGACTTTGCCTGCTTATTACAAACCGTGTTAGAGGAAATCAAATTGAAGTGCTCCCACATCTCGGAGCGACCTCTCTTTGCCACAGGTTCCATTGTAAATTTGCTCTTTCCTACGACTACTACAACAACACTGACTTTGGCTGTATCAAACCGCTAAGAGAGTTTCAAGTCCGCCATGACTTCCCAGGTGAATCTTCTGTCAAATCAGATTCATCAGATGCTTGCTCATCTAACTCAAGCACCCACAACCACGACAGCTCCAGCAGCTGCCGAAACACCACCGGTTCCAGCTCCCCACGGCCAGACTCCTCGCCTGGCCCCACTCGGGAAGTTCTCCGGTGAGCCTGGGGAATGCAAGGCCTTCATAGCGAACTGTGAGATGCACTATGCACAATTGCTATCAGCCTTCCCCACAGAAGTCCAAGGTGGCTTTCATGATTTCTCATCTCACGGGGAGAGCGATGGTATGGGCAACTACGGAATGGTCCAGAGCCTCACCAATTTGCCAATGCCATGAGCAATTCACCGACACCTTGAGGAAGGTGTTCGACCCCACAACATCAGGCAGAGAAACCGCCCGGAAGCTGAACAGCATCAGACAAGGCAGGGAATCTCTCTCTCTGATTATGCCATCTGCTTCCGCACACTATCCGCGGATAGCGGATGGAATGCCACGGCATTGTACGATGCCTTCATCTCAGGACTTGCTGACCCCATACAAGACTCTTTGGTGCCCCTTGAATTGCATGAGGATCTCGACGCCGTAATCGCATTGGCGGTTAGGACAGAACATTGCTTAAAATCGCGAAGATGGTACACATCACGCTGTACAGTCCCTCAGGATCGCGCCAAAGGTCACCCTCCAACTGAATGGAGGGCTTTCCCTCGCCTGTCGCCACCAGCCCTGCGGAGGACTGCCTCCTCGAGCGATCCAGAGGAACCCATGCAGCTGGGACTGGCTTGGTTGTCCGCGGAAGAACGACGCCGTCGCCTGCAGGAGGGGAGGTGTTTTTACTGCGGGGAACAAGGGAACCTACTGGCAGGATGTCCGGCAAAAGCAAAGATGGTGAAGAGTTCCCTGGTGAGCCGCCTCTCATCGGGCAGTGCCCCCCGCTCCCTGACCAAGATCCAGGTAAGCCACCATGACTCCAGTCTCCATGGGAGTGCTGGTCGACTCGGGGGCTGATGAGAGTCTCATGGACTGGGGTTTTGCCAACCAGATGGGTATTAAGACTGTACGTTTGACTCAGCCATTGAAAGCCAGTGCCTTAGATTGCAGCTTTATATTTGACGTAACTCATGTGACTGAGCCTGTGTCCATTTGCATCGGGGATCACCATGAACTAATGACCTTTCACCTGTTCCACTCGGCCCAACACTCCCTGATCCTGGGGTTTCCTTGTCTCAAAAAACACAACCCCCATATTGACTGGCGCGCAGGGGGGATTATACATTGGGGAGGGACTGGGGTAGGTCCCGGCAGGGTTCCTAGCAAGTTGGAGTCCTTGCTGACCTTGATTCGGCTCAAGCCCCTGGCCAGATAGACTCAAAGATCGACCTGCCTGAAATGACCTTAATTCCAAATTACTATACGATCTCAAGGAAGTGTTCAGTAAGAGTAGCCACTTCCCTACTGCCTCACCGTCCTTACGTCTGCCCCATTGACCTTATCCCAGGGGCACCGATTCCAAAGGGGAGACTTTACTCTATTTCCAGAGAAAGCAGCCGTGACCGAGTCGATTGAGGCTTCCCTGAAAACAGGACTCATACGCCCCTCATCATCTCCAGCAGGAGCAGGGTTCATTTTGTGTGGAAAAAAGATGGTTCCCCGAGACTGTATGCATGGCCCTTTACATTACCAGACATTACCTGACATTACCATTAAGAATCAATACCCTCTGCCCCTCATGTCATCAGCCTTTGAACAGCTACAACAAGCAAAGATTTTCACCAAGTTAGACCTGCGGAACGCTTATCACCTGGTCCGCATTAGAGAGGGCGACGAGTGAAAGACTGGCTTTAACGCGCCTTCTGGTCATTACGAGTACCTGGTGATGCCATTCGGCCTAACCAACACTCCGGCGGTGTTCCAGGCATTGATAAATGACGTTCTTAGAGAGTTTCTTAACCAGTGTGTTTGTTTACCTGGATGATATTTTGATTTTCTCCCCGGACAAGGACTAGCTTTATGTTACGGCAGAAAAGAGTGAATTTCATGCCAATGTTGTCTTTCCTGGGCTTCGTCATAGCCCCTGGAAAGATACAAATGGACCCAGCTAAAGTCAGCGCTGTGGCTCAGTGGCTTACACCTGATAACCGCAAGAAGGTTCAGCAATTCCTGTGTTTTGCTAACTTCTACAGGCGGTTTATCAGAAACTTCAGCGCCGTCGCAGCCCCCCTCCATGCTCTCACCTCTCCCCAAGCCCCATTCCTGTGGTCCACCCCAAGCTGAGGAGGCCTTCACCCAGCTCAAGGAGAGGTTTACCACGGCCCCCATTATCACAGTCCCAGACCCCAGCCGACAGTTTGTGGTGGAAGTGGATGCCTCTAACGACGGCGTGGGGGCGGTCCTGTCTCAGCGTTCTGCAAAGGACAACAAACTACACCCATGTGCCTTCCTGTCCAGGAAACTTCCAGCAGCGGAGCGGAACTATGACGTTGGTAACCGTGAGTTGCTCGCTGTAAAGTTGGCACTAGAGGAGTGGAGGCATTGGTTAGAGGGGGCTCAACACCCGTTTATTGTATGAACTGACCACAAGAACCTGGAGTATATCCGCACGGCTAAACGTTTGAATTCTCGCCAAGCCAGATGGACTCTGTTTTTTAACCGCTTTGACTTTGTTTTGTCCTACAGGCCGGGGTCCCAGAACACCAAGCCAGACACCCTGTCCCGTCTGTTTGACCCCGAGCCCACTGCCAAGAAACCTGAGCCAATCCGTCCACTGCACCGTGTGGTAGGAGCGGTAACGTGGCAGAGGTGAAGCGTGCTAATGGTGAGAACCCTACACCCAGCGGTTGTCCAGTCAATCGTCTGTTTGATCCGGTTGCTATGCGCCCACAGGTGATTCACTGGGCTCACACATCAAAGCTCACCTGCCATCCAGGGATCAGGAGAACAATGTACGCCATCAGACACCGGTTCGTGGCCTTCCATGGAACGCGAGGTCCAGGGAGTATGTGGAGGCGTGCCCAGTCTGTGCCAGGAACAAGACCTTGTCCCAGGCACGGACAGGTCTGCTGCAACCACTTCCGGTGCCCAGCCGACCCTGGGCTGAGATCTCGCTGGATTTCGTCCCCGGTCTCCCAAGGTAACACCACTGTTCTTACAGTGGTGGATAGATTTTCAAAGATGGCTCATTTCATCGCCCTGCCTAAACTGCCGTCCACCAAGGAGACGGCTGAAACCATGCTTGACAATGTTTTCCGCATCCATGGGTTTCCTAAGGACGTGGTGTCGGCCCGGGGGCCCCAATTTATATCGCGGTTTTGGAAGGAATTCTGCAAGCTGATCGGGGCCACGGTCCGTCTCACGTCCGGATACCATCCAGAGGCCAATGGCCAGGCTGAGCGCCTCAACAAGGCACTGGAAACATCTCTCCGTGGCCTGGTATCCCAGAACCAGTCATCCTGGAGCAAACACCTGACCTGGGTCGAATGCGCCCACAACACTCTACCCACAGCAGCCACTGGGTTGACTCACTTCCAGTGTGTCTTTGGCTACCAACCGCCCGTGTTCCAGGAGACCGAGAAAGAGGTGGTCGTCCCGTCTGGCCATGCCATGATCCGGCGTTGCCGCCCGCAAGGTCCTTCTCCGCAGTGCGGAGCGTATGAAGAGGGCCGCCGCCGCGTAGACGCCGATCGTAGACGCCGACCAGCTCCGACATACCAGCCTGGCCAGAAAGTCTGGCTATCTTCACGGGAATTGCCACTCCACGTCCCCTCCCGGAAATTGGCTCCCAGGTTCGTGGGCCCATTTCCTGTGTCAAAAGTAATTAACCCTGTCTCTGTCCGACTGCGTCTTCCCAGGTCCCTGAGGGTGCACCCCATTTTTCATGTGTGGAAGATCAAACCGGTTAAGGAGAGCCCCATGGTGCCTGCAGCCACACCCCCTCCACTTCCCCGCATGGTTGATGGGGGCCCGGTCTACCCAGTGAAGCGACTCTTGGCCGTACGCAAAGGGGAAGGGGACGCCAATATTTGGTGGACTGGAAGGGCTATGGGCCAGAGCACCGTTCCTGGGTTCGTTCCAGCTTCATCATGAGCCCCGGTTCTCATCAGGGACTTCAACAACCGCGGAAGTCCGTCAGGAGCCGTTCCTAAAAGGGGGGGGGGGTTCTTGTCTCATATCAGGTAAACAGGATATTCAAGCTTGTCTTATGTTTTGTGAATAGTGTTTTTTGCTCGACCACAAGCAATTTTTAGTTCAGTGGCACATGCCTATTTGTTAATAAACTTTTGATTTCTTTTGAACTTTGCCCACGAGCATTTGGCTTCAGGGCCATTGTCCAGTCGTGACAAAGTGTCCATTCACTTATTCTAAAGTTATCCCGTGACTTGTGTTGCGGAGTAATTGTTGCTGCGCAAAGTGGATGTGGTTATAGGGGGGTTGGATGGTATTGGTTGAGGCACCGCATGTTTTCCGCCAAAGCGAAACTGAATTGAGCCGCAGCGGGAGCCCATCGACATCAACCGAGAAACACCCGACGAAAAAAAAGGATAAAAAAGGTCAGAAAGTCTCAATATTGATGAGCTTATAACATGTAACAATAATAACAATGTTATTACACACACATTTGGTCTCACATCGGCGAGCGAGGTTGGTTTATTTTTGCTGCAATTCATTATTTTACTGTAACGGTAATTCACTTATAGTCACTAACCTAATTGTGGTTTAAAATGGGGACAGAGCAGCTTTTAATAACATTAGAGGGAACAAAGATGCTCTGGGTGTGTCGCAACTCTTGCTCGCTTGTTTAACCACTTTAACCATCGCTCTGCTCTTCGAAATCACGCTCGACAAATCACGGCAATTTGCGACGTAATGTTTTCAGTGGCGCGAATGTTGCGGTTAATTTGTCACCAAATGACGTCATCACCTGTTTGTCGGATGCTGCAGGCGTTCGGCGCTCAACACTGCAGGAGCACTAAGGAGGAGGGAGGAGGAAGGATGAGGGGCTTGTGCGCGCCGAGGAGCATGTCGGGGCGAAAAACTGCCACAATAACTCAAATAAATGCCCCGTCGGGTATCAAAACACATTTGGGGGAATTGATGACAGAGAGAGAGTAATTTTATTCCTAAATATTGATGAATAAAGAAACAATTAGGCTGCAGCAGAAGCGGCACTTTTCTTATCCAGGGCAAAGGGGCAGGTGCTTGAGCACCACGAGGGGTCTACCTGTGCACCTTCATGCGGGTGAGCTCGTGCTTTTGTTCCCAGACGTTATTCCCCAAACTTGCGCTACGTTCCGTCCGCGGGACGATGAAGATGGTATGAGTCTGTCCTCCCTGTCTTCTCTCAGTGCTGTCTCACTGGAGACTGACCCCATGCGGTCAACCGCACTCTCACTCACACACTCTCCATCCGCACGCACACACAAGCTGATAAATATTTATTCCCCCTCCTCATTTAGTCCTTTGGCCGACGAGGCCTGCAGTTAATGCTCCATCAACACTGCATTCATAGTGAATCTCACTCACAGTTGTATTTAAAGTGTCCATTCACTATACTAAAGTTACCCCGTGACCCCCCGCAGACGGCTGTCGTGTGTTGCATGATGCTGCCCCCCTGTGGTCGCGGCTGCGTGTTGCATGTAGAACGAGAGAACGCCCTCAGGTTAAATCACTTCAAAACCGGCAGCAGAGGGAGACGTCAGTTGTGTTTGTGTGTGTGTGTGTTTTTTTTTTATTTTTTAGGTTAGTCCAAAGTATTTGCCGTCTCGAACCCACCGCTCGCGTGGGTGGAGGGTGTGTGTGTGGGGGGGGGGAGAAACAGAAACTAACTTGTGTGGAGCCCACCGACACACATCCAACCGAGACACACCCGACGACAAAGGGATAAAAAGGTCAGAGAAAGTATTTTATTTTAGCGTCAATATAGCTCGCTATATTATAACAGTGTAGTAGCAGTCTAATAGATACATCTGCGTGCGACATTGGTTTATTTTACTGTAATTCACTATTTTACTGTAATGGTAATTCACTTATAGTCACTGACCTAATTATGGTTCAAATGTAATAACATTGAGAGAGAGCACAAGATGCTCTGGTGTCTCTTAAGTCTATCTCGCTTGTTTAACATCATTAACCTTCGCTCTGCGTTCCGGTGAAGGAGGAAGCTAGGAGGAAATTTTCCGATACTTTTTAAAACGATACCGGTGCCTAAACAGTGGCTGGACTGATACTTTTTTTAAAAAAAAAGGACAAAACAACAATTGACACATTAAAGAAAGTTTTTTTTTTTAATTGAACAATATACTAACTTTTTTTTTAAATTTACATTTACAGTATTGTTCAAACTAGTGAGGTTCCAGTGGTCCCTAATGCGATCATTTTATATAATCCACCGTGTTTTATTTGACTGTTACTATTGCCACAACTCTAACTCACTTGTTTATGTCAGGGTGGGTGGAAGGCAGGACTCAAACGCAGAGTTTAGTAGAAAACAAAAAGGGACTTTAAGAGTTAAAACGGTCTTCAAAATTAAAACTCCAAAAAGGCAAAAACGTAGGCATGAAACAAGAGACGGGAACAAGGACATGGGACATGAGACATGGGCTTCTGACATCCACCAACATGGAACCGCTAACATGGAACAATGACGCGACAAGTGACAACAGACACACATGGTTTAAATACACTAGGGAGGTGCAGGTGATTGGAAACAGCTGGAAACAATCATGACAATCACAGGGGATGACAGGACAAGGCAGGAAGTGAAGTTACCCAGGGAGACAAGAAGCAGAAACTACAAAATAAGACAGGAAATAAAACCACACCGTGACAGTTTAACCACTTCAACCATCCCTGTGTTCTGGTGAAGGAGGAAATGTACCAATTGTGTCCCAATCAGTGAGGTTTTGGTTGTTTTATGTGATGTAATGCACCGTGTTTTACCTGACTGCTGTTTTCGCCACATATAACATTACATTTTGATTTTAACAAGGCAACAGGTGACTTCACATCACCCTCTGCACCTCCCACCTTCCCTACTTTCTGTTGGCTGGTTCTACCTTATTTTTAACTTTTTATTTATATTTATATTACATTTATTTTTATTTTTAATGTCGTCTCATCTGTCTTGTTGTCCAACGTCTTGTCTGGTGGATAAAATACATTTTTGAAATTACCGTATGTCCTGCATTCAAAATATCCAGTATTTTGAGTCACATCAGCACCTTGTGGCAGGAACACTATAATTTTCTGTCGGCTTGCCAGTCTATTTAAAAAAACGGTTCGGTAGGGGTAGCTGTGTGTGAATAATACTAACTTAACACTTAGGTCTTTTGTTGTAGCTGACATGAACCTATAGACACACCTTCGTCCGGTCTGAACGTAACATAGGAAGAGCAGCGACTGCGGTGTATGTCGTTGAGAAGTGTGTTCTCAATCCTCCAGACATGGCCGTCCAGCAGCAGCCGACCCAGGTGGTGACCGTGGTGACCACCAGCCAAGGCCCTGGCACGTGGAGCACCGGCCTCTGCGACTGCTGCAGCGACATGGGCACCTGTAAGTCAAACCCGGCAGTGGATCTCCGTGATGACAATGTCTGACATTTGTCACAACAGGATGCTGTGGTCACCTGTCTGCACTGTACTTGTTGAATAGAAACATTGCCAGCAGACTGTGGAAAGTAACGGCCTTGTCACGTGCAACTTTAATTGGTGTTCAAGTCGAAACAACTTCCCACCAGGGAGCAGAATGTCTGACGTGGACAAAGACCACTGCCGCTAGAAACTTCATACATACATCATGAGCCGCAGATGATGTATATTCATCACAGGATGAGTAGTATTTTCCTGTTCCCGTAAACCATAAGTGTAAAAGTTTCATTTTTTAACACAGTTAACAGTTGGGTCACAGAGGGCAGGTGGAGGGTTGAGTTACTGACACATCCGGTTTCCAGCTGGAGTAAAACGACTTCAGCACACCATTTTCACAACTGTGCCCTAAGAGGACACACAAAACAAGAGTGAGATGTATCTGATCACTCTTCTCTCTTTGCCCTGCAGGTTGCTGCGGTTATTGGTGCTTCCCCTGCATGCAGTGCCAGACGGCCGGAGACCACGGCTGGTGCTGCTGCACCCCGATGCTGGACGTCTGCTGCCTGGTGTCCTGCCAGCTCCGCTCCTCCATCAGAGAGCGCCACAACATCGCCGTAAGGCCCGAGGCAACCATGAAGTGCAAGCAGCACGTAGCGAGGCTTAGCAAAGAGTCAGTTGAACTCGAGCGTGGCATGGAACTGAGGAGGAGGAAGTTCCTGTGTTGCAGTTGTGCGGTTTTCCCACAACACAACAGTGTGGGTGGTAGTTTCGGGCCTGTGTGCAGCAGTGAGATGCAGCGCTCAGTCTGGTACTCTTCAGTGCGGATTTGCAAATGTCCACATGGCAGTTTGTTTTCTGTAGAGAAATGATGAGAAGGACACAGTGCAGCGTTTATGGGAATCTACGGGTGTGGTCTACCATGAACTGAATACTTTTAGTAGTTTTCATTTGCTTAGGGCAAATAGACAAAGTTAACCTTAATCTCATATTAAACATGAATGTTTGTCCTCCCCGCTCTTCCTCCTGCAGGGCTCCTGCTGTGACGACTGGTGCAAGTTGTTCTGGTGCTACCCATGTGTCTGGTGCCAGATGAATCGTGAGCTGAAGATCCGGCGCAGACACTGAGAGACCTACACCTCGATCACCACTCGAGGATAGGACGCCGCGGCGGAGGGCATGACACGCGATTCACGTGTAACCCATCTAATCTTTTTTCTTAATGTTCTTATGCAGGGTTCACACGGCCATGGAAAACTTGTAAAAGTCATGGAAAAAAATAAAATCCCAAAAGTTTTGGAAAAGTCATGGAAATGTGTTGTGGTCATCTGTTCATGTTGTTCATTTAAGATGAGTTTGAAATAATTCAAATGCTTTTAAAAGAGAGACGCTCAAAATATAAGCAGGCACACTCTTATACTCGCAGTGCAGTTTGGTGGCCATAAAAACAGTTGCTCAGGAATCATCCGCTGTGCCAGGAAGTGTTGATTTAACCACAGTTGGCCAAATATGGAAAAGTACATGTCATGTCATGTAAATATGCAAATAATACATTTTGTCACACGGTAGAAAAACTATGTGCTGTGTGTGTTGTGTGAGATTCAAATGGATGTATGGAAACATTTCCTGTATCACCAGAAGTGACGTATACGGGATCGTCCCTGATGGAAAAACTGCAATAATGTCACGTCAAGAAGGGGGATTTAGACAAAACGAGTCTATGTTTGTATTGTTTGTACAGTAAGTTGGTTGTATGACATGTCAGCTGAGATAAGACGACCGCTCAGGAGCTAAAATCTGCGTCCAGAGGGTCCGGTGTCCAGAAGGCCACTCGGTGTCTCCTGTTTGCAAACATTAAATGTCTGCTACGAATGTGTGCCACTCATTCGCTTCAATGCTGAATACAAAAAGAGAATTTCAACCATAAGGATACAAACTCAGATGAACAGGAAACAAGAATGTGCAGTTTCATCAGATAAGCCTATTTACAACTTGCTATAGATAAGAGCCATTATAAGAACAATTTAAGTGCTACAATTTGTTGTGTGTTTTTAGTGGAGGTAGAGTCTGAAGAGGTGTGTCTTTAGTTTGCGGTGGAAGATGTGAAGGCTCTCTGTGGTCCTGGTGTCATCAGGGAGCTCGTTGCACCATTTCGGAGCAAGAACGGCAAAGAGTCGTGATCTGGTTGAGTGTTTTGCTCTCAGTGAGGGAGGAACAAGCAGTTTGTCAGATGCAGGGCGGAGAGTGCGGGTCGGGATGTAGGGTTTCACCATGTCCTGGATGTAAGCTGGACCCGATCCATTCACAGCGTGGTACGTGAGCACCAATGTATTGAACTGGGCAGCCACCAGTAGCCAGTGAGGAGCGCGGAGGAGTGTGTACTGCAGACAAATCTACTCCAACATGTCAGTTGTTTTCTTCTACTGACCCCAAGTGGCTAAAATACACATTTTAAGGTGTATGCAGGAACGAATAAAAACCAGACAAAAGTAAAACCTAAAACATAACCAATGTTTCACTTTGCTATTTCAATGAATGCCACTATGACAAGTACTTGGATTTAAAATGGATCCAAACACAAAATATCATTTGTAACACGCCTCCAAAAAGTGATTAGATCTCAACTTAGTGAAGTCAAATATGATGTTCATGGATGAACCAAAACAAAAGCGATACACAAACTCAAGTGATGTGACTTTGACACCAGAAACTCCCCCCACAGGGAACAAGTCGGCGCCTCGGGGCTGTGGGGGTTTGTCCCATTTGTCAAGAAGACACAAAGCTGTGCTTACACCCGTCAGACTGCAGAGGACAGCGTTGGACTATTCAGAGGGACACCCGACATCACACCTGTTCGATGGAGGCACTGATGCAAGAACATACAGCCACAGAATTCATTTCCACCCTGTTTAAATGAGTACTTCATGTACTTTGAGTATTGTACATGTGAATTGTATCAATTTGATTGGATACATTTTGATATGCTCCACATCTCCATTGTGAACATTATGCACATTCTTAAGACGTGTGAAGTGATTGTGGCGATTGTGTGTGAAGTTAAAAAGTACGTCCTGCAGACTGTGGTCAGAATGAACATAAGCTACAGTGACATCGGATAATCTGACTCAAGAAGGAAAATGCAGTTGTGGAGATGTGATTGTAAAGACTCTGCCGCCGGTATGTTGCGTGCCTCATTTACAGGAAGTGGAGTGCAAGGCGGCGCCGGTTCAAACAGAACGTGCCACTTCTCATCGGCGCTCGCCGGACACGACGGAAGCTGCGTTTTCCCCTTTTTTTTTCGTGCACCCTCTATAGAAAGAGGAAGCTCTGTGAGTGTGCTCTCGCGCTTCGTATCCAAAGCTCAGCCGGCGTCGTGAGAAGAGGACGAACCCGAGAGCCCCGATGGACGTCAACCCGGAGGCCGTGAGTTGCCTGGAGTCACGGCGTGTACCGGGTGAGGGGGAGACACGTTGTGTTTGTCATCTTCTCTGAATGAACCCCAATTTGAAAAGCGCCTTCTTTTACTCATTCCGTTTGTGAAAATACGTCACGGTCTGCTCCAGGGCTGTAGGAAGTATCATCTTTTGGTGCATTCGGGGACATTAATAGGGGACCTCATACTACTACATACAATATATATTGTGTGTGTTTGTGTGCAGTTGAAACAGAAACGGAGGCCGTGGAGGAGGACGTGTTCCCGGAGGAGGCGGCGCCCTGTTCCGTCTCTCCTCTCCACGCTGAGTCCTTAGATTTCCCAGACACCCCTGTGAGTCCGCATCGCTTCACCTTGCAGTTGTATGACGTTTTAATTTTCCCGGTAGTCATACATGTGGTGAAGCAGAGAGAGAGAGAGAGAGACACTACATGCACACGCGAGGTGAACCTCAAAAGGTTCTGTCGTCTATCGGCTATTCATCGACCTACATTTGAAGGGATTTTTAAGAATCCCACAAAGTACAAAAAATAATACCTGTCTGGACTTTTATTCTGCCAGAAAATGCTTTTAATAAGACACAGGAAACCCTGAACTGAACGCAAACATTTAAACATTGGGTCTTGTTGAAATTGAATTTACTTCCTTTTTTTCTGACCTCATTATGTTGAAAAGTGGTGAAGAAGTAACCCTGTAACAGTGCACATCTGGGGAAGGTGGCAGAATACAGAAGTGACAGTTTCTCTTACAAGAAAACAGGAGATATTTAAGGCTTCATGTGTATTCTGTTCAGTGCATGAATATTGCAGAATCTACAGTGTTGGTCTGCGCCCCAACTTAGTGATGTTTGAACGCCTTTAATTTCAGACATTATGCAGCCCGAAGGAAATGTTGGAGAGGAGGGTGGCGCTCCTGAAAGGCCTCCTGGAGGCCGAGGAAGTTTATCTCAGAGAGCTGGAGGCTCTGCTGATGGTAACACACGCTCACGCTCTGCAAAGACGCAGTTGATATGATTGTTATTAGCCTACTGCTTAACTTCCTCTTTTCTGCTCTCTTCTGTCACCACATGCAAATGAAAAATGCTTTTTAAGAGAACTCAATGTTGCCTCAAGTAGAATCAATCATTTTGAGTCCGCCTTGCTCTCCGAGGGACTAGGGAAACAAGTTGTGTACTCGTCAAGGAGCTCGGCTATTGGTAATTATATGCAGAGCATCCGACGTCACCTTCCCCTTTACAACTACAAATGGACTGTTATCCCTTGTAGGTACTGTTCCCCTTTTTTTTTTAATGGAGATTGACACCACTCTCTAATGTACGTTACCGCTAGCTTGCCGAGATTAGCATAACGACTGCTAGACGGTCCCCTGTTCAAAGCTATCAAAATCCACGCACATGCACTTCTGGAGCTCATAAATCACTTTTTTTTTTAAGACGAGCGAAGAAAATAAGAAGTCACCTAAACAGGCGACTTGTTATTTTCAATGTGTTATTTTCAATGTGAGTTCAATGTGCCAGACTGTTTCTAAAACCCGTTACTTCCTGCAATCCGGCCTTCCAACTGGTCAGGGCTAATGAATACAGCTGATGCTAGCTTGAGCTGTATATTTAGAACGGTTGATTAGGGAGCGTTAAAGGTGCAGATTTTGCTCCCCCTGTTACATAGCAGGCTGTTTGTTTCACACAACTTTTAAGCTGAATTTAAAGTCTCTGTGTGAAGATATGAGAAATGTGTTAATTATCTAATTTAACTGCTGCAAGAGATTGAAACGAGCGCAAACTGCTCCTTCGTTAAAAACGGTTGTTTATTATGATTGATTGATTCAGCTTGTTCACACATTCTTCTCCTCCCTCGGCTTTTTCTCTGCTCGTTCTCGCCGACATTAATTATCCTTCAGCCTCCCTCCTTGCTCGGATCGATTTTGTTCAGACTTCTACTTTTGCTGCAGCCCATGAAGGCTCTGCGCGCCTCAGCCGGGACGTCCCAGCCGGTGCTGTCCAGCCAACAGGTCCAGGCTGTTTTCTACCAGGTGCCTGAGATCAGAGACATGCACCAGAGCTTCTACTCCGGCCTGAAGGCCCGGCTGGCTGAGCCCGGTCCGGGGGAGGCCGGAGAGATGAACTTCACAGGCTTTGATCTGATGGTGGGCGACCTGTTTCTGAAAATGGTAAGTTGTACGTTTTGGGGCAATCTTCCACTTTGAGCCGGCGTTTTCCTTCAGTCGTCATTTGGTTGTGATCCCGAATTCCTCTGTAGCAGCGAGGGAAACTCACAGGGCCCAAAAGACGCTAAATGTCACATCAGTTTGCCCGCCACTACAACAAGAAGAAAAAAGAAGGGACATGCCACAGAAACCCAAAGCAAAGATCGATGATAACTTCTGCTTCCGCTTTGTCAAATTATGTTGCTACTTAATACTAATAATAATAATACTTAAAACCTGCCGAAAAAGGTATTTTTGGCTCTTGGCGTCCTGCGGTTGCATATAGTGAGCACAGCTAGTACAATGACACTATCAAGTTATTTACAATTTAATACCACGGCTTGTCATATTTTACACAGAATTGTAACTTTGTGGTTTTGTCTTTGTGTCATGCTTCAGTTGAGTTAGTTCTACCGTTTTCGAGCTGGTTGTTTTGGTTTCATGGTCCGTGACGTGTTTTGTTTCACTCTCACAACTCTTATCAACGGGATTTTCACTGTTTAGAAGAAGACGAAAGCCAAACATAAAAAGAGTAAATATTAGGTTGCACTAATGTTCCTGTTAAGTGACATATTTGATTATTTTGCGCATTGATTTATAGTTGTATCCACATGACTTGCACTGATGTATTTGGTATTTTTGGAAAACTCTCCACTATAATTTGAAATGACGAATTAATTAAGACTTTACATGACACTGATTCTTTCCTGACAATGATTCCTCACACGTGCATTATTAGTTTTTGGGGGGGGGGTCGTATACATTTGTGCTACTAGAAGAATCATGTAATCTTTTAAAGTAAACTTTTTGAAGCTATTAATGAGTTGATTTTGACCGGTAAAGCACAGGTGTAAATAATGAGGGTTAACGAGGGGCTCCAAAGTGCAGCAGCGGCAGCGGGGTTAAGGCTGTCTGTCACACCTGTGCGTGGTTTTCCTGCTGCACACATGGCCGGCCGGCCTGAAAGGGATCCATTCCTCTGTGCTCGGGTTGAACGGACACGCCGCAAAACTAGCATCAAACGAAAGCTAACGCCGTGTCTCGAGCGCTTTTTGAAAGTCGTTGCCATGAGACAATATCGTGGATATGATCTCAAGTGCGAGCTATGAGAGAGGCAACCACCGACAAACGGACCGGAACATGCAAAATTCCACCAAACTGCTAAGAGCTGCTCGAAATATCTGCAGAGTCGCATAGTTTAGCCACTAAACCATTTAACCACATCAGCAAGAAAACTCCCCTTTAAAACTCCTGCCTGGCGTGTTTTTAATGATCTTTTATTAGATACTCCCGGGGCGGCTCACTTAATTTTGGTAGATGTCTCTGCAACACAATACATGAGACGCTTTTGACGTAACGCCATACTGTAAAATCTTGCACATGCAGTTGATAATGAAAACCGAAATAAATAACATATTTATACACCATCTTGCCTCGTCTTGGAGACTGTTGATACTAGAATCGTTGGTTGGTTGAATGTGCGGGTTACATTTGTTCTGCATTGAATCGTTTTTTCTATGCTATTTGTCGGGGCTGCACACACCTGCCCAGGTGTTGTCAGATATTTTGGCTGATTTACTCAACCAGTAAGATCTTGATGAACAAAATGCGTGAGGTAGTTATTACTTACTATTACAAGATGAACTTTGCCCAGACTGTCAGCGTTTTTCCACACAAAGGACATGAAACACTCCAGCTCGACTTTTTTTGTACACTGCCCAGTCATGTTCTGGAAATATCTTTATTTTTCCAAATAATCATATTTATATGCCCCTTTCACAGCAGACGTGGAATCACACAAGTGGAACTCATAACATTGTCATGGTTGATTCCAGTAATTAGTGCAAGAATGTTAAAGAAGAAAGTTATTAGTTTACATCCACGTTTGAAATGTGAAAGAGCTCTTCTACGTTTTAGCTTCGTTTAACACCTTTCTCCTTGGTCATATGTGCCATTTAAAGTTTTGTGAACAGGTTAAGGGTTCATTTATTGTCATTTCTACCTCTAACTCAAGCTCTGGTTCCGCACCTCATTTATTGGAAAACCTTTTGGTTGATCGCCACACGTGGATGCTGTTCCCCCTGCTCACACCGACCATTCACCCTTTATTCTGCCGTCCCAGTTGAACCAGATCGGGCTGTACGGGGGTTTCATTGGAAATTACGAAAAGGCGGTTGAAGTCGTTCGCAAGTGCACCAACTCAGACCCTCGCTTTCGGACCCTGGCTCAGGTACCGCGCACTCCCCACATGCAGAGGAAACGCCTGCTGGGACGAGTCCCGTATGAGGTTTTCCCATCAAGTCTCACTCTTATCTCCACAGAGCATGATGTCCGCTAACGGCGCCAACCAAACTCGGACCACGTACACCTTAGAAGGTACATCATCCTCCTTTCAATTTCTTTTTTTTGGGATATCTCGATGGCTGACGGGGTCTGATTGTTGGTTTTTTGCAGCTCTGCTATACAAGCCTCTGGACAGAGTAACCAAGACCACCCTGGTGCTCCATGTGAGATAATAAATGCCTCAATTGACCTCCGTAGCTTCTACGGTTCTTTGACCGTCTTTCTGTTGATCAGTCTTTTATGGATGGTAGTTGAAGCACAGTACCGAGCACTTTTCTCTTCCTCACTTGTGGTCTTTCTCACCTGGCGACCTCGCAGGACCTCCTGAAGACGACGCCAGAGGAGCACGGAGACTACGCCTCGCTACAGGAAGCGCTGAGGTTGTCCCGCAGCTTTCTGTCCGGCGTCAACGAGAGGTCACAGAACAAACGAGAGGTCATGCTCAGTCACGCCGTGGTGAGGCTCGCAAAAGAAAAACCCGGTAGCAGGACATGACAACAGGTGTCCTGTGCATTGCAACCAGCAGAACGCCTTTTTGTGTTTGTGCGTCACAATAGAGGCGCCAGCTGATGCGGGACGGCTTCGTGGTGGACGCGGCCGAGGGGGAGCGCCACCTGCGTCACCTCTTCCTTTACACCGACCTCCTGCTGTGCACGAGGAACAAACAGGCGACCAGAGGGTGAGTGCGGCGGCGGAGAGCGACGGGGCACATGGGGGGGGAAAGGGGGGTGTGAATGGGAATGGGCTCGGCGTTGACAGCAGTGCACGTGTACTTCTAGGAAGCAGGACCAGTACAGGTTCTGCTGGTATCTGCCGCTCGCCGGCCTCAAACTCCGCTGGGTCGCCGACCAGGAACTCTCACCGGACGCACGCCTTCGCCTGCACGGCATCAGGACCAAGATGCACCTCCTCCGCCAGCAACTGCAGCAACACGCAGTACGTTTGCGAACACAGAGAGAGTTTTAAATCTGGTTGGGGTTTCACGGACAAATCAAATCAAAATGTGTTTCTGTGAAGAACGGGTCCAAGGGCTTGAGCGCCGCGGCTCGAAGCCGGAAGAAACTCGAGCAGATGGAGCTGATGCTGCTCACACACTCGCCTGTGCACAAACTGGAGCTGCACAGCCCCAGTGGCAAGGTACACAGATACACGCCCTATTGTCGTCACAATGGCAGGTTTGAACCATGACGACGGCTGAAATGAAGCAATCTGCCTCACCTTTCTGCAGAGTCACACCCTCCTCCTGTCCTCCCTGTATGAGCTTGAAGAATGGAGAGAACTCATTGAAAAACTCACCAAAGACAGTGAGTTCACATCTGTTCACCAAAGCTGGAGGCCTGGAGTAAAATTACCGTCTGGGCTTAAAACGCTACACTATTGCGGACCCAAGCACCTCCCTCCAAGGTCGCATGCACATCATTTCTGTGTGCGATATGGGCCTTTTAATTCAAAGCGGATTCACATATTTTCTGTGTGTTGTTTGTCAGACATAGAAACTGTCCCTCCAGACCTGCTCACCCTTACCAGCGCATGTGTGAAGCTGAGAATGACCCAGCAGCCGCCTCTCCACAGCACACGCGCCGGTACGACCGCCGCCTCGGCCCTTTTCCTCACCGCTTTTCTGAAATACGACACACCGACCCCGCGGCCTTCTGGTTCTTTCTGATGGCGGCCGGCAAAAGAAAACCGCGTCCTTCCCGTCGCTGAGTTTCGGTTTGTGCTCAGGACCGTAAAACCCAGTGAGCCTCAGGATGTGTTTGTCTCTCACCAGTGGAGGACCAGAAGTCTTTGTGCGGGACTGTGAGTGTGACCGTCCACTCGGCCCGTGGCTTGCAGCAACCGGCCTGTATGTTTTTATATTATCATTTTAAATTACACTAAACCACATGTTGGTTTAAAAATAAATGAACAAAAAACAAAGTGTACATATCTGAATGATTTTGATTTTTTTTCTCCAGTTGCGTATGTTTGCGTGGAAGTGGATGGCTACGAGTTTTACGACAAACAAGCCAAGACTCACTCGTCAGTCCAGAGCCTCAACCCACTCTGGGACCAGGTTGGTTGTCTTGTTATTGAACGACCGAATGCAAGTTGCCCCTAGAAGTGAAACAAAAGAGACTGAAAGAAAAAGGCAGATGTGTCGGGCCGGAGTTCAGGCTACATGACGTCTAGACAGCGTGTGATGTGAGGCTCCGGGAGGGAACCTGATCTCCACTAAAGTCCAACCGGTAGCCGGGATCAAAGTCGAATAAGACGCGAATGCTCCCGTTGTAGCTCGAGCGCGCTGCCCTCGTGGCCGTGAGTTGACACCACAACGCCTTGTGTCCAAAAGGAGCTGTGTCTCCAGGTGGACGGGGCCCAGGTCCTGAGAGTGATCTGCGTGAGTCAGTCCGACCGAGAGGACCAATCCGTCCTGGGCAAAGCCTCCGTGAAGGTACGAAGACGGACTGGATCTCAGATTTATTATCAAATGAATGCTGCTTTTAAAGCTATAAAATGTGTAATGGCCTGGATTTGTTTAACCCGCTGGAGCTCCATCATAATCTACCAATGTAAGCATGCAGAGAGTGTGTGCATTAACTGTAAAGTTGAAACTCCTGTTTGTCCCCATGCATCGCATCCGTCCGTCAGTTGGACGCTACGACCCTGACCAAGGGATGGAGTAGACGGACTGTGCACCTCGGACAGGTGGAGGTGACCCTCTCCCTGAAGTACAGCCCCCACCCGGTCGAACCGCCGAGCGCCACGCCGCAACAAAACCCCGTCTTCTGTGTCCCCATCGACGCTCTGGCTCAGTAAGTCACAATAAAAGGCTTGAAACTGAAAGCCACAGATGAGTTGACAGTTTTGTCCCCCGGCCCCCCCCTTTTTTTTATTTTAAAGCGGCCACATTGAAGAAGTGATGCGGTTTGTTGTGCCAGCTTCTGTAGAGAAGCAGAAGTGTAATCTGAAACGAAATGTATATATATTTGTTTCTTCCTCTCTATACTTTTGTCAGAAAAGAGGGGGTGCTCGTCCCGCACGTGGTGCGCTGCTGTGTGGAGGAGGTGGAGAGGCGAGGCATGGACGAGGTGGGACTCTACCGGGTTTCGGGAGACAGCTCTGACGTCGGCGCGCTCAAAAATGAGTTCAACAGCAGTAAGAAAAAGTTACCGCTCAAAACGAAGAAGATTGAAGGGTTGGACCAGACTGAGAGTCACTTGCCATGCTAGGAGAGGTTAGCATTTAAACGTGCTAATATGCAGAAATGTTGAGCTTCAGACCAGGATCAGAGTTTCATCTTTGCGATTCGTCCTCTGGGGACCATTAATGCGTAGAATTTCTCTGAAATCTGTGCCGCGGTTGATCTCACTACACTCAACTTCAACAAATGGGGGGGATTTTGCGGTTTATCCAAAAGTTGCTCACTCCGTCTTAAAAAAACTTTTGGAGAAAAAAAACTAGCTGCTGCTTTTCAGAAGTATGACAATGCGTTTTTTCACAAGAAATGAAGTGTAAGTGCCTAAAAATAGGACACAGTAGGATTGATGGCTGAGATGTGGGTTGTTCCCGGCTCAGATCTCCGTGACGCTGTCGCCAGGATGAGGAGTGCTGACGTGAACGTCGTCTCCGGGGTTCTCAAGCTGTTCTTCAGGGAGCTGCCCGAACCTCTCGTCCCCACGGAGATGTTTCAGAGCCTGGCCAGGACACTGGGTAAGACACCTCACAGAAACACGTCCTCTAGGACAAAATACTGGGTAAGACACGTTGCAGAAACATGTCCTTTGAGAAAAAAATGGTCCTCCGTAAAAGGTCTTTATGGGAACATTTACTTGCTGTTTTGTAAGTGTTTTTTGTGTATTATCCAGCATCTTATGTACATTAATGTGATGCCCTCTATAATATTGTAATATCTTTCAGGTGGAGGCTATAAATAAGCGCTGTTGGCTCTCTGCCTCCTTCTGCACTTTGAATTCATTTTTATCGTTTTTAAAAAGTTATTATTAAAGTCACAGTTCAGCTTCCCCTGCGGCCGTCGATCAACCAGCATATTAAGGGCACCTGTTAGTCGCGCCCTCCTCGTCAGCTCCATCACAGCCAGGTGCCCACCCTGCTGCACCCACCTTCCCAGATCCACACGAGACTGCTCACGTGTTTATTTGTTCTGATTGTCTTCTAAGGCAGCGATTCCCAAATTGTGGCCCCCTGGTTGGTCGCGAGAGGTCATTTACAATAAATAAATAAAGTTTTTTAATTTTCAATTTTTTAAAGTTTGAAATTAATATAAAATATTTATGATGCGGCACATTAGTTATGTGAAACATTAATTGATGAAGCACAAACAAGCAAGCAAGCAAATACCTCGCGGAGACGAACTTTTGCTCGCGGATGTTTGATTTTGGTTAAATTCTCAAGGTCATTTAATCATTATGTTTTGATCAGAGTTGTGATTAAAGGTTTAGCTTTGCCGCGAAAGATTTTGAGATTTCAAAGTGGGTCGCGGCATTCTTGAGTTTGGGAACCGCTGTTCTAAGGGATTGAATGCGTGTTTATTCTTCATTCGGTATGAATTTGAGGCCATTGCACACTTTAGGTTTCTCCTTTTGTGCCTTGCGAATTAAAATATACGGGACCAATGCATTCGCACAAATCTCTGCTTCCTGTCAGTCACATAAAATGAATCTGCCAGTACATATAATCCCGAAAAACACCTCACAGTGTCTCCCTCCCGTGTAGCCATCCAGGACATGGACCTTCGGCTGGTGTCCATGCTGTCCGTGCTGGAGTCCTGTCCCCCGCCCAACCGGCACACCTTCCTGTACCTCCTGCACCACCTCCGACGGTCTGTCCCTGGGACGGGCGACATGCAACGTTATGTCGCGTCTGCTGGATTCTTACCGTGATCCTTCATTTGTCTTGTTTCTCCAGAGTCTCGGACAAGCAAGACGTCAACAGGATGTCTCTCATGAACCTGGCGACGGTGTTCGGGCCGAGCCTCTTGCGTACCCCCGTGGTGGAACACGGCCTCCTCGGTCCCAGCATGGACATCTCCCAGGAGCTGGTGGTGCAGGTGGGAATGAAGCGGCTAAAAGAACTGCTGAATAAAGAGGATGACTGACATTTTGGTGTTGCAACATTTAAAAAAAAGTTCTGGCATGTTTAATTTTTTCAAATCTTTTTAAAGATTTGATCTTTTATCTAATTTGATATGTAAGCAGTCATGTAAAACAATAATAATTCTTTGATTTATAAACTCCTTCAGGTCATCAAAGTTAGCTGGAGCTTGATTAGACAAACTATCTACAGCAAAGTGGGGAATCTTTCCAGAGAAGCTCATTTATAGCACAAAGGTCAAAGGATGCTTTACAAACTGTGTGTGTCTGTGTGTGCGTGTGTGTGCGCATGTGTTCAGGTCCAGGTGGTTTTCAGCTACCTGCAGTGCAACAACCTCCCTGAAGCGTGGACGTCTCTGCCACATGACACAGACGATGAAGAGACCACCCACTTGTGAGACCACCAATGTCCCGGGCCGCCAGGAATTTGAAATACTGCATCTAAAGAAAAATAACTGCGGCAAAACTATAAGATAATTAAAGTATTTATTGATTTTAAAAAACAGATATTGTGTATTTTGTGTCTTCTGTTTGTTTTTTTATGATGGCATTTTTCAATATAATTTAAGTGCATCTGTTTCCAGGTATAACAAGCACATTTAATTCCACACATCTTTCATTATATACTTAAACATGCATTTATTTCGTCTCCTTTACCCCCACCTGCCTTAAACTCCTGGGAAAAAGAGGTTATTTAAATCTACAGTTGTTTTCCCCCTCTGGCTTTTATGAGCCGGGTGACACAAGGAGTAATGTGAAGTTAAAATGTGCTTGAGGAAAAGTCAGGCTTGCAGATGTTTCGGGAAAAAAAGTTTGGAGGAGGGAGGGGGGAGGGGCCCGTCTCCCCTGAGCCTGAAAACCAATCGGTTACGGTTCAAATCCAACTAGACGGAGTTCACCACGAAGTGCACGCCTCATAAAAGTCGTTCACACACACACACACACACACACACGGCCCATGTTCGACCCATCCGCGCCACAGATGGGGACTTTCTTTTCAACCACACCACCTGGGCAGGCCGGGCTAGTGTTACCCCCCCCCCCCCCCCCAAACCTTAACCCCCCCCTAAACCTCCTTCCTCCACCCTTTTGATCGCTAATCCCAGACCCGACTTCAACTCTCCGGCACTACCAGACTCTGTGCGGACGCCATAACAACCTCCAGAAACAAAAAGAAAATGGTGGCTCACCCGTGCGGCCCTCTGCGCCGTGGATCAGCCGTCCCCTCTGAACCGGGGGCTGCCAAAAGGAAGTTCCGCTCAGCGGACCTTTTTAAAAGTTTTTTTTTTTACAGGAGAAGTTCCAGTCACGTCATTTATGTGGAAAGGATTTTCTAAAAACGGTGGTCGAGTAGCATATCCCTATTAAAAAAAAGAAAAGTCAAACCAACGTGGAGGGCTTAGTTTTCTGACCTTGACGTTACTGTTTAGGAAGGTGAATTCTCAATTTAGAAGCGTGCAATTGTTCATCTGGTAAAAACAAAAGCAACAAGGATTCCTTCTCATACGAGCTCCTTAACATTCAAAATAATCCCCAAGTATTATTAAAAGTCACATTTCTGACATTTTTATTTACAGTTTTACAGACTTTTGCAGTAACTGTCACTTGTATTTTTTATCGTGAACGTTTTTGTGGTCCACAGGCCCATTTATATATATATATATATATATATCCAAGGTGATAAAAGAACACACATATATATATATATATATATATATATATATATATATATATATATATATGTGTGTTCTTTTATCACCTTGGATTTCAGGAGTTATTTAACTCTGCACTTTAGTCTACGCTATTTTCTTTTTATATGTTGAGCAAGAGAGACAGAAACATGCAGAGAGAAATCGCGTGACAGACACTGAAAACCGCATTTCACCCCTTGCTATTAAGCAATAACTTGTATTAAATGTACAATGGCAAATACTACCGGTTTGTGGTACAGTACATATATGCATTTATACGTGTGTGTGTGTGTGTGTCATGGTGCGGTTGCCCAGAGCTGTGCCATGCTTGATTAGTCCTAATCTAGCTGGGAGTCGGGTTGCTGTGTCGGCGGCGTGTCTGTATGGAAGGCATGCAGGCCGCGGATCACAGGGATTGGCCCCGTGCCTCTCAGGTTAACAGAAGCCCCGCGTGTGTGCGTGCGTGTGTGTGTGTGTGTGTATGTGTGTGTGTGTGTGTGACGGTGAAACCTGCTTGGACTTCTGGTGAGAAACCTGGTGAGGAGGAGATGTACAAGCTTTGAGAGTGAAGTGAAATAGGACGTGTGTGAGCGAGAGAAAAAGGAAGTGAGAGGATAAAAATACCAGTGCGTGTGTTTGCAAGCGGTCTCGTTGAACTGTGGCTCTGGCTGCGAGGGGGGGGAGGGAGGGGAGGGGAGGGGGGGGCCCTCTCTCGTAAAACCTGCCGCTCAGCAGGTTGTAAACATGATGCCACACACTCACAAACGCACACTGCCGGGCGGGGGAAGTATCCTACATGCCGCCGAACCGCTGGGCCTTCCCCGCCTCCTCCGAGCTCCTGACAAGTGTGTGTGTGTGTGTGTGTGTGTTGTTGTCGGTTTTAAAGGGTGATGTGCCCCCCCACCCCCCCCTCCCTTCCCGCCATCTTCTCCTGCTGCAGAACGGGCCGCGGGCTTAAGTCGTCTGTTAGTGTCTGTGTAAGTGTGTGTGTTCGGGGAGTTTTCGGGATCAAACCCTCATGTCGACAGAGGCAGCGCGAGGAGACGCCCGCTGACAGGTGCTTCCTGCAGCAAAGCAGCAGGTGCTTCCCTACACACACACACACACACACACGCGTGCACACACGCACGCACAAGGGGACATGATTCTGCATGCACTGACTCACTCGCTCTGCCTTTTAGTCCCTGGGGACATGAGCCGGAACCCTGCACTCGACGGGGTACATGCTGACAGCTAGAGCTGTCGTGTCGCTGCTGTTGTGCAGCGTTTTCTTTTCTTGTGCGTCTTGTATTTCTTTTTCTCAGATGCTGCTCCAAATGTAAATCCACTGGGGAGACGCCTTTTGATCCAAGTAGTGCAACAACGTCACTACGATGATGTTCACCCAACTGGAGGGAAACACACCGATGGGTCCTCCTGTTAAGTTTGGGGTTTATTGTCTGCTTGTGACTTTCAATAAGATGTTCAACGCGAACATGAATCGAATAAACCATTTCAGTTTGTGAAATTCTATTTACTGCCATTTTGGGTTTCCTCACATTATGTTTTCTTTAGTGCTGTCCTTACAATAACACGGGTGGATAATAGTGATTTACTCAATTTCTTCCATTTTTATTCTTTGATTAAGATTTTCAGCATTTTGTCCTGCTTATCTTGTCAAATTAATTATTAAAGGCCTGCATTTACTGCTTTTAGTTATGAGAGGGAAAAAAACAATAGCTTGCACTTTAATTCTTTTGGTCTAATTTATTTAGTGTTTAACATGTGTGTAGGTTTTTTAAAACAAAGTTGTGATTCATCAAAAGAATGTCTTCAAATGGCTGGTTGACCAATTCAAGGCAATATGAGGTGATGCAGAAATGGCAGCAAAAATGGTAACGAACATTCTCGTTATTTGTGTGTGTGTGTAATATATTTAGTTTGGGTCTTGATGATCATTTTTAAAAGTAGGTCCTTTAAAAAAATATATAACATTGGTGGTAGACGGGCAGCATTCGGTGGGTTTGACAGACTGAAATCAGCCGTCTGCTTATTGAAACAGTTGTGAGTTGTAAGTGAACCATGAAAACGAGCAGAATGGAAGACCACAAGATAACCATCATAACAACCTCTGAATATTTTCAGTGCAGTTCCTATCGGGGGCATTGTGGGGCCCCGGAAGCTGCTGAAAGACATTTGTGTCTCATGAGTATTAACCCCCCCCCCCTCCCCACGGACCATCAGTGAACTTTATGTTTAGTTCCACTGAGCGTACATCAGTCAGCGAATCTATTTTTTCTCTTTTTATTTTCAATCGCAGGCTTCATCGCGATGGCGCGGCCAATCGCCGACACGGGCGCCACCACAACAACATGGCTGCTCAACTAATAGAAGCTCTCCCAACAAAAAATGTGCTCCCACCCCCCCCCCCCCCTTACTCCCCCGGGCTGCGTGACGCCACATCTACTAAAATTGAAACAGGAGTCATGACGACAGGTCGGGCCGATGCTTTTTAGATCCTTATCTGAGGATGGAGGGTTAGTTTGGTCTCTGTGTCAGTCGTCTCCCGAGAGATCGTCCACGGTGTCGCTTTACCCCAAAAAATGAGACCATCTGCCTAAAAGAAAAATGTTTTTCCGTTTCAAAAGGAAACACCACATTTCTGAAAAATGTTTGATGCAAATTCTGTATCTTTTGTTATTTATTTATTCAGTTTCCACTGGATTTAATGGGTGCTACTTAAAGTGATCCAAGAATAAATATGATTTAAATATAAATAATAAAAAAAAACTTTATAGGACAAAAATACTGCATGGCATTTCAGTTTAGTCAGACTTTAATGTTCAAAGTGTTATATGGAGTTGGTGGAGGTCAACATGAGGAAACCTTTGTGTTCCTTCACATTTTAAAATGAGCATTTGAACGTCAACGTGTGTGTGTGTTTGTGCACCAAACGCCAAAGAAGAAAAGTCAAGCCCTTTTCTCCTAAAACTGTGAAAGGTGTTTTTGTGGTTTCTGTTCTTCAACCAGGACCTTGCGTCGAGCAGCCTGCAGCGGGGCTGCTGGGCGAGGGGCCGCTGGGCGAGGGGCCGCTGGGCGAGGGGCTTCCCTCCGTGGGTTCGACCTCTGCGTCCGTGCGAGTGTGTGCGTGCGGCACCGCTGTGGTTCGAGTGTCCTCCCCTTTCACGGAGTGTGTGTCCCCACCGTGAGGCTCTTTCTCAGCCAGCAGGTGAGGAGGGACGTACCCGGACAGGGGCTTTGTCGCCTCCCCGTGACGGGCGCGCTGGTGTTTCGGCGGGCAGCGGCCCCTCTTGTCTTGCCCGCGGAAGCCCCTCAGTTTGGGGCTCCAGTGTTCCCGCCACTGGAGGGCCAGAGTGGAGCGGTCGGCCACCAGGCGACTCTCCTCGGGGCCCCAGCCCCGCTCCCCCTCCTCCGCGCCGATCAGGAGGAAGGTTCGGCCCACGTGGAGGGCGGGGCAGCCGCACCCGAGGTCCCGGTCGGGGACCCAGAGGGACTGGGGGCCTCTGCGGACGCGAGAGGCCGGACCCCGTGCGGAAGACGGGTTGGACGGAGATGGAGAAACTGCCACCAGGGACCCGAGCGCTCCATCGCTTTCACCTGCACCTTCAGCACTGAGAAAGACAGAGGTGCAATTTACATTTTTGTTTCATTCATCGGATTTACAAATTATTACATTAATAAATTAAATTAATGACAACATCATTATTTTTTCTTCTTTTTTTAACAGTGTAATGGATAAGCAAACTTGGCACCAACCGAAGTCCTTGAGACAATAGGTCTCCAAGTTCATTCTGACTTTAGCCTGAGAAGGCTGGCAGTATGAGACACACTCCTCCGCTGTAACAGAGAGAGAGGGAGAAACCGGGGGAGGGGGTATGCATCAAATGAGAGGGGATCATTTCATAGCGAGCATATCAGCACATGTCTTTTCCCCTAATTACAATATGGCCGCTTCTATTTGTCATCACAGTATCCTGTGACTAACAGATGACCTCGACCGCAGCAGGTGGGACGTTGCTCCAGCCGCCACTAGGAGGGAGTGGTTCGCCACCGCGGGACATCTTTAGTTTCCATGATCGATAAATGTGTCTGTTCAACACGAGGCGACTTTAACAGGGTCAAAGGGACATCTTGGAAAGTGATTTTTTTCTTATATTTTCATGGCAAAACCATCTTTTCTTTCGGTAAACGTGGCTACTTTGCCTTTAGAGGCGATGATCTGAGGTGAATTTTACTCTTTTGTCGAACTAGCTGTTAAACCGGGATTTTCAAACATGGTGAACTGCAGATAAAAGCGTGGGAACTTTGACAGCTTTAATTCTGGACTAAAATCCAGAAAAAAGTAAAAATGCAAGCAGATTACTGGCCTGTAAATCTACTCACCTATGCTGTACTGAGGTTGGTACATTGGTGTCGGAGCGACCTCTTGAATTCCTGCAAACATAAACACAGTTTCAGGTAGACAGACACCCACACGAGCCGTCGGGTCGTTGCGAGCAAGTGTGTGTGTGTGTGTGTGTGTGTGTGTGTGTGTGTGTGTGTGTGTGTGGTCTTTTTTTATGGCCGAAAAAAACACTTTCTGACAGTCACTTAAACACACACATGTAGATGCAAACTTCTCTTTGGGTAATTTAATAAGGCTCGACCATCACTCCTTGTATAGTTTTGTCTCGAACACGTGTGTGTGTGTGTGTGTGTGTGTGTGTGTGTGAGTGAGCTGGACTGTATATACATTGTCCAGGCCTCCTGTAAACGTGCGCGACAGCGGCGTGATATCGCACCAAGTTCACTCGGCGCGCTCGCGTCTCTCACACAACCGGGCCAGTGACACCCTACACCCGCTCCTTTTAAAAGACAGGAAGGCGCTGTGTGTTTGTATGTGCGCGCAGTATATGTGAGGGGGTCCCAGTGAGATAATGCAGTGCGGCCCCCGTGAGCCGGGCCGGCTTTCGTTTGACAGATGGATCAAATATTTTCTACATCGCCGGCATGATAGTTTTTTTTAAATTAATTACGCTTTTAGCTTTAGCTTTAGCTACCGTGGCTATCTCGGCGGCTAGCTCCGTCGTTGTTCGGCTCTGGTGCTCCAGCTCGCCGTTTCTCTCAAACTAGACCAGCTACTCTGTTCAAGGTGCGGATAAAAATGGTACAGCGTGAGCTAACTTTAAGTTTGGCCCCTCTGCCGCGTGCTTTTTTCGGTCTGCCCGATCAGAGGCGAGGTGTTAGAGGTGGGGGGGGCGAAGAGATGCTATACATAGCCTGAGATGCTCTGGCAGTAAAAACAAACAAGGTTTTCTTTCACACACTCCTTTCTCCGGGAGAGTTATGGGTCTGTGCCCTGTGATGGGGGGGTATAGTGGGGGTGGGGGGCTTTGAGCTACACAACAGGTGTGAAGCTGGCTCCCTATGTCACCTGATTGGGGCTTATGCAGCGCCAGGGCCCGCGTGGTTGTCGACACCGGCGCGATTAGCCGTGGATGCGCACGTGGATTAGCGCTCGTGAGGCTGAGGTTCCGCGATCCACTTGATCCGCCGCTGATCCCACATCAGCTGCAGATGAGGTTTCCCTGTGGCGGTCGGCTCGTGTTAGCGCTGCTATGGAAACCGTCTCTAGGGATGATGAAAAGGGGACACGCCGGGGGGATTGGGCCAAATTAGCCCGGACAGCGGCGGCCCCTTTCATATTGAGCTACCTCTTGATAAAGGCTCACCGAGCTTGATAGGGGGTTTAATCCATTTGGGCCACGAGCAAGTGTGGTTGAAGGAGGAATGAAAGAGGTCACTTTGTCGTGATCGACCACAAACTATTAAAAGTCTGATTTATTTGAGCAGGGCGGCATGCGCTGAATGCAGAGAGGACATTTCTTTTTTAAGAGGAGTTAAGAGTCGTAATCCAAATTAAAACTTAATTTGATCTGGGAACCAATCCAAATGTATTCTTCAGGGCTCAATCAATGCTGCTCAATGGGTCTTTTTTATTTTTTAATATCGTGGCATTGAACTGACTCAGAACGTGAGCAAACATTAACACTGGCAGTCGACTTACGTATGCAGGGTCGCAGAGGGGACTTGCCCTGTTGGTACCCCGGGGCGCAGCGGTTACACCTGAGGCCGGTCACCCCTTCTCGACACAGGCACTGACCCGATGTCTGATTGCACCAGCGGCCCACCGCTCCCAAAGGATGGCACTGACATGCTTAAAAAGAGAAGAAAAAGACATCAAAATCACGACGTGTGAAGGGTGTTACAGTTGGGGGCGTACTCGTGGGTTTTCACAAACTATTTCACATTTACGCAAACAAGTCGGCGTATTTTGCACGCGTTGAGTTGCGGATATATTTAGCAAAAACTTTATCTCAAAGTCAGGTTTAAAAAGCACCATTCATCAGTGATGGGACCCAGATGTAGTCCTGTTTGACAGCCTTCGTCCTACAGGAATGTCCTTTGAGAAAAGACCTCTATAACACCGCGAAAGCTATTTGGCAGCTTCCTTGTTGGGTAAACAAAGACAAAGTCTGCTGTAGAACTATCAATGGAATGGCACGTGATGGCAGCGATTGGTTTGGTTACTTGGCAATTTGCAAAATATCCAATTAGGTCCATCATTATCAGGTGGAGTATCTTAAGTAATACATTTTGTCGTCCTTTAATGTTACATATTGTGATGCTGTCTAATGGTTACTGCCTGAATTTGCCGTGGTTCACATCGCAAAGCTTTGTATTTGCAGGATAAGACCCGGTGAGAGAAGAGTGAGAGAGGAAGCCACACTTCAGCGGCTCTGTTCGCACTCTAGTTATATTTACACAAATGCTTACATCAAGTCCAAACAATCCGACTGGATAGGATGAGTAATTGGGCTCTGCAGAGTCACTAAAATATATTATATATATATACATATATTATATATATATATATAACAGGGAAAATTATTTTTAAGAAGCTTCCCAATGGAAACTTCGACAAGACAAAGGTTGTTTGCACCTTGTGCAAACCGGAGTTAGTTTACTGTAGAAGTTCTTCAAGTCTCAAATACCACCTAAACTTAAAGCATCGCTTAGCTAACGCGGAAGATGCCGGGCCAAGCACTGATGTAGCGCAGGGGAAGAGTCGTCAGTGGATTCCCACCAGCTGCCGGCCCAACAGCGTGGTAGAAGATGACGGGCTCGAGCTTGTTCTTCAGGCGGCCACAGGTGATCCATCTCACAAACTACCTGCTAGGCGAACTATCATGAGGAGAATACATGACCAGCACGCCCCTGGTCTAATGTAATTAGTTACTAAAAAAGTAATTATTTGGGTAGCACACATACTCTAAATGGCTTCGTCAGAATTCAAATGAGCCATTTTAATCTAGATTAATTCCAAGATTACAGTGAGATTAATCTACATTAAAGAAATTAATCTATGCCCACCACTAATATATATATATATATATATATATATATATATATATATATATATATATATATTTATATATATATATATATATATATATATAGTTTCATGCATTAAAAGTGATAGAATATGAGGAACTTCAATCATAGCTTGTGTTTTTTGTGTCAAGCTCAAATGAGCCCATTAACTCTGGATATATTGGGCCCGTGTTCAAGCTCCCACATGAGCATACCAGAGTGTCACAGTCACTTAGGACATGTGACGAGTCAAAGGTCAGAGGTCATGGCGGATGCCAGCCGGTGGTAATGATGGGAATGCAGGTGGTCGAACAGTGGGGTACGGGAGTGTTTTTGCGTGCATATCGCTTACAGGAATAGCTGTCTGCTCTCACAATGTAACCACCCTATAAACACTTCGGTACAGTCGAGACAAAGTGGGGCATGTACACACACACACACACCTGCAGTCTGACACAAACACTGTCTCTCACTCTATGATTTGCTTTTCATCCTCCGAGAATGCACAGATAGTGTGAGACACACACACACACACACACACACACACACACACACACACACAGACTAACGTTGGCAGGCCTTGCGGTGGTTCAGCAGCTTGCTTTGGTCGCGCGTGTATCCGTTCTGGCAGTACTGGCAGTGGCGTCCGGCCGTGTGGTGGCGACACTTGAGGCACACGCCCCCGCTACGCCGGCCCGACTGCTGAAACACCTCCATGCTGAAGCGGCACTTGTTTGAGTGGCCGTTGCACTCACAGGCTGAACAGGGAGGGGACATAATGAATAAGTAAGCAAATGTCAAAGTTAAATTGTGACATGAAATCCAGCACCTTACACGGGTACAATAGTTCATTTTTTCTTTTAGTCACATACGCTCATATGAGGAGTACAACTCCTAATATCGCCCTGATGATGTCATTTCGACCTCGACTTTAAGACGCATTTATAACAGAAGGCTTGTTTAACAAAATGTCAGTGTAGAGACATAACGCATAAATGTTTAGCATTCAGGACGGGTTTAATGGAAGACACTGTCCAGTTGCATTGTGGGAAATCCTTGCATTCTGCAATAGGATGGCGTACTCACCCACACAGGGGTTCGGGTGCGTGGGTGTAGCCCGATGCCACGGCCTGTCGCAGTAGAAATCCTCACACACGTCGCAGTCTTGCCCCGCCGTGTGATGCTCGCACACGCACACCGCCCGGCCAGTGTCGTCACGGCGACACGTGGAGGCGTGTCCGTTGCATTTACACCTGCCGCCAACTTGCACGTCCGAGAGGGCCAGCGGGGCTCGGGCCGCGGAGGGCGGGGCCGCCTGCAGATTCCTCGAGCTTTGTCTGGTGTTGAGATTATTGTTCCTCCTCTTCCTCAGTTCCCGCCCGTTGTTGTTCCGGCTCCGCCCCTCAACTGTCCAAACGCAACCACCGTTGGGGCAAGGTAGCCAATCATTGCTCTCTTTCTTGATACCACGCCCTCTGGCTTTACCGCCTTTCTTTGAATAAGTGAGCGTGTCTGTGCTTAAGCTACCACCCCCTTCTTTGCTGGTCACATTGTGTCCATCTTTGTCTTGACCTGACCCTTTATAATGACCCTTCCTCCCATGTTTGACCGCTTTCTCCCCTTTGTTCCTCCCACTTATCACTGATTTTTTTGTGTCCCTCTCAAAAAGTGCCAGTGTATTATCTGCATTCAACCGGTCCCCCTGAGCTCCAGCGTGCCCCGTGGAGCCTGATCTCCACCTCAGAAGACCAGTCCTTCTGTCATCATCTGCGCCGCCGCGCCATCGCGCTTCCTCTCGCTTATCGGAGTTGCCCACCTTTACCTCTTTGGACATCCGGTGGAAGACCACGCGGATGTCCGTGGCCGTCACCCAGTCCTGGAGGGTGTGGCTGTGGTCGAAATCGGGAGAAGACGGCCGCCCGTCGAGGGCGGAGAAGGCCAACACCATGCCGCCCCGCTGCTTCTGCAGGGGCCGAGGGTCGGAGCAGAGCGGCTCCGTCTCTTGGTGCCTCGTCTGGGCCACCGTCTGGGAGGGCAACCCAAAGTCCCCGAGGCAGTCGCTGGAGTAGTGCTGCATCGGCCTCCAGGTGCGCCCGTAGTCCATGGACTTGAGTATGGAGATGGAGATGGGGTCCGACGGCTCCCCCCGTTGGCAAAACTGCAAGCTTATGTAGGTGATCTCGAAGCGTCGACCCAGAGCTAACGAGAGGACCCAGTGCCCGGTGTCGTGACCTCCATGGGGCGTCCAGCAGGTGAGGTTGTGGGGATTGTGCAGGTCCGTCAAGGTGGTGATGCCGCTGTCACGATCAGGCCCATGCAGTGAATGGCTAGCGTTGGCCGAGACGCCATAGGCGGCGTTGATGAACTCCGACAGGCAGTGCCGCGGGCGGCCGTCTACGTAGTAGCAGGGGTCATGAGGAGAGGTCCAGCTCAATGGGGCGTGAGAAAGGGAAGAGGAGACGAGGGACGGAGGGAGGAAAGGGAGGAGCAAAAGGAAAACGGGGAAGAGAGAGGTGGAGGGGGGAGGGGAAAAGGGCCGGATCATCATGTTATCGAGCCTGTGGAAAGAGAAAAAAAAAAGATTTTTAAGAGAGAGCTGGATCATCAATCATAAATCAAGTGATTGATTTATATCACTTGCATTTGAAGTTGAAGAAGGAAATTTAAGACCTGTGCTTTTCATGGAAAACACACAATGCCAGATCACCCCATTCCTTCAACTGCAGCTCATTGGCTTTCAGAAGATGCCAAGATCTCATCCCATAAAAATGTGATCGCCACAGTAGTGTCGGCCACTGGTTTGAACCCACGACCTCGAACGGCTTTTAGGAAATGCATCCGCATTAAAACTCCCCTCGAGCCCCGGATAGGTTGGACGCGCGCGAGTGAAGAAGGACGCGCACCCGGCAGGTCCGTCCGAGATGACAAAAAACACGCCCGACAGCTGGCGCTAAACCCAGAGCCCGACATCCATCACGTTTATGGCTCCCCTTTTCAAATCACTTTACCGTCGGTCAGGGCTGCGGGCGAGCGAGGGGGCCTGAGCGTGAGCGATGTGAAGTGTTATTGAGCAGAAAGGAGGATATGAGAAAGAAGGAAAAAAAAAGACTTGAGGGGGAGGGAAGGAAAGCTGTGGGAGATTAGTTTTGAGGATGGTAGGAAATGATTTATAGGTTGAAATGTGTGTTCGCCTTGAGCCCCTTCACGGATACTTCCGTGGTTAAAGACAAACACGGACTTGTGTACGTCCGAGCAAATCCCTTCCCCGTCCCTTGCAACCGCTGATGAGTGTAATTTATCCCTCCGTCAAAACTTGATACCGGAGAGCGTTCGTTTTGGCATGTGGACAAAACGAAACAATGCGTGTGCTTTCTCGGGAAGCAGTGATTTATTGTTGCACCGCTTGCATGACGCCTCGAAGCACATTCCCAACAAGCACTTCCATAACATGTTTCATGCAAAGAAAGTTCAACACCTGCCACTTGTGCTTTTGTGTCACTCTCGTGTCTTTCCCTCTCAAGGAGAATGTCACTTTCTCGTCTATACCTTCCCCTCCACATTTGAAGGCGACCTTCTCCATGCCCTTCCATCCCCCGGCACATCTATCACCTGCCCCCTTCATTCGGTTCTGGGAATATTCTTAACTGCTGCGAGATTGATGGCGTCCTAACAAGCGTTTGACACTGACAGCAAAGTCAGCAGGGCTGCATAAACCAAACCCGCAAGAGGCAACGGGGCCGAACGCCTCTCCGGCCTCGTCATCCCGCTCAATTAGCCGGCGGCCGAAACCTGAGGCTTCGGAGCCGCGTGGTCCCCCCGAGGGGGCCCGAGGAGGAGGCCCGTGGCGCTCCCTCTGCTCGCCGCTCTGCCGCGGACCCTTCCAGAAGCAAAGTGGATCAACGAGGACGAAAGCCAAGATCGGAGGGCACACCGGGGGGGGGGACCCTGTTCTTTTGCGGCGTTGCTGCAGGAAACGCTACAAGCTCCGAGTGCGGCGACTGTGACCCCCCCGGTGTCACCGAGCCACATTCCCGGAGTCCAGAATGCCGCGGCCGGTCATTCCTGACGAGTCGCGACAAGCCCCCGCGGGGGACCTCAACGGACTGATTTAAAAAAACAGGACTTGAGGCTCAGCTTGATCGGCTGATTCATCGCGACTCCGGTTTCCAGGCACCGGTTGCACGAAGATAGTGTGAAAACGGATCGTGAGCCGGCTGGAGGGCAGCGGAGGATTCAGGGGGTAGGTGGAAGAATTCGCTCTGGATCAGGACTGACAATTGAGCGTAGGGGGTCCGAGGATGAAAGGAGGTGGTTGTTTAACATTCCCATGACATGCACTTGCTCGCGTCCTTTTTAAACATCGGCCCATTGCGACCACTTTGATGAATGGATGTTCCTCGCAGAGAGGCCCCTGGGGTTTTTTAATGCGCCCCTCTAGGCCGAATCCAGACTCTCTCTACTTCCGTAACCAGATCGTCCGTCTGGCACCGCCGCCGTAGCCCGCCGGACACGGTTTCCGCAGGGTTTTTTCTCCGCTGCGTTCCATAAATTCACAAAGCCGGGGGTTGCGCGTTGAAGACGAGCGAATTCTGAATTCTTCGCAGAGTTCAGTTCACGAGTATTTCACACCGGCCCTTTTGTTGATGCAAATCAACCCACTACAAATAGCGCGTGTTTGAAAGAGGCCATCGCCCCCCTCCCCCTTTGCCTTTTTGGCCCCCCACTCACTTTAAGGTCTAACTTATAAAACATAACGGTTAACAAAAACAAATATGGTTTCATTTAGAAGGGAAAAAAAAACCTAGTTTGGAAGCAACTTGGCAGCGATCGCCGTCTTTCAAAAAGCTTACGCAGCCAAATAGTGGTAAGATGAGATCAACATCTCCAGCGGGTGATCTTTAGAAGCAGCTATGCTTGGCTGGCGAGGGGCTGGAAAAATACTTGCTGACAACCTGGGGGCATGTTTACAGCATAGTCGATCGGAGGAGAGCGACGCGCTCGGGTTTGTGTTTCCTGAAGCTGTTCTGCTCCTATTCCACGTGTGTCCGATGAATGTCAGGGAGGGAAACAAAAGCATTCCTTCGTGGAGATGGCATGAACTGATGGCATATATTAGCTTTAGAAGAGATTCCCCCGCCAGTCATTTCGTCTTGGGAACGTCAAAGTAAAATCATACCTTTTTCGTGATCTAGAATTACAAATGTCAAATGGTTTTGTGGAGATATCTGAGGTGCTGCCGGTTTGAGACCATTTCAAAATGAGCCTCCCCCATGATGAAGAACGTTTGACAGAAAGCTCTTCATTCAACACTAAGATTGATGAGAACCCCTTGCTGGGGATAAGTGTGGGATGAAAAAGTGTAAAACATATTTGTTATATTTACGGGGTGCAGACCCCCATTGATCAGCGGGACGTGTGACTCCAACTGGTGCTAAGACGCATAAGAGAGATCTTCATATCTGTTTATTGCCCCGAGGTGTCGTACGTCTGTTTTTTTGGGCTTATGCACGACCCCTTTTCCATGTAGCCCATACCGAGTCCTCTCCTACCTGTAAACTCTCTTTGGCCTGTCCACACTGTTGGGCCGTCTGACCCCGGAGCTGCTCTGCTGAGCAGATGAGCCGGCTCACACGTTTTAACATTCCTCGTCATGGGGGAGCAGAGCGGACGCAGATATAAGACTGAAGGGTGAATCGCACAAACAAACTCCCAGGAATCTCCCCGGGTTCCACGCTGCAGCTTTTCTCCAAGACGCGGAGCCTCGATAAATGACACAGGCCCTGTTTCTCTTTCCAGCCGAACCGAGGGGCACCTGTTGGTGCACGTTACCACGCTGACGCCTTCTTGATCAGTTGCGATTGTCCTCCGCCGGTCAGAAATACAACACTGGCTTCCGGGTTGAGAAGAGAGAAGTTTCGCACGCCGTCCTGGTTTTCTAAAAGACGCATTCCTGCCCGCCACAGTGGAAGCCCATCTGTGTGTCACTCCCCACGGAGCGGATTTCCACGGGTTCTGTTTTAGGTGTAATAATCTAATTTTAGTGGGGCCGCCCCGGGGAAGGTGAAAGCGACGTGGAGGGCACAAAACCGGATTGTCACTGCTTGTATCCGAAGGCCCGCTGTCTTTCACGTGTGCACAGCCAACAAAACCGCCAATCCCCCGCACACGGAAGGTGTCTCGCCCTTGGTGTTGACCCAGGAGCCCTGCTTACTAATTTTATTTGAATAAAAAAACACATGTTACACTTGATATTTGGAAGCGAGTTTCCTGTGCCCCCCCCCCCCCCCTACCTTCCGCCCGCCCCCCCTCACAGCCTCATACAAGTTGGCAAGACCCTCTCCAGCAGCTCCAGCCTCACATGTTGATATTGAGGAACAGATGGAAATGAAATCATTGTGATTTCATGTTGCAGTCACGCCAACGACAACCTCGGGCACGATGGAAGTAGAAGTGAGGCCTCGGGCTGGTGTCAATTGAATCCACATAATGTCCCACAGGGGGGGTTAACAAAGAGGAAAAAGAAAACACAATAGTACTCCAGCGCTGCAACAAATAACTAATAAAAAACACATGATTATTGCTGGCTAATTTATTGTGTTGTTTTAAAAGGGAAATAAAGTGTCTGCTTGTGTGCAATCTATTTAAAAACAAACGTAAGGTCCCGACTGTGTATGATTGCATGCATTAGAAACATGTGCCCCATCATACAACAAATACGCAATCGGCCTTGTGTATCTATTAAAGCAACTACGGTAGATTTCCTCTTGGATACAAGTGCCGCAAAGGTTTTTGTTTTTTTTAGGAAAACTAATCAACCACAGACGTTAAAAAGAAAACAGCCCGCAGTCACACGCACCTCGTGGACGTTGTGTTTACCCGAGAATAATGATTCACGTGCCCGCGGTTCATTAAACATTAATGTTTATCATATTTAGGGTGATTACTTTGGCAAGAGCTAATAGTGACGCCCGGAGCATAATTGCCTCATTCGGTGCAGCTAATTGCACTTGTTAAGCACAAATTCTCTGCAGTCAATTAGTTTTTATCTCACAGAAAAGAAAAATAATATTTACACTATAAGGTTATCCCTGTTTGATCAAACAACTTCTCTATTTTAAAAAGAAAATTCTTATCAATTGGTCTTGTGGTGTGTTTTGCTTTATGGACATTTTTTTTAGTTGTAAATCCAGTCCGTCTAATCAAACTATCGTCAAATTTAATGTTTTACTCCATCCGCAACATGACTAATATACACGTATTAAATCGCTTGTAATGATATTATGATAACCGTGGGATTATCCTAGTAGCAACATGTTTTAATAATTTGAGTAAAGACGTGAGCAAGTAAAAAGAATAACTTGAATTTTCACATAATTTATGGGAAAATAATTTACGGTCATAAACAAAACTTCAAAAAACGTATTTCATTGGCTTTAATTCTGCCATGTTTGTGTGCCGCAATTACATTTAGAGGAACGATGTAATCTAACAAAATATGCATTGCTACAACTGTATAGCATAATTAAGTATGTATAGTTAATAACAAATAAATTAAGAAAATACGCGCAAATTGGCTGAATCAATGTGACCGATTAAAACAATTGTCAATGTACTTAATCCGTTTGGTAAAATATTAGCTCATTTCAACAGAAAACCAAAAGCAGCGTTTCGTGCTTTTCTTTTCATATATTTAGCAAATAGAAACACTAACGCGCGCCTTTTAATTGACCTCATTGCCAAAACAAACCCAGCCGGTAATTTCGTCTATTTACGCGCCACTTCTGCGTCACCCAAAACTTCCCAAACGCCTCAAATAGCAAAGTCCAGGGGCAACAAACCTTGGGAAAGGAGGAAGGAACAAATCGGCTCACCATGTGCGTCCCAGTGATTCTCCTTCTCCGGATCATTAAGAGAAGCGCAGCGGCCAGTGTCCGGACATCCAGCTCCAGCGCGTCCGCAGAGGAGCACAGCAGACGGAGAACGTGCCGAGAGGGGAACGCACCGGGCTACAGATGGGGGAGGAGGAGGAGGAGGAGGGGGGAGGAGGGGAGAGAATAAACGGACGGCATCAACTGGGAGGTGCGTCTCTCCTGACGTGAGCCACGGAGGAGTCCCCCGCATCCTGCGTTACGCGCAGCGCGCGTCTGCCACGCTACTTTACAAAGGCTAAAGGTATTAATCAAACTCAAAGGAACAGACTCGTTTCCATTATGCTGATTGTCTTTCTAAGGTCTAATCCGCAATGAGTTCGTTTCTATAAATCTGACAAACACATTTCTTCCTAAATGCAATGCAGTAAATACATATTTTAAAGTAAAGTTTATTGTGAGGGTTGGTTGAATTTTAATTTAAGCAAAAGGGGGAATAAGTGTTCTGATTGCTTTGTGGATGCAAAACGTGGTTCAGGGGCCATTTTTTCAGGGGAGTTTTTTTTTTATAGATGTTCTTACACTTCGCCTCAATGCAGGACTTCCTGTTTTATTTTTTGTGTTTTGGCTTTAATTTTCCACCACTGTCCGCTTGTTTAACCAAAGTTAAACCTCCCAGGCAACTGGCATTACATTTCACAATGTACTTCTGGTTTTATTTAAACACTAACGTAATTAAGTATTCTTCAAAGTGTTGGACTCTTATTGTTGCTTCATCAAAGTTTTGAGGAAAATAAATCCATCTGTGTAATTTATTGAGCATTTACTAACTACGTAATCAGAACTGTTAACAGCAGCTGTAATATAATTCCAATAAAACATATTTCATATGTCACTAAAACCTTCTGGCGCATGAACATACGTTACATCAGCGCGTTCCAACAAATACAGACAAAAACAAGTTTCTCACTTCAAATAATCAAAAACTTTAGCACAACATCATGTTTTCTATGAAGCAATTGTTCTCGGTTAACTATGAATTAAAACTTCCATCACTTGTATAAAGTCAAAGTCATTTGATAGAATGCTCATTTATTGGAAAAGAAACCAATTTCATGGAAGGTGTTGTTGCAAGCAGGAAGTCAGACGAGCTGATGTCAACGCACTTGAGGGCAAACTGGAACAGGTTGATCTCATTTAGAGACAAGTGGCTTTTTTTTTAAACTTTCAAGGCAGTTCAAGACTTAATTTCAGCATTTTGACCCTGCACAGATCTTTTCACCTTCAGGTTTATTACCACAGGCGGGCAAATTGAGCACACGGGGGGTGAGGGGGGGGCGGTTGCGATAGTCTTATCTTGCGTTGTCCAGGCAAAGATCTCACTCTCCAGTTTGCTCCAATTACCCCTCAGTGGAATAAGAAAAATGGTTGAAGTTAATTGGCTGCAGTGGATCGTTCTCAGATGTGAAGCAAAACTGATACAGATGGAAATATAAGAAAGAGAATTGAGGAGGAGGGTGGAGGAGGAGGAGGGTGGAGGGAGGGAAGACGCTTGATTGGAGAGGAGAAAACTTTCCCAGAGAAACCCATAAAACTGATTGATGACTTCCCTCGAGGAATGTTTCCCCAGGTGTGCTTTGTGTGTGCGTGTTGTAGTAGTTACAGCGCAGTTAAGAAATGCTATCCTTGGACGCAGGACAAGCGCAATGAAGCAAATTGAGAGGTGGGGTAGCACGTGAATGCGTCAACAAAGGCACAGAGGTGGGACTCAATCGGTACCATTTAAATCACCCAGATCGATGACAGAGACGATCGCTGAAAATGAAAGAAGCACAAACGTTTAACTGATTAAATAAACACTTCAGGTGGTCCTTGACAGGTGCCTCATCCTGCCAAAGTCTGCACCCCGCGGCTAAGCGTGTGCTCCGAGGCCCACATCATAATAAACAAAATACCACAGAGGCGTAATTATAAAAGTCAACTTTAAGCCTCTTTGACGGGATAAGAGCAGATTTCACAACACGGGTGTGTGTTTGATGGATTGCCTTTGCTCAAATGTTAAGAGGAACAATGTGGCATTATGCTTTGGGTTGGTGATCAGATATGAATGTGATGACACATAAATAAAAGCGATGAAGCAATGAAACGGCGTGTACGTACTAAAAAGAAACCGCAAGTGCTTTTATTATGAAGATAGAAAAAGACATGTAGGTAAAAATGAACCTCCCTGATCGTATCAGAATGGAACAGATGGAGGTTTTAGATATATAATTCTATAACTGAAATGAACAAAATCCATTCTTTAAGGAGGGAATTGTCAATTCAGAGTAAAGGAAATGCTGATGTAGACATGGGTGCATCTCAAGGACCCTTGTTAGGCCTCTTTTCATTTAGATTATATCAATGATATCCCTCAGCATTGGAGATGTAGAAGACACATGTGCAAAAATTGAAGATTATAATTAGCATTGAGCAAAGTTTTGAAAACGTTTTGATTATATTCAAATTTCTTTATTCTTTAATTTCTTTCTTTCTTTCTTTCTGTAAACCTACTTTTTCGGTTTACCTGTGTCTTCTATGGTTTAACATTATGTAATTAATTTCCAATAAATATCTTTAAAATATATTTTAAAAAGGAGATCTCCCCAAGCCTTTTGTTTAAAACCCAAAAGTCTGCATTGAAAAACTGAAACGATGATTGTGTGCTTTACTTTGGGAAACGGAGGTTCGAGCGGCTGTCAGGAGATCCTCTCTTAACGCGGAGACGTGTCTCACGTGTCCCGTCCATTTCAGGGGTCGCCCTCCGTCGTCAAAGTACGTCTTCTAGGGGATCGAGTTCCCGACCTTCTGTCCTGAACCTCTAATCAATCTCAATGATCACCTCCGGACCCTGAAAGTTAACATCAAAAACACACAACACGGGCTTTGTTCGTCAAAGAAATCGAACCTATTCTTCTCTTGATGGTAACTATTATGATTTTGTTGTAAAGCAACGAGACATGTGCCTGTAATAAAAACACCTCGACTGAAGGCTTTGGCTCTGAATCATGGTTGGCAAAAAAAAATAAGAGGGGCAAATTATCCGGGTTGCCATGAAACCAGATGCATGATTTCTTCCCTGACTGTGTGCTGGCAGGTGTTGGATGGAGAAGGAGAGCAGACTATCGCCGCTGCAAAGGAAAAGACATAAATAAACTTGATTTAACTCGCTGCGTCTAAGATCAAAGATCGGGGTTGAAGCTTTGAATCAGATGAAGATCAGCCTCCTGCTGCTACAAAACATCCAACGTCTTTAGGCCATTATCTAAATTTAAAAATGAGAAAGTAACTCAAAGCAGAGAATACGGAGAAACTAGTGAAAAGAACGTTTTTTACTATTAAATGAGAAACACATTTGAGGCAATGGAGCTTGTCCAACTGAAAGATCAAACTTTATATAAAGTTAAATGACTAAATCGCTGCCAATGTCAACACTAAAATATTACATATGCTCTTAGTTGTGCCTCAAAGGAAGTTGAGCATGTAATGCATGAGTGGTGTCGACAGATGTTGATATTTAAAGTTGTGTCATGTTGAAAAAGAAACTACAATTGCAAATAAAAACAACAGCCATAAACCCGGATTAATGGTTACACATTTCAAGCAGTCACTTATCGGACTACTAGAATACGTCACAGAGCGAAGATGAAAGCGGCTTATGGTAAAAGTATTTAGACTGCAGCCTTTCATCAGCCAACGTTTGATTTGATTGTCAGGCAGCCGGGGCTGCAAGGTTGGATACGTTGGTGACTAATGTCACATGATTACTGGTAAAAGAATCAAAAATAGAAGGAGCAGCATTTTAGAAAATGTGTAAAAAGCATAAATAAATGCCTCAAAATCATTGTGGCTTAGAGCGATCATCTGGTACGCAGAAACTATTTATTCTTTATACTTGTGCAAAGATATTCAAACATCAGTGTGATTACACCAATATAGAAATTCAGATTTATATAGATCCAGCAGCACTATATTGTGATTTAAGTTAAGCTGTGCCAGGACTCCTTTTTCATATTTCACAGGTTTCACATGTTTATTGAACTCAATCACTTCAATACAGATGTTGGTATTTTAAATGGAAGAAATATTATTGGACCCAAAATGGTTCGGTGGAGCCCTGCAAGGACAGAAAAAATGGAATTTAATCATTTGGCCACTCAAACCGTCTCTTCCGCACAGTGTTCGGTACTGCTGCTGGTATTGGGTCGTGGGAGACGTGGTACCAGTTGGCCGGGGCTCCGTGTTGCTCCTCAGCGCCCTCTTGCGGTTGGATTTGGCACCGCGGATGTGATTCGTCTCCTTAACTGCGCCGCAGCTTCCGCAAACATGGTCATCACCATCCGCCGACCTCCACCTGACGGATAGAACCACATCGGATTAAACTTATCAATTTTATTAGGGAATAAGTTCAGCGTCGGTCCTGTTTTTAACAGTGAAAGGGATAAAAAATAAATTAAAAAAAACCTGACCTTCCCCCGTCAAACCAGCAGGCCTTTTTCCCCGGGGGCTTGTTTGAACTGGGCTCTGCTTCCAGGTAGCACGTTATGTAAATCTACAGGAGACAGAACGACACACTCTTAGGCGTTTATTCTTTAGACGGTGGATGAGTAAATGAACACGCGAGGTTCTGACAGTGTGCCTGTGGTCCTGGCGGAAGAGGAATGGCTCCAGTTGAATGTGGAGGAGTTCGTCCTGGACTCTGGGCAGGAAACGGGAGCTCGAGCCGTCCAGCTGTGAGTCTGTAAAACATCTGCAAAGACCAGGCATGTCCTTATCAGATTCAACCAGTAATTGGGGTGCATTTTTATACGATTGCTGCACACAAACTGAACAGATTCATGCGTGCAGTGTGGGCCACCCCTATTCAAAAAGGAAGTAGTTCTCCTTTTGGGGTAAAATTGATTGCAGGAACCACTGCAGACATGAAAGGACGTAAGAGAACTCACCCGTGGCGGTCTATGAAGGGGTGTCTGGGGTGGGAATTCACGTCGGAGGTCAGAGTGGCCACACAGCTGTCCGCGTACAGACGCAGAGGAAGGTGATGGTGGTCCACGGAGGCCTCCACGTTCACCACCTCACCCAGGAAGTAAGCGGATGACTTTCTCTCGCGGCTCCAGTCGTCTGAGGAATGAAAAAAAAAAGATGTACATCTATACGTCTCATGGTGCGTCCAGGAAAATACACCCATAGTTTGCCAATGAGTCATGAAATCCACCTAATTCAACGGATTTATTCTGGGATAATTTGAGAAGGGCTACAATTTAAGGAGGTCTAGCATTTGGCTGCTATGGATACGAAATGTTATCAATATTGGCAGTTACACTTGGTACCAGGATGACCTCTATGACCCTTTCACGTTCACATTTTTCCAAAATAAGTCATGTTGAAAGTAAACGTGTTTTTTTCCGACCCGAACTGATACCAACTCACTTGTCATGAGCCTGAGGTGGAAGCCCATGAGCAGATGTGTTGATTGGCCGGAGATCGGGGGAATCCACGTTGGTTTCAGGGCCGGGCTACTCACCGGGTACCTCCTGCAAGGTAGAGGGGGGCTCAACATCTACCCGGAAATAAATGAATCCAAGTAAAGCTCGGGGTGCTGACTCGTCCTACACAGTTCAATTGGAAAATAATACGATACGAGTGGACTCTGTCATCCTGCTTATATTTGAGTGTGACTGCACCTTCTGTATTCACACACCACCGGAATATAGACTCCTTCTGCTTGCAACTGGTCCCCGGGGGACGTGGGTGGAGGTGGAGGAGGAGGAGAGTACTGCAGGAAGTTGTTGTAGAGCACCGCACTGTGGATGGACTGCAGGACACACAGAGCACCATCACTTCTAGGCCACAAGGTGGCGGCATTGAGGAGCCACCAAGCTGCCAAAGAGGGTCCTTTTTTTTTAATAATGTTGATTATTAAGTCTCACCGACCGTCACTGCGCTGCCGCACGCCGCCAGAGGCGCCGTGATGACGTAATCCCCGTTTCCAGCGACTGTGGCCGCGCAGCGGGGATCCCGCGCGGCACCGAGGGGCCCGAGCCTCAGGCGCCCGGGCTCCACGGGCACGGCCGGGTCCAGCAGGCGCGCTTCCATCACGACCTCCACGCCGTCCTGGTCACAGTTCACCGCGAAGGTCTTGATCTTGTGATCCCCCACGGGGGGCGCGTTGGGCCACTGCAGGGAGTCTCCCCCGAGGGCGGCCAGGTCGGAGAAGGGCAGAAAAAGCGGTTCGGTCAGGTAAGTGTGGCCCCGGACGGTCGCTAACGAAGACAGGATGCACAGAGGAAGAAAGGTCACGGTCAGAGAGGCGAGCGGCATCATGGTGGCGCGTTGAAAACGGCCCCTCCTGCTTTGGTTTCCTGATTTGACTGTCAACAGGAGCACAGGAGGAACACACCTGCAACCCATCAGCCTTGATTAGTGGCCTGCAGCTGCACAACAGAACGCAGAAGAAAGAAAAACTCTCCAAACACGTTATAAAAAGGCATTTTATTTACAGTAAAAAAACTGTACATATTGCATTTAAAGGCGTATTGTTTGCATAAATACGTAACAGCGTTTACATATTACAACACTGAGAAGGACACAAATACTCAACTTTAAAACTTTAATCCAAAAATCAAAAGGTGCAACAGTTGCTAAAATGTTTCAACTAAACTAACATGAAATGTAGCTTAAAACCGAGATTTGGCAGCAGGTTGACTAAAATAGTGTTTATAATACATCATTTCTTTTCAGCCAAAAGCTAAAATTGCGGTTCTCTTGTTGCTCTCTGCATCTCCCTCACAGCTCCGCAGCGTCATGCGTGGTGTCCCCGTTGTCCCCCTCCCTGCCTCCTTTGGTCCCCATGTCTCCTTTCCAGGCCTCCTTCATACACTCTGAGGGGAAAACAAACAAAGGAATCCGAGGAGGGTGAGTTCATGTTTACATGTGACCACCCTCAATAACACTCTTCATCGAACAGTAGAAGCCGGAACACCGGGTGAGACCAGGGATCTTCTACCTTGCTCCGATGCCTTGAGGACGTGGCTCCTACAGAGGAAGTCCTCCAGCCTCTGGTCCTGATGATGGAAGTACCAGTCCTCGACCACCTCCTCATGCTGCTCCAGCATGGTCTCGCACTAAACACACGTTAAAAAGGGCTCAAAAGTAGGCGCTTTACTACAAACATTTGTAGCCAAACGATCTCACGCGCACACGTCCCGTACCTGTTTCTTCATGTCTGACACCTCCACGGAGGGTTCGTCCCACAGCTCGTACGGCAGACCCAGGTCCACTTTCACTCCTTTGTGGACCAGGTTCTTCAGAGTCTCCATCGTCTGACTGGTACCCTGCAAAGAACGGCATGAGTCCAGGGGGGCGGCGGGGGGTCTTTTATTTATTTATTTGTTATGTTTTTCCAACACAAGGACACGTGTCACCTTTGCGTACCGGAGGCTGCCGGGCCTCTCCGCGTGCACGTTGTACTGCAGGACGCGTTCACATATGTCGTCCACCGCCTCGGTCAGCCGCGTTTCCCTGCGGTGTTGTTGTTGTTGTTGTTGTTTTTTTAAAACAATGACGCATTTATTGATCACCCCAGAGGTATATTTCTCCCGCTGGTAAAGGGACATCGCACGGATTTAACTCACGACGTGTTGTACTTGATCTTCCTTCTTCTCCTGCCCGTGTCCAGCACCTCTCCGACCTCCAGAACTTCCTTGGAGCGACTCGTTTTCTCCAGCGCGTCCTGCAGCTCCACCGTTAAGAACTTACACACTGACCGACAGGTGGAAACACAGATGTAACAACTATGTTATGCGTGTTTTAACACAACGTTATTAACGTTAAGGGGCACGAACAGCTTCATAACAGCGTCGCTTCTTCTTCTTCTTCTTCTTCGTCGTACCTTCGCATTTATTCGGTAGTCTCTCGTCTTCTCCTGCCGTGACAGAGCAGCAGACGATGAAGAAAACCAGAATAAAAAGATTCATAGCGACGGCGTGTTGTTAAAAACCTTGAGGCGAAATAAAAGTTTAACGTCGCGGCCACATCGGCATTTGCGAAAAGTGGAACTGCGCATGCGCAGCATTCCAACCAGCAGACACGACTAGTAGATGCCCGGTGGATGGATTCCAGGAGAGACAATCGATGGAGGACGATTCATTTATCATTCGCGCGAAAATCCTATATAGAAGTACATGTTTTTATACTATCACAATGATAGTAAAATGCATATATTGCTAATATCTGTTATACCATGTACTAGAACTGGCAGCCTTATACTTATTTGTTCTAACGTTACATTAGAATATTACATTTTTATATTGTTTCTTTCCAATATGTATGTGACACAAAGTGTCCATAAATAACTTAATATAGGTAGTAAGCCTCTGTAGATACATTAACATGAGCTACCTATTACACAGAGGTAGAAAATAAGCTGCAGGAATTCAAATCTGCCTTTTTCATGCGATGTCAACTGCTTTTGAATTATGATGAATCAGCCCTGAGCTGCTGCTCCAGGTCAATCACATAGACATGGTGGATAATTAGCTAGAATATTTGGCAGCGAGGTGGTTAAAATAGAGGGTGTGGGCCCCACTGCTTCTCAGGTGTCAGGGGAAAAACACACGCGACTGGTCAACAGATACCGCCGGAGTCTGCGGGAGAAGATAGGAAGGAGAGGAGAGGAGAGAAGAGGAGAGGAGAGAGGAAAAGATAAGAAACAAAACCCAGAGGAAAGGGGACGTCTGGACAAAGTTAATATGAGGATAGAAAGGAAAGGAAGCGAGGGATGGGACAAGAAGAAGCTCAGTCACCAACCACAAGTGAGTGACACACAGACACACATTCGTTCATGTCCACGGGCTGCAGATGGGATTGCACACAGGCGTTAGAGGATCAGGTGTTCATCTTGAGTGTCTGAAACTCCAGACTAACCGTGGTGTCCTGCTGGTGGGGAGCTTCCACGGCTATAATTGTGTGTTATCTCACTCAGCGAGGTGACTGTCTATTGTCTGTGTGCAGGGGGGGTAAAGTTACACTGTAACCCTGCACTCTAACACACGGCTGTGTATGCACACACACGCTGATGGTGTGAGGGAATCTGCAGGGGTAACATCACGCTGTACTTTTACCCCCCAGCATCATCCATAGAGTAGTTTTCTTTTTGTATTACGATTGACAACTCATATTTTTTTTCATCGAGGTCCAGTGAAACAAATCTCCAAGATGTCACTGAGTTCCAGGGGGCTACAGGTCGTCAGTGGGATTCTCTAAACTGATTTGAAGGACAGAAGGAGAAAGCGTCTCTCGGGTGTTAACAGCTGACTCACGGACAAATAACAACAAGGAGAATGAGATGATGACTGCTGGTGATTTGTCCCGTAAGAGGTTGTGTGATTTCATCAGAGAAATGAGGATTTCCTCAGCGGCCAAAGGAGGACATGGACCAGGAGCTTAGCTTCATATGAGGAACAAGTGGATAAACTTCTGGTCTGACTTTAAGGTAATAGATGTTTACCTACGATTTATATTGTAAAAATGGTCAAATGTAAAAAATACCTTACTAATGTATAATCAGTGACTGATGGAATAAGGTCACTTTCATAAGCCCTTTTAATACAGACTATTATATATGACTGTATATATTAATATCAATAATATATTGTCTAAAGTTTGTGACGCTGCCTGAAGATGTTTAAATCAGTAATATGGGATGCTTCATTTGTATTAACTGCTATTTTCATATTTAAAACAATCATACGTTTTATGTACCTTTGTTAATTGTTTGTGAATGAACGGTACCATCAGTTTATCATTTTAAAGCATTCATTAATGAACACATAAGCTTTAAGTGCACAAATCCAATAAAAAACATACATTGACAATTCAAAATATAGAAAAAATAACCACTTTGATGTATCATTCATAGATGATGGTCCATTTGATTTCTTGTGATCAAAAGAAAATTTGCGCCAAATGGCATTCTTTTCTTTTCCATTTGGTGTCTTCGTGTGGGTCGTGAATTTGTTATGCTTTCGTTTACCTCTAGGTCGCGAGTGAGTGTCACCGCCACATGTTCATCCGTCTCTCTGCACAAATATGACACCAGAGAAGCGAAACCCCGCTGATAATTGATGACACTGACCTGTGAGGTATCTGCAAACCCAAGCTCCTGCAAGGTTTCGTCTCTTGCAAGACCCCGAGTTGACCCCGCCATCAATACACACACAGAATTCACACACGCACACACACGCCAGTTGATGCTCACATAAACGCAAGCTGCTGACTCAGGGACCCCAGCAGTTCATATCACTGATGACTAAAACAGCAGCATTACCTTACTGCTGCCCTCACCCTCCTTCACACTCACACACACACACACACAAACACACACACACTGACTCTGCAGCGGCACCAGCTATGAGCCATGTTTTCCTTTAGCTTTCATATTTACAGTATTTTTTTTACCTAATTGGCACATTTAAGTGTAACTTTCCCCAAATTAATTTGTATTTCTATTTGGGGGATTTTTGAAAGCTCTAACGGATAAATTACTTCTGTGTTTACAATATCAGTCAACCTTGTCTGTGTTAATGGTTCTGATATTACCAGTCGGCCATAAAACATATTATTCCCCAGCATTTTGTCAGTAACCAGTGTTTCATGTTTAAATTAGGTTTGAATGTTTTAACAAAGACAATTCATACAATATGTTGTGTAAATATTCAAACAGTACCCCCCCTCCGCAGTGCTTCATGGCCATTTCCATACAAACCATTGATCGGCGCCATTTCTCATCCTGAAGCCTCCCCTCTAACGGGCCGCAATGCCCGAGCGAGTGAGCAGTTACCAGGGTCAAAGCTTTCACTCGCTGAGGCGGTCCTGCTTGCGTCGCGGCGCGCTCTTCAAGGACCCCCTGTTCCCCGCCACCGCACAGTCCCTCTTCTACAAGAGGGAGCCGCCGCCGGGACTGACCTGGAGGAGGCCGAGGGTGAGCGTGACACGAGGGCAGAGGCTCTTTCCCTCCGAATCGTACCGAGCGGCCTCCTGAATGACCGTTTTTCTTCTTTACCGCCACATGTTCGTAGCTCAGGCCAGTTGAAAACAACAACAGAAGTTATTCTTTAAATATATCTCCTCTCCTCCGTCGTCTAAATCGAGTGGCGCGGATCAGCGCGCCTCGCTTCCATCAGATTAGAGCTCATTAAAGTACTTTCTATTACGGGAGAGGCGTCAGGCGAGGAGGCCTCGAGTGGCGATGGAGCACGCCATTGGTGTGTGAGCTGAGTTTAGAAAAAGCAGCAGCCAATTTAAATAGCCCGGGAGTTTTTAGCACAGTGTTGAGACGGGTGTAGCCGTGTATAAGTAACAGTGTTTATTGTTGCTACAGCAAGCCAAGCAACCTTTTAATGGCGGCGATGAAATGCGAGGTTGAAGTCAAGGTTGGATTATAAATTGTCCGGTGTCACTGGCCAAAAAAACTAAATTCAATGGACTGGTTAGGAAATGGATTGTGCGTATCGAAACAAAGAGGATCATAATACAGAATAAACAATGTGATAGATGCTGCAAAATGAGTCAAAATAAGCATTTATGTCAGAAACACAGCTGTATATACAATTATTTTTGTCCTCCCTTATAAGCAAAGACAAAAATGTATGTTAGTTTTGGTATTTCTTCAGCAGAATAAATGTAATCCTTCTAAAGACCGTGACATTTGACATTTATCTCACAGTCACACCAGTGAAAGAATGATTGAAAACCAGCAGCACCAACAAAGCAGACAGTCATCCATTATATGCATCAAATCATTTTTATTTAAACAATTTTCCAGTTGATTATAAAAAAAAGTTCGTGGAAAATCAACCATTATGTGAACTGCAAAACTGACTGACGGACTACGCAATTACAAAAAATAAGTTGTAGCTGTCTCTGCAGGTGGGAAAAAATATGCAAAAACACTCCAGATGTATAAAACTGAAAGCTTTTTAAACTGGCTGATGCCTTTTTCAATTTTTGACAAGCAATTTATGATGAATTTTCAAGAGCTGCAGAATCTTAATACACCCAATTAAGCTCAATTTTCATAAGAGCTGTGCATTTTGTTCAGTAGTTCATGAAGTTCTTTCGGTGTGAGTGCTGAACCTTCTGTGCTCTGAACGTGAGACTGTGCCAGTGATTCATTTGTTGATTCAGGGCTGAAAAAGAGAGGGTTACTGGGATTGTGTTCCTAGTGCTGCACTGAGGTATTTTAAGCGTGTATCAACAGGGAGTCCGATGATAGGGTGACATCTGTCGCCTCCTTCTGCTGACACGCACACACACTCACAGAAACTGAAGTTGATATCATCACAGGGGAGGTTCATATCTTGTCCGGAGTTACTTTTAACGAGTTTAGGACCACCGAGCGTGTAAGTTTCCCCTCATGTCTCCAGCAGCACCTCTTGTGTCACCTGACTCGGTCCAAACTGAGATCGACGGATCCACACAGACAGGATTTACCTACTTTACAAAAGTTTGTTTAAAGCTGCTTTATAATCGGTATTTACATGTCAACAATTGCCTGGTGAAAGAGGTAAAACGATTTAGAAATAAGCACCCCAAAAAATCTATTGGTTTAATGTGTCTTTCTTTAAAAGAAACCTGAAGTCTGTCCCTTCTAAACACACCACAGGAGATATGTAAAGACCCCCGTCTGTTTGTTGATGGCATCAGCACTCGGGACCTGCACCAAGGCAGTCTGGGTAACTGCTGGATGGTGGCAGCCATTTCCTGCTTAGCATCTGAGCCATCGCTGTGGAAGAAGGTTGAGTATCTGTGCTCCTCCGCCGCCCCCCCCCCCCCCCAATCCCTCCTCCTTCCCTTCCTTCGTGGCTTCATCCCGTCTCCCTCTTCAACTCCTCCCAGGTGATCCCGGACCACGTGGGCCAGGACTGGAATCCGAAGCATCCCGACCAGTACGCGGGCATCTTTCATTTCCGGTTCTGGAGACTCGGCCGGTGGACGGACGTCGTTGTGGACGACCGCCTGCCGGTCAGCGCGGACGGAGTGCTGCTCTTCTGCCGCTCGGCCACACCACGGGAGTTTTGGAGCGCCCTGCTGGAGAAGGCCTACGCCAAGTAAGGACTCTAGAATCGCAGACGCCGTCCTCCCCTCTCGAGGACACAGTCTACTCCCAGTCCTCTGCCCTACCACGGAGACACCCTAAGCATCGAGTTCTACCACAAACCAACACCTGCCGAGTGACGGATTGGGGAAGGGAGAAGAGCGGCAACTTCTGAATCATTAAGTCAGTCTATCTGGTTACTCTCCAGGCTAAACGGTTGCTACGAGGCCCTGGAGGGAGGAAACACCACGGAGGCGCTAATCGACTTCACCGGCGGGGTTTCGGAGCCCCTCAGCCTGGATCGTGAGGCCCTGGGCCTGCACAGCCACCACAGGAGGGCGTTCTTCCAGACATTGGCTAAGGCTCATGAACGTAAAGCCCTCATCACCTGCTCCATACGGGTACAGCCTGTCGGAGTACCTTCAAAACCATAGAGATCCACGGCCTCTGTGTGTCTCGGATGAGTTTAAAGTACCCTCACGTGTGGCGTTTCTCAGCCTGCAGAGGGGGAGGCCGTGGAGTCTGTGATGGACTGCGGCCTGGTGCGAGGACACGCCTACGGGGTCACAGCGGTGAGGAAGGTGAGGCTGGGGGAGACGGTGCCGGGTTGGACGTCCCGACTCTTCATGGTGCGCATGAGGAACCCGTGGGGGACCACACACTGGACGGGTGCCTGGAGTCAGGGGTATGGGTACTTTGAACTCTGCATGTCCAACTGCTGCTGAGTACATCATACCTTTTGCTGGAGCTGTGGGAGAGTTTGACAGAGTTAGTCTGTTTTTACGACGTTTCATAATTGAAATTTCCGACGTTTTACAATAGCGTTGGAATTGTTTTACAAGAGACATCTGCCGTTGACGTTACGGAAGTCTGAGAAACCCTGAAAGAGGCCAAAATGGACCTATAAAGGGCTCCAGAAGTTGAAGCGCTATTTGTACTTTTCACGTGTCATTTCCAGTGTGTTGAACCTTGCAACGCAACATTTTGTCCTCCTGTCGCCTTCGGCATTATTATCCTTGCTCGCCCCCTGCAGGTCGCAGCAGTGGCAAGAGATGAGTCGCGCAGAGAGGGAGAAGACGGGCCTGACTGTCAGGGACGTCGGGGAGTTCTGGTAGATGTTCACGCTTTATTATCTGCTTTACGGATCAATGATCAAACCCAGTTTTTTCCAAATTTGCATCCTCTCCCTTTTCCTCAGGATGGATTTCGAGGATTTCTGTCACTACTTCACCGACGTGGTGGTGTGCCGGCTGGTGGAGAGGGCTCTGCTGTGGCCCAGCTCACACTGGAGGGAAGTGCGTCGCTACGGGGAGTGGGCTCCAGCTCCGGCTACCACGGCAACGCCTCCATCCGCCGTCCTCCGCGGCGACCCCTCGCTGAACCCCAAACCCGGAGTGACGGAGCAGCAAGGCAACCGGAAGGAGGCTAGACTCGGGGAGAGTCAGCAGAGGAAGGGAGGGGAGGGCGTGCGAGAGAAAAAGGCTGTGAAAAAGGCGGCAAAGGAAGACGGCGGCGGAGAGGCCGGAGGATGGGAGGCACAGATGGATGAGAGGAGTCGATGCGGAGGGTGCATCAACCACAGAGACTCTTTCCTGCACAATCCACAGGTAAAGCCCAAGGTGAGACTTCTATTGGGTTCATGAGGTTCTTCAACATGGCTTTTTCGTTCTGAACTTCCAGTTCATGTTCGAGGTGAAAGGCAAAGAGGAGGAGGTGCTGATCTGTCTGCAGCAGGAGGACAGGAGGATATGGAGGAAAGACGGGGGAGGAGAAAACCTGCCTATCGGCTTTGAGGTGCTAAAGGTGAGCACCTGAATTTGGAGGGGGTTTTTTTCAGTTCCCACAGAAATAAAGACTTTCCCTTGATGCCTCGGCACGGCCCAGGTGGAGGTGAACCGCTGCAGCCGGGTGCAGTGCGTGGTGGAGCAGGCGGCCAGCTCCGTCTACATGGACTCCCGCAGTGTGACACTGAGGGGGACTCTGGCACCAGGGCGCTACGTCGTGCTGCCCACCACCTTCCTGCCGGGCGTCACAGGACGCTTCCTGCTACGCCTCTTCTGCCATTCGCAAGTCAGACTCAGGTGTCGGATGTTGGTTTGTGCGCATGAAAATATTGTGGATAATTTCTTCACAGTCACAGGAGCAGAATGGTTCTTACTCAGTAACTGAACTTTATTCCATCATTTTTGTGCTTAGGGAATTGAAGGAGGACTTGCCGTGCCCCTCCGTCTTCCACTGTTTCTTGCCTCAACCCACCGTGGTGACCACGGTCCACCTCCGCAGGGCTTCGGGACTCGGCCCCCCCAAACAGACAGGTGAACAACATCACATCTCCAAAAAAAGTACAGATGGAAGAGATCCCCATGTTCGTGGTCGCAGGCTCTTCTCGTTTCTTCTTCACCCCCCCCCCTCCCCTCTCTGCTTTATTGTGTTTGTCCACAGCTCCAGATGTTTATGCCATAGTGCGATGTGAGAGTGACACCATCCGGACGCGTGTTTTCAAGGCGGAGAGAAACCCGGAGTTCAACGTCAGAGCAGTTTTCTACAGGAGATACCCCAGCGCACCCATTTCCATTGAGGTTTGACACGTCCACATTCCCTACACACACACACACACACACGCTATGCACACACGGTCAATCCTGTCTGGTGTGCAGTTGTGGAGCAGAGTCCGGCTGTGGGACTGCGCGCTCGGCGAGGCTCGGCTCATGACCACGGAGCCCGAGAGGAGCCGGAGCCACGTGATCGACCTGCGAGGCGGCCGGTCCCGCTCAGGGTGCAGAGGGCGCGTCCACGTCGAGACGTCCTCCAGCGTCTGCCTCACGGACTTGTGATTAACGCTGCGGGGTGGTTGCCCTGGTAACCGCTGTTCCCACCAGGGAGAAGTTTGAAGAAAAAGTCCAAAAGGTGCATTTCACCGTTTACTGGGTACTGGGTGTGGATCTGCTGGTCAGAGGTGAAGGTGCGCGTCCTTCACAACTTTAGCAGTGTATCAAAAGTAAATTTGAATCTGCTGCCAAAATAGCTTTGTCTGCTATTATATTCAATATTATGACTGTTGTCATGTGTTTTCTTGCTGTTGTGTCACATCATTTTAACAATTATTTATTCAATGTGAATTTATATAATAACATTTGAGCTATGAAAACATTTTCTTATGATTAAATAATTAACATGTTGAGAGTTTTGTCATTTTTAATATGGCTACACTGACCTGAAATTTCATTATTTGCAAGGATTCAGATTATTCAAATGATCTTTTCATTCAATTCTTCTGCCCTCTGATCTTTTCACAATTAGATAAGAACTAAATCAGCAGTCAGGCAATGCGCACTAATAAAGTGCACCCTCGTAATGGCGAGTGTTCGCTTTGGACTTTCATTTCATTCTTCAGCTTTTTGATGATCTAAAAGAGACGTGCAGCATTTTAGTTATAGGTCATTATTTAACAGCACTCGCAAAGAGAAAATAGTTCAACATTTGCAATAAAAAACACAACTGTTTTTTTTAGATAAACCACAACATTATTGTGGCAGACACCAATCAGGATGGTCATATACCAACTATAAAGGGTGCTGTAAAGTGTCTGCTGTATGTTGCCACACCTGTTAACGCAAATGTTAAAGTTAAGATAAAAGGTTCTTTCAGCCGCTATCTGTATTTTTGTGGCATCATTTGACTATCCTTACACACCTTTCAGTGCTGCTTTTGAAAAGTGATCGTATTGTACTATTACCTTTCCTTTTATGTTGCTGCTATACAAATATTACATGACACTTTATTACTTTTACAACTTGGAATGAAACCCCTCTAAGATTGTTTCAATTTAAAGAGCTGCTGGATGCATTTTTAAAGAGGAAAATATGAAAAATATAACCCATAAAAAAAAAGAAACAAAACCTGAGATGAGCCAGTTTAAATAAACGTAGTGGCGTCTGGGTGTTCATGCTACAAATAAAACCTACAACGAGTCGTTCACTTACATACATTGTTACGGGTTTAACTGCCAAAACAGAAAGCAAACAACAGGTGCACGGGGAGAAAGGGTTGAGCTCCACCTGATCCGCATCATCGACAGCGCCATACAAATGCAGACCGCATTTTTTGCTCCTATTACGTATGAGCGCGTATCAGCTGAGCGCGTGAACGCCGCTTTGGTCGCGCGCGCTCCCGAGAGGGTGGAGGTTTGGAATCTGGAGAGGCGCGGCTGTCACAACAAGCAGGAAGTAAACCCCCCGACAGCAGCAGAGGTGAGCGCTGGAACATCAAACGACCTCCTTTATACGCTTTACGATCCTACGCGCACGCGTTCCGCGGTTTCATCTGCGGGTTTGAACCCGCGTTGAGACGCCAGAAGTGGACTCGGGTCCGCGCGTAAAGCCGGCACATTGCATGCTCACTTAAATGTTGTCAGGTTTGGCAGCCTGGGAAGTAAAAATGCTCAGAGGCGATTTTGTTTACTTGTTCTAGAAAAAAAAGCCAAATGAATAGAATACAACTTGACTTTGATTTGGGGAAATCCAATGTGTGTGTCTAATTCTCAGCCTTCTTTTCGCTTCTCATCCTGCTGTAAAGCTATGATCAAAACGGCTTCTTTGGGAATGCAGTCCGACCTCTCTTGCCGTTGAAGTTGTTCTTCAGTCGCACAAGTATTTGAAATTTGTCTTGAAGGTAAAGGGTTCAGGGGGGTTGAAAGGCATGTAACCTGCTCCCCCCTCTCACATACTAACATTGTTCAAACATTTGGAGATGATGGAGTACTGTACTTCAAAAGTCTGTACGTCATTGGGCTCATTGGGTCATTGGGCAACACAGGGCTCTTGGCCCTGGAAGAACTTTTATACTTTCAGAAAGTACAGAAATGTCAGTCAACTATTGGCGTTTCTTTTCTTTCTCACTGTATTTTACATTAAACTTAATTTACCTAAACTTCGCAGGACTTTAGATTTCTATGAAAAAGCAGATAACAATGGGCAGGAGGAAGCTTTTAGTTACTTAAAGTAAAAAAGAAATGACCAGGAAGGTGTTGTCTAGTAGAACAAAATCATGTCTGCATCTTGACATTCTCCAGCTTCCTGATTTTCCCACTTTTTCTTATGCAGTTCTCGAGTGTCCTCCCTCAGCAGGCGAACTTCCCCGTGACCGATAATGTCGAGCAGCGGCCTCCTCCGACGCATCCCCAGGACTCCTCGGCCCTCAACACCGGTGCTGGGTGAGATCACCGGAAACGTCCACATTCCCGTTGCGCTTCAGTTTAGTTCGGACAACACGCAGAAAGGCCTTTCTTCTGAACGTCTTCTTTCCCCTCGCAGTGTGTTCAAAGTTGGCAGTTTGCGTCTTCCCCGTGGCTCAGATCGCCATCGGTGAGCGAGCGGCACGTACACACATTTTCTTCATGACCTCTGCTTCCCTGAACGTCAGAGAAAGTCTCATTTGAAATGAATGCAACCAATCTCCCTCCGTCATCAGGTGCGGTCCATCTGGAGGACTGTCCCCTGCAGCGCTACATCCCCATCTACCTGATAGTGGTGGGAGTCTTTGGGCTGGCGCTGGCGGTGCTCTCCTGCCTGCCGTGCACCAAAAGCCCCGAAGACGACCCCGAAGGCGGGGCCCCGTCCACCCCGCTGAGTCTCGTCTGCGCCGCCTGGAACTCGTTGACGTCTCTATTCCTCTTCTGCTGGTTTATAGCCGGTGAGTTTTTCCACGAATGAGCTGACGGGATGGAAAAGCACGAGCAGAGAGAGTGAAAGGGACATCCGGACTAACTGGAGACTTCTTTCCGTGTTTAAATGGTGTATTGGGAGATCTCAAACCGCCATTCTACATACACAGCATAGAAATGGAGCAAATAAAAATACTTTCAACACAACAACAGCCCAAGCTACAGCTTCTAAAACGGCTGTAAGCATTTTCATGTATTCCAGAACTGTCCGATTCTACACACAACTCACTTAAAGTCCTTTTGTAGGAGCATAATGGACTGAAGAAGTCTTTCTTTGGCTCCATTTCGTTATCACATTATCAGCCACTATTAGTCCCACGCCAATGTGCCAGTTGTAGTGGCACGTGTTAGCCACTACACAGTCATCCACATCTTCAGGAGATCCCCCTGCCTCTTTAGAATGGATAAGCCTGCACACAACCACCTAAAAGTGTACATGAAGTGACAGGTTTCCTGAATATGATGAAAGATTCTTGCCTCCCGCGCAGGTAATGTGTGGATCTACTCCATTTACGAGCCCAACTACATCAAGAACTCAACAAGTGCTGAACCCTACTGCGACAAGACCCTCTACCTGTTTGCCTTCTGGACCACCACCTTGCTCTACATCTTCCTGGGTCTCTTCCTGGTTTGCGGCTTCTGCGTCCTCTTCTGCTTTTGCCTGTGCGGTCGAGCCGACCCAGACGACGACGTTCCGGGACCAGCAAACCGGCGAGGCGGCGTCTGACGAGGCGGTCGCCAGACCCGAACTGCCTCGCGTCGATGCCCACCGGATTCCAAGATGCTGTAGATTTGTCACTTCGGAAGATGTCCAAGAGATACCCGAGATGTATTGTTTACACGTTGAAGAGTTTGACTTGCACTTGATACAGAGTCCGAGATAAAATGATAAATATATTTTTTATCTCTTTGAGATCATTTTGCGGAGTTTCTTTTTTGTTGATAATTTGTGTCAGAAGGCGCTTTATAAAACAATCTTTCCCATCATGCACTTTAATAGAAGACGATTTTGTGTCCATATTAGATAACATTTGATGCCCAAGTAATGGCATGTTTAAAGGGGCAACAATTATGGTTTTAGGATTCCTTTCTTCGTCTGTTATGTAACATTGAATCACAACGCTAAACTTTCAGATCAAAAAGGTACCGATGAGACTCACTGCCAGAATTGATATAATGTAAAGAACCTCTGAGAGTGAGGAGTACTTTAATAGATTGTTACTTTATGTATTTTATCTTGGACATTTTATTACGGCAGCCGGTGGTTTTCTGTTTGCGCTTTTATTTTGAAGTAAAAACGAAAGTGCGCAGTGATAAGCGGGCCGAAACCAAAAAGACGTTAAAAGGACGGAAGAAGGCATTAAAACATGGGGAAAAGTTACGGTTTTATTAGTTTATGGGCCCAAGGGTTAGTACCTGTTCAAGGTTATTCTTTGTGAAATATTGTTTTAGATTATTACGTTTTTTTTGTGTAAGATATTAACAAGGTTTCATATTTATTTTTCCTCTTAGATGTTCATTAACAGACTTATGGACCAACAGTTTAAGACTCCGGACCATTATTCAGCCGGGGAGGCTACACATAAGACGATTAAATACATTATGTTTATTTACCAAGACAGGGAACTCCGTAAATATAAGAAATACATTTCTCCTGATCAGGGAATTCTGATCTCAGAGCATTTTATAAAACCGTTCTGTTCAATCACAAGACCACCTTTGTATGTTGAAGATCACCGACCCCCAGCCTGACCTTTCTGACGCATGACAAAAGGAGTCCTGCCTCATATACTTGGCTGTTATTCGCAGCTTGGCATCGGCTCACAGAGAGGTGGATAACCCATCGGATTAATTGATTACTGCTCCGATGATTGAACTGCCTTTAAAAAAAAAAACATTACTACGGCTTTTTTGTTCTTCATGGATCGTCAGCTCAATTTCGAGCTGGTTTCGTTATTACATTAAATGTTTGTTACTTTCTATTCTCCTGTCTGCCCTTTGCCCAGTTTGTCCTACACAAAGGCTCAGTTATTAGTAGGTGAGAGAAACTAAAACTAAATCACAGTACTTTCAATTGTTGAACAAGTTTCAATTGTTACAACAGCCAATAAAAATCAAAGTAGGTGAGGCAGGTGTGTCCTATGGGAGTTGTCTTCTTTCTGCTCAATGTGATCTACATCCTGCCCTACTCCACCAGCTTCAAGGACAAAAGCAAAGCCTCCAGCAGCCTCGTCTTACTCTTCCTCTTCTGTTGGTTCATCGCTGGTAAGCTAAAATAACCTAGTATAATATAAAATTTTAAATCAGTCAAAGGACTCAGTGATGTGAACGGTGTTTCTTGAATTTTTTTGTAGCTTCTTTTGGCCTTTTGTTTTAGTTTTTCTGTTTCTTCGCTGTCAAAGTGGCTCTGTGAAATAGTGTTTTTTCCTTTGGTAAACAGCGTGGTGAAATCTTTTCATCTTTCCGTTAACGTTTTTGTTTTCTTTTGGTCTTCAGGCCAATAAAAATCCCTTTTGCATAAAATGCAGAAGTTCCAGCGGGCAGCTGTGGAAAATTTGATTTCCACATTCTTCCTCAGTGGTTGTTTCTTCCTCTCTGCCTCTGCAGGAGAACTTCCCCATAACCGATAATGATGAGCAGCGGCTTCCTCCAAAGCCTCCCCACGCCTCCTCCGCTCTCAACACCGGTGCTGGGTGAGATCAACAGAAACGTCCACATTCCTGTTACACATCAGTTTAGTTCGGATAATACGCAGAAAGGCCTTTCTTCTAAATGTTTTCTTTCTCCTCGCAGTGTTTTCTAAGTTGGGAGGTTGCGCCTTCTCCATTGCTCAGATCGCCATCGGTGAGCGAGCGACACATTTTATTCATGCCGTCTGTTTCCCTCAACGTCAGAGAAAGTCTTGTCCTCGTTAAAAGGAATGCAACCAATCTGCCCGTTATCAGGTGCGGTCTATCTGGAGGACTGTCCCCTGCAGCACTACATCCCCATCTATCTGATAGTGCTGGGAATCTTTGGGCTGGCGCTGGCGGTGCTCTCCTGCCTGCCGTGCACCCAAAGCTGCGAAGACGAGGCCTCGTCCACCCCGCTGAGTCTAGTCTGCACCGCCTGGAACTCGCTGATGTCTCTATTCCTCTTCTGCTGGTTTATAGCCGGTGAGTTTTTACACGAATGAGCTCACGGGATGGAAAAGCACGACCAGAGAGAGTGAAAGGGACATCCGGACTAACTGGAGACTTCTTTCCGTGTTTGTGTTCTTCAAATTGTGTACTAAAGTGTACATGTGAAGTGAGAAAAAAAGCCCCAGAAATATTGACAAATTTAAAGGATTTTAACAATTGACCCTGCTCAAAAGTATTTTCCTGAATATGATGAAAGATTCTTCCCTCCCGCACAGGTAATGTGTGGATCTACTCCATTTACGAACCCAACTACATCAAGAACTCAACAAGTGCTGAACCCTACTGCGACAAGACCCTCTACCTGTTTGCCTTCTGGACCACCAACTTGTCCTACATCGTCATGGGTCTCTTCCTGGTTTGCGGCTTCTGCTTTTGCCTGTGCGGCGAAGCCATAAGCAAGGCTTAGGGACCAGCAAACTGACGAGGCGGTGTCTGATAAGGCGTTTACAAGACCTGAACTGCCTCGTGTCGATGTCCACCGAATTCCAACATGCTGTAGATTTGTCACCACTGATCACAGAAGATGTCCATAAGATACCCGAGATGTATTCTTTACATGTTGAACCAGGAGTTGGACTTGCACTTGATACAGAGTCTGAGATAAAATGAACTTTCAGATCAAAAGAAGAAAAAAAAATTAACTAATTAATCGCACATTTTGAAATCCATTACTCGCCATTAATGGCGATTACAAGTTTGTTTACAAAATGTTTTAAACTAACCAGGCAGCATTTATTTTAGAAAAACTTTTACTGTATTTTTTTTTTCAAACACAAAACTACACAAGGAGCAGGGTTTTCAAAAATAAAAGTGTATTTGTGACACCATTGGTACTGTCATCTTTAACATGACAGGTACATCACAACAGCATAACATGTGATCTTCGTAAACTGAACTGACATTTAAATCTGTCGTGTTAAAGTGCAAAAACTGAAATGAGAAAACAGAAAGATCTTTGCGACTTTAGTCAAATTGGGCGTAATCATTTTTCACTTTCAGCCAATTACTGAGGCAGACAAGCATGTTCACGTTTTCTGCAGCAAATGCTGCTCTGTTCTTCTGGACGACATGATCTGAGCGTGAGAACAGCCACTCACATGGCACTGTGGTGGTTCTCTCCATTCTCCAACATCTTGGTCTCTCCAAGCTAATTGACTGCAGAGGTCAAAGATGTGACCTTACCCGTAATCACTGAGCCGGTGGTTTTCCGTTTGCCCTTTCATTTTGAAGTAAAAACGAAAGTGCGCAGTGATAAGCGGGCCGAAACCAAAAAGCCGTTAAAAGGACGGAAGAAGGCATTAAAACATGGAAAAAAGTTACGGTTTTATTAGTTTATGGGCCCAAGGTTAGTACCTGTTCAAGGTTATTCTTTGTGAAATATTGTTTTAGATTATTAGTTTTTTTCGTGTAAGATGTTAACAATATTTATTTTTCCTCTTAGCTCTTAGATGTTCATTAACAGACTTATGAACCAACAGTTTAAGACTCTGGACCATTATTCAGCCGGGGAGGCTACACATAATGACGATTAAATACATTATGTTTATTTACCCAGAGAAGGAACTGTAAAATGGGAACTCACAAATATGGGAAATGCATTTCTCCTGAGCAGGGAATTCTGACCTCAGGGTGTTTTATAAAACCGTTCTCTTCTGATGAATTGATTACTGCTCCGATGATTGTACCGCCTTTAAAAAAAATACATTACTCCTAGTTTTTATTTCATTTTATGGTTCGTCAGCTCTATTTCGAGCTGGTTTCGTTATTACATTAAATGTTTGCCCAGTCGGTTATGTGTGTCCTACACAATGGCTCAGTCATTAGTAGGTGAGAGAAACTAAAACTAAGTTCAAAGCACTTTTGAATTGTTACAACAGCCAATAAAAACCAAAGTAGATGAGGCAGGTGTGTCCTAAAGGAGCAACATAGCAGGAGGACTGCCCAAGGCACCTGCTGGTGATGGGAGTCCTCTCCTTTCTGCTCAATGTGATCTACATCCTGCCCTGCTCCACCAGCTTTTCATCACTTTTGAACTGGAGGCCAAAGCGGAGCTAAAAGAAGAGTGAATATTGGACCGGGCGGCCCGGAACACGCTTCCGTTTCTCCAGGAAATGTGTAGATTTGCTCACTACTTACTTATCTATGGACCCAACTATAACAAGACGGCGTACAGCATGGACACCTACTGCAACAAGACCCTCCACCTGCATGTTTTCTGGAGCACCAACCTGCTAGCTTTCATCACTCAATAGCTGCTGCACACACCTTCTGTGTGATGATTAGAGGACAACAAATCAATTGGTGGATGTAATGACACATTCAGAAATTTCACCTGCGTTTTCATGTGCGCTTGATTTAGTTTTGCCAAAGATAGAAAATCATCACAAGCACCAGCATCACAGGGATTACTTTTATTCCAGACATATTCTATTTCACTTGATAATTCAGCAGAACACTTCATTTGTTTCTAAAATTCCTAACTCTTCATGACGTTTATACTTTTTAATATCGAAGTTGCCTAAAATAAATGGAATGAAGTACAGTATTATCTTTCAAAGGTTTACTGCAATATGTATGGAGTCGCATCAAAGCGACGCTCAAGGAAAGCACCTCAAAATTGTACTTCAATACAGTATTTAAATTATCTAAATACTTGTACTTGCATCATTGGAAACCGGCTGAAGAAATATTCAGCTCATTGCTATTTAGTGAACACTTTTGCTTTTAATGCACTGTGATGATACCAACAAGCCACTAGATGTCCCCAAGAACTCCTCACAAGAGTGGGACAAACGGATTTAAACTTTAGTTAACACACAATTTCCCAACCTTGTTTGGTGGGAGAATGTGTTTTATTTGAATTTAAATCTATTTCTTACCTAGAAGCTATAAGTTGCGGGGACGTTAAAGGATTTCAAAATGGGAAAAATACTTGTGTGAGACCTTTTCGTGGGTGTTCCTTTTCAAATTATGTCCAATTAACTAGATGTACTACAGCTGAAGTCTAATCAGGGTGTACAAATATCTCAAAGATGATGGTAGTCACCTGAGATAAATTTAAAATATATGAGGAGTTAAGAGAATATTTAGGGTTAGGGTAAAACATACTTTTTCATTCAAACGGCCCTTTTGGGAATGAGCACAAGGAATTAGGGAAACTAATTCCTTGTGCTCCTTCCTTTGCCTTCCTGGGCTGTATTTAAGGCTTTTAAATGTTCTTGCCCCTCATTTCAATCAATCAGTGTAAACCAGCACCAGAATCACATGTTTAATTCATCTGCATCTTTTATCACAGACATATTATAACTTACATACTAAATGCAAAATATTATACTTAATTATGTATGTTTAAACCTTTTCAAAATCACTTTTACGAAAGCATTCCATTATGTAAAAAATAAGTGTTGACCATTACTCATAATATTTTCACGTTTGTTTTTTAAGTTACACGTCATCAGACAGTTAGTCGGGGCCGTCCATCCCGCCGGTGAGCCGGTCAGCAGGGTTTGCGCGTGAGGTTGGCGAGGGCTTTGCCGTGGACGGGCTGATAGAGGAGAGAGAAGCTGGAGGGGCTGAGAAGGCCGTTGCCCTGTGCGTCGACTTTTCCCATCAACACGTAGTTACGACCTGAGCAGGAGAAACATTCGTCAAAATGTATCAAATAGGTTAAACTGACGGACACGTTTTTTGATTGAAAAAACATACTTTCTGAAATATTCTTCATGTGTTATAATAATTACACGTGAAGAATCAAACAAAGTCACAATTTCATCCCTAATTCTATTTGTGTAACACATATCTATATTATTTCCTTCTGGTCTCTAATGACAGATTTATTGGTTGAATAAAGAATCACATCGTCTGCATACAATGAGTTACTGACATTTTGTAATTCATTAGTCAAATTGAGAAGTTTTATACGTGTATTTGAAAAAGAACCATTTACTAAAGCTTGTACAAAGACATATCCATGTCAGTATATCCGTTGACACAATTTAGTCAGTAAAAATGTTTTGTGTTCGTAATCTGCAGAGGCGGACGTAGTGGTACCTTTGATTAGCCCGGGGCATCTCTTGCAGGTGGAGGCCAGTGTGACCGACATGAGCAGCCCTGATTTGACCATGTTCAGCCTTCCCGCCTTATACGCCTTGATAACGGACACCTCAACTGTTGCAGAGCCTCTCGGACCAGTGGTCAAAGATGTGACCTTACCCGTAATCACTGAGAAAGAGAGAGAGAAATATAAGAGCAGAAATATAATGTTAACAAAAAGGGAACAGGAACAGAACATTAGTAAAATATTAAATTTATAGGTCAGGACACAGAAATTTGTGATGATAAAATGGGAGCTTATTTGACTCACCAAAGTCATGGAGACAGAAGCTGGATTGGAGAGTGCCGGTCTTCTTACAGGCTTGTGTACACAGCGGGTTCAGAGGTAAAGCTAAAGGAAACGCACATGGCAACAAACGCATGATAACGCACATTAAATTTCAGCTTAATGCAGATATGCACGTATTCATACATGGCAGCAAAGTGCAAATTGTTTTTTGTGCAAATCCACTTCCACTCACGTTTGCTTCTCACAAGAGGCTTCTTTGTGACTGTCTTGGTTACTCCAGGTTTAGCAACTTTAGGCTTAATCTTCGGTTTGACTGCTGGTTTAACTCTGGTCTTAGAGGTTGGCTTTACTGGTTTCATGACAGGTTTTACGGCGGGTTTGGTCTTCAGTGGAGGCTTTCGTGTGGGTTTAGCTTTGATGCTTGGTTTTAGCGTTGGCTTGGGCTTGGGCTTGGGTGTAGGTTTAGGCTTGGGTTTGAATCCAGGTTTAGGTGCGGTAGCTTTGGGCGTCGGTCTGGCGGGTTTGGGTTTAGCCGAGGGCTTGATGATGGGCTTGCGTGGCGGAGGTTTCAGCGGTATCTTCACCAGTGGCTTTTTGGGCGGTTTCGGCACGGGTTTAGAGCCGGGCCGTGGTTTGGGGGTTGGTTTGGCGGGTTTGCTTGGCTTCACGACCGCTCTTCCCGGCATTGAGGTCGTCTGAGGCCCATAGATAAAGTCCCCCCCAGCCGTGGGCGCCCGGGACCCCCGCGGTACGCTGGAGTAGTGGGCCATGAAGCCGTCTGAGGTCACGCTGAGGTCGGAGACGAACTGGACGAGGAGCTCGTTCCCATTTGTCACTATTGTTCTACGTAAGGGACAACGAAATTAAGGGAAAGGGGGAGGATTAGCAAAGGGGGAAAACGTCAGCGTAGCTCAGCTACGAGCCGTGCCTTTAATCTCACCCTGGTGACCTGTCGCCGCAGAATTTGCCAATCCGCCGCGAGTTATCCCTCTCTCCCCCGTTAAACAATGCCACGTAGTCGTAGCGGCAGTACGTGTCAGGCTCCAAGTCCAGCTTCACAAACTTCACCTCGATCACCTAGGCAGGAGTAAAACACGCCCCCAAAAAAAGAGCAGACACACAGTACAGTATAGGCAGTGGTGGTCGTGGAGGAGAAGGCGCCCCGACTGCTGAAATACAGGAGAGCATTTACTCTCTCCCCTCGCCCTCACTTCCTTCCTTCTTTCCTGACTCTCAATCGCTCGGCAAATACGAGCACACCTTCAGGCCCTCAATGAAGCCTTTCATTTCAACTCCCGTCACAGGGCGGCTGTCACACACTCAGAAACACACACCTGCGCTACATCTGGAAGCTGAGGTTTAACATTTCCTCGTGACGGGCTGTTTTCTTTTCTACGTTCTCCTCCAGCGTTACCGAGCCTAGAAAAATGGGGCGACGCACGCAAGGAGGTGTGGAAAGGCACGCAAGGGACACGCAAGGGGGTCTTGCGTCTGCGTCGCTCTGAAAACGCAGAAGCATAAACTAGGCTTTACGCGACACACCGAGGCCCTCCGTCATTGGATCGGTCTTTAACAACAAATACGTGGCGCAATACGATTGGCTTACGTTGCTTGGTTCGACGGAGATGTGCCAGGAGCAGCTGATGCCTGCTGGGTAGTTCGAGTTGGGCCAGTTGGGCGTCTTCACGGAGCCCTGCGCTTTAGTCAGACGTCCTCCACAGAACTGGTGCTCTATGCGAATAAAAAAAAGAATAAATGCTAACTCACTAGAACCTTTGAATTAATAAGGAAAGGGTGTTTGTTTTTGTTCCTGTGATACTGTATTTAAGCATATAGTGTTACAATGTCCTTTTTCATTTTTGTCCCCTTCACCTTCCACGTGGGGCTTCCCCGCGCTGAAGGCGGCGATGAAGCCTCTTCCCCCGGTGCCCTCGTCCGACACCATCTCCAGCATCATGGTGTTGGAAGTGGCGATGATGGCGCCCGGCCGGAACGTCCCACAGAAGCGCCCCAGCTTCTGCACCAGGCGGGTGTGACCGTTGTAGACGTCCAGGTAGTCGTAACGACAGGTGGGGTCGGCCTCCATGTCGAAGAGGCGGAAGGACAGCATCACCACGTGACCCTCTGGGACCTGGAGAAAACAATGTGTTTAGCAGTTGTGGCCTCAGGGGAAGAAGAATTATGGTCAATAATGACTTAGCGGTACGACACCAGATATGATTTTTAGGAGAATGTGGACAAAACGGGAAATATTTTGAGTTTAAAAAAGCCCTGCTTCACCAGATTGAATTTCCGTGTGTTGAATGTCTGAATGAATCTGTTATGATCTGTGAAACTTTTTGTTATTCTCCTGAAAATTCTGTAATTAGTGAGAGTGTAAACGGGTGTTTATCATAAGGTCCCCTCAGAGCACTAACACGGAAAATTTACCCCCCTCTGCCAAATGCCAGAGGGGGGTAAATTGGTCCTTACGGTTGGTAAACTGAATTTCGGTTTGTCCCAAAAATAAGTATTGATTTTCAGCAGTTATCAAGGAATCAAACTGATTTACGAGACCAGTTTCTATAGATGGAGAGTTTTGTTCAGCCTGCTGGCTGTCTTCCTTCCTTCCTTGTTCTTAGTTTGTTTGTTAGTTAAATGTTTTTGTCCAACCTCATTAAGTCTTTCGGTACTTTATTTTGAAAAAGGGGTTTTAAGAGCCCAATCTTTTTTTTACTCCGAGAATATAAACTGGATTGAATAAAGCCCCGAAAATTACTGACTATAATTTCTGGAGGAAGAAATATGCGCTTGATCATTTTACGAGCAAAACATCTGAGGAATGAAACTGAACATTACTCCCCAAGCTCAAATGCTGGTACGACCAGTAGCCAATGAGGGCCAATGTTTTCAAACATGTCATATACATCACTGTGACTGCTGCTCGTAAAACACATGCTTGCTGACCTCTTGTGATTATTACACAGTGGTTTACCGTTATCTTACAGCTGCAAACCAACATCGGTGTTATCACTCACTTGGGTTAATTGAAGGTGGAAAAAGGTGTAATTTGTTGCCCGGGGGAGGTGTCAATCAAGCCCTCCTGACCGTCCACAGAGGATGTCTAATGGCGCAGCAATGATCACGTGCGTAACGGTGCAGCGGTTGGTAGAAAGCGACTCACGGTGATGTACCAGGTGCATTTGCTGTTGGCTTTGTAAGGGCTGGGGAATCCTTCGCTGGCCACGATGCCGGAGTCGGTGACCAGGTGGCCCCCGCACAGGAAGACGGGCCTGAAAAGAGTCATCAACATTTTTTTTTTTTTTAAACACACAGCGCGCTTCTGTTCTCCGACTCCCGGCTGAGGTTCCCAACGAAACCCTCCTGATTCGTGTTACTTCATTATTCTTTTAAAAAGAAGTGTCAAACCATCCAGCCAGGGAGACCGCCAACGTGCCGCGTGCGTAATGCCAGCGTTCTCCTCCCGTGTGCGCCTCAAGAAGGTGGTCAGCAGACGTAACGGGTCATTTACTCTGGAGCAGGCGGGGGCCCCCCCTTTCCACGCCGACGCTCGCACGCGGTGTTTGGTGACACGCGGATCAGAGCAGGACCATTTTCGCAGCAGACTCGTTAATTTAGATGTCGGCTTGCTGTTGTCAGCCAGTCTCCTTTTTTTAAAAACCTGCCCACGTTTTGATCGTGGAACTTTGCTGTTTTTGTGGAGAATAGGTGTGAAAATGAATGATCTCCACACTGTGGGAAGACAGTTCCTTTTTAATCTATTTCTTTCTTAATCTTCAGCCATATGTTCCATGTCTTGGGTAATGGGAGGCCACATTTGGCCAGAAAAACAAACCAAACAGTGGCGTCCCTCCCTTGTGGCCCTCTGGAGTCGGACAGGCCACAAGTATTTGTTTGTCTCGTGTTCAATTTACACCCCGTATGTGTGTGGAAGGAGCGACAGCAGTACAAACAAACAGGTCCACAGAGCATTTCCCAGCATGTAATACAACACCGGGTGTAGGAACATCTCCCTAACAACTGCAGCCTTCTCTTCCTAAAACTATAATCACGCGGCGGTTGATGCAGACAGATGTGTGCCCCAACACAACATGCCACATGTTCACAAGCCGACGCACAAGAGGGACATTGACAGCCACGTCGTTGGCACGCGTACCCAAAGACCTTTAAAAAAAAAGAATCTAAAATCTCTCGCCTACCTGGAGAAGTTGCTCTGACTCTGAGCTTCAGTCCATCCCAGCGTCAGGATGAGAAGAAGGCCCGCTGTCCACACCCTGTCCCCCATGCTGTCGCTCCGAGGTTAGGAAAAGACCGGAGAAGAAGAGGGAGGAGGGAGGAATCTGGGTGGAGGCGTGGAGAGACGGGAGGTTCAAAAAGAGGGGAGGGTGGACATGATGGGTGAGGAGAAGGTGTGTGTTTAACGCAGGGAAGGAGAAGAAAGGGGAAAAAGGTGAATTGATGTGATGTTGAGAGGACAGAAGGCAGTTTGACAACTAGGAAAAACTTCACTCACTCACGGCCATGTATGTATGTATGTATGTTATGTGCGTCTCAGTACAGAGTACCCCTCTGTGTGTGTGTGTGTGTGTGTGTGTGTGTGTTTGCCGCTGTCGGCATGCAGCTGTTTGGTTGGTCCCTTTTTGATCCTGACAGAAATATCCTGGATCTGTTGTCACAAAAACCAATGTGCACTGCATTCATGGTCCTCAGAGGATGGATCGTCATGATTTTAAGGACCCCCCCCCGCCCCCCCATGACACTTGAACTAACACCGGGCCGGATGTTCGACGCAGGAGTCTGCTTCATAAGTGGACATTGAGGGAACTGATGTCCAGGGTTCAAAATTGCGTGACGGACGTGATGTAAAAATGTGGCTGTTTTGTTTAACTTTTTTTTTTAATCATGATCAAAATCATCAGTTGAGAACAAAAGAAGATAGAAAATGATTAAATGTAATGTAAGTACAATATACATTATTGAATATAAGCTGCTTTTTGAAGACCTCTGTAAATCACTTTTAAAATATTATTAAGGCTGGAGACTTTAGTTTTTTGGGGTCACACGCCCGATTTAGACAGCAAGTGAAGGCTGGTGTGTGGATTCAATTCTTTTCCACGGTGGTGGAAAGAAAGTAGATGATTTAAATACAGAAAAGAGCGAAAACAGATCTTCTGTGTAAAGTAAATATGGAAGACTTGAAATATGTGCAATTCTAAAAAAAATAACTTGTGGCCAGGAAAGGATCCATCATGAAGAAACATGTTGGTTTTACGATCCATCATGTGAATTTAAATTAAAACATTATGAGCTCTCACTTACGGCCTGCAACCATTACAGTTGTTGTTGTTGTCGTTGTAACGATGCCGCACATCGAAGGCAGCTCTGCGTTTGTCTGAACGAAGGCCGGTGGCCTCCTGTCCCTTTTTTAAGCTGTGGGAGGAAACCGCAGCTGAGGGGGAGGAGCCTGTGGTTCGCTTAGAAAAGCAGTTGCCCTCATTTTGCTCTCTGCTTCCACCTCATTCAGGACCTCTCGGTATCCACGGCAACGGCAAAAATAGACTGCAAAGAGTTGTAATCATAATGTGGTGGTGGTGGTGGGGCAGAAATCTGAATTCCCATTTAAATTTAAAGTTATTTTTATTGTCATTTTTTTGTACAAAGAATTTCACAAAAATATTTAGGAAACTGTTGCAGACACCACGGACGCCATAAAGCAAAAGGATATCACATAATTAGAACAGTGAAGAGAGAGAAAAGGGAGGGGGGACAACGATGGTAAACAAACACTCTCCACAGACTTTCTAGAGTTCCTTCCTCTTCTTTCACATCCACGAACACGGGCGACACAACAGCTCCTCGGGGCGGCTGGCTGTTTAAAATACCGCCTGTGACAGAATCATTGGTCATTTCACACTGGGGGAGACCACACCAGTGCACAGCAAGAGAGCTTACCAGTCTACATGAGCCTCCTGGTCATCGTCCACGCTGCCCCACAGCTAGCAAACCCTATTTCGATTGTGGGTTTCCTTATTTTTACAGTAGACACTCAATATATCCTCTTACTATTAGAGGTGGATGAAAGTATAAAAATATACACATAGGTTTTTGTAAACTGTTTTGCACTGTACATGTTTATAAGGTGACAGTTGGTTTCTTTTTTTAAATGTTTTTTTTTTTTTCATAAAGTCTTAAAAAGAAACAGGATGTGACTGAGCTACGGATCCCAGACAACCGTGGAAACATTCGACAATAAGAGAAACTCCCCTCTTTGCCTCACGAGCTGCTCCCCAAACGGGAGGGAAAACGTGACGGAGGACACTGTGGTGAAGCACATCCATCTTACGTAAAAGGCGCCTTTTTAATCTTTAACACATTCAACTTCGTCCTCTGATTATCTCACTGCTTCCTCCAAAGATGCTCGGTGTCCCCGCCCCGACCAGCCGAACAACAAGTTGTCTCCATCGATATGCACCTTTTTTTTCCCTTTTCTGCTCCCAGCAGATCCCATTTTACACCTTGTGTAAAAAGGTTTTGGGCACCGGGAGCGTTGGAAGGTGCACATTTTCTGCACAGCGTAGAAAACGTCTGCGATAGTGTCATTAATCTTTGGCCATCTGCTCAATGAGTCATGTCCGACTTTTCCTTCACATCCGCCGAGGTCACTTGCTCCTCCGTCGCCATCTCCTGGTTGCCGTCTTGTGCTCCTTCGCCATCTTCTCCGTCCTCCGGTTGAGCTCCGTCCATGGGCGTTTCCGACCGGTTTGTCTCGCCCTGGCGGTCTTTGAGCACACCGCCTAGCTCCATCTCGTGGATCTCCACGTCGAACGGAGCGGTGGCGGGCGCGCAGGGCGGAGACTTGCAGTCAGCACAGCCCTGAAGGACAAGCAAAAACAAAGGCGTCACTTCTTGTCCCCTGTGTGCGTTTTGACTCGATGGATCTAAACGCCAACGTCGTGCACTGAACCGCTCAAAGCTCGAGGGCGAGCGCACTTACAGACACGTTGATGGCTCGCGGCAGGCGTCCCGTGCGGATCCACGGGTGCACCTGGCTCAGCTCCCTCTTCTGCTCCTCTGAGAAGCGTGGCTGGTGCTTCTGCATGCTCCTCAGGGCCTCGCGGTCCTCTCGCAGCACAGTCTCCATGTCTCTGTTGTGGGGGGAAAAGAAGAGGTCAGCGGGTCACTGAGAGTGTGATGTTGAGTGTGTAAACAAACAAAAAGGCTGCTGTGTCACGTGGTCCCGCTTTTAAAAAAAATTCTGTCGTACCTGACAGGCAGCTGATAGGTCATCATGACCTTGTCGTCGGTGTTGGCCATCAGCAGCCAGATGGGGTCCTGCAGGACACACTTGATGAACTGCTCCTCACCTCCATCTCCTCCGGCACCACTGCTGCCCCCTGCAGGCTGCTTGCGGGAATGGTCGTTCTCCGACGAGTCGATACTGCCAAAGTACTTGCTGGTGTGGCTGCCCTGGCTGCTGCCTGCATGGACGGGGAAGAGAAAGTTGGGAATCAAGAAATAGTGGAATAATTACGACATTACGTCTGTTTTATTAATGATAATAATAATTTAAAATGACTACTTACTCATGCCACTGGTGCCAAAGGAGCTGCAGCCGTTTGAGCCGGAGCCTGAACCAGACGACCTCGTGCCTGACGACCCTGACCCGGAGGCCGCGGAGCCGGTGCCTGAGCGGGCGTCTTCCTGTAGCAACATGTCCAGCAGGTCGCTGGAGGTGGACATGGCATCGTTGTTGGACTCATTCGCTTCACCCTAATGGGGGGAAAAAAAACGGTTTTAAGACACATTTTAAATGCCATTTCTAAATGTTTTATTTCAAAGCCTAACATCCTATGACGAACGTCTGTGTGCTTACGTTCTCCTTGGAGCTATCGTCAGAGCTCCTCTGGTTGGCAGAGCTCTGAACCCCGGCCGCACCGCCGTGCACAGAAGGCGTGGCTTGCTGTGCCGCCACCAGGGCCGTGGTGACCTCTAAGCGGCCGCTGGGCGTTTCTTCCAGCTGCAAGAGGTTGAGCGGCGACGAGCACCTGGACTGGAAGAGGGGGGACTCTGCGCCCTCGCGGTCAGCAGGCGTCTGGCTGTAGGACTGCGGGGTGCTGCTGCGGGACGGGGCGCAGGTGGCCTGAATCGGTAAGGAGTTTGAAACGACGCCGGGGGGGAGGGAGCCGTGGGTGGCGGCCGGGTACGTGAAGTTCGGATTGAAGAAGTGTCCGGGGACGGGGCCCGGCTGAGAGATGGGCACTCCCATCTGAGGGAACATGTAGTTGGGAAGGACGAGGGCCACCATTGGAGGCACCATCTGGGCGGGGGGGAAAGGCGACGCGTCTGGCACGGACAAGGGCTGGGCGAGCGGCGGGTAAACGGGGTAGATTGGAAGCATGCCGGGAGCAAAGGGCGCGGCGGGAATGCCAGCCTGAGAGCCCACAGACGGCCAGGAGGAGGAGTTTGTCGGGGGGCCGACGGGGACGTTGAGAGGCAGGGGAGCCGCGCCGGCCCTCGGGTCGAGACCCAGGGAGCTCTGCTGGTCGGAAGACTCCTGGTGCTTGAGTCTTTTGCCGCCCCGCCGGCGACTGGTGCTGCTTCCCGCGGCGGGGTAATCCCGAGAACAGCGCGCTCCTGGGGAAGGGAAGGAGGCACTGAAGTGAGCAAAGGGCTGGTTAGAGATGTGTAATGTGTGTGTGTGTGTGTGTGTATGTGCGCTCCCTTACCTCGAGACAGGGGGTTGGCAGCTGGGGTCTGACCGTGCAGGGGGGAGGATGCCGCCTGATCGAAAACACGCAGCTTGCTGAGGTCCTTAAAGCGGTCGAGGAATACCTGCTCCTCCTGCTGGGTGTGGGCGGATAGCACCTCCTTGGTGAGACCCATGCGGCCTCCTCCTCCTCCTCCCACACTGCAACGGCTGTCCCTCTCTGGCTGAGCAGCTTGAGGAGGTAAAGAAGGGAAGGCGATCGCCTTAATGGCGAGAAGTGTTGTTGCGGGTGGAGCTGGCGTGGTTGTAGGAGGAGCCTCCTCCATGTTGATGTCTGTGATAGAGGGAAAAGCGAGGAGGTCTGTTAAAGCAATGAAGAAGGACGTCGCGTTGAGAGGAAAAACGGCAAGTTGTTCTTCTGACGAATGAAAAGTTAATTACAGAAAATCTTGCTCAATTCATGATTTATTTGGTCTATTAGGACCAGTAGCTTAGCAAAAGGGATAAATAGATAAACATGAACATGAGTACTACTCATGTCTTAATTTGCTGTACGTGTTCTGCGGTGTTCAGCTCAAAAGTTAAAAGGAAAACAAAAAACTGCAGACACTGGAGAACGTTTTGGGGTAAAGCAGTAAAAGAAGACAGGCGACGTGGAGAAGTCCAGAGGAGAACAAAAGGCATTAATTAGATTACCTGCAATGTGAAGTTTTATCATGCGTCTACGGGGTTTCTGCTTGACTTCGAAAGTAATGCAAAAAACACTTTTTGGTCAGTTCATTTGCAAAAAAAACAAGCAAGCAAGGGAGGAAAAATAAGAGGCCGTATGAGAGCAGATTACTGGGTGACACAGAGACTTTGGGCCCCAAAGAAAAAATACAAACCTCAATAAAAGATATCATTCAAATAAAACTGAAAACATGCACCGACCTCGTGTCTCGCCGTTACAGTGACAGACTTTAGGCTTCAGAGAGTGTGAGTGTTGAGGATTCCCACCTGACTCAGGAGGCTTCTTGTCTCCCACATGCACGATGGTGCTGCTGAAGCTACACTGCGACGTGACTGAGGCTACACTCTCTGCCTTTGTGGCCATGGTCAGGGGAGGCAGAGGAGGTGGTTCACTTACAAGGTTAACTGAACCACCTGCAGGAGAAAACAAGGCCAACAAGTTTCTGTCAATGATTGCGCAGCGTCCAGACAAACAACAGCACACTGCAACACGCATGCTCATTTAGTGGTCATGAAATAAGTTAACGACGCTGCATTAAGTAACAAAAATCACCCGTATTCAACAACAAGAATCAGTATTTTTGTTGGTAAATAATGACTGACCAAAAAAAGGAAAGGGAAACCCGAGAAACACCAAACTAACTAATCGCCTACTAAAACAAACACGCAAACAAACAATGGAACCGGCTGTAAAAGTACCTGTGTTGCTGCCGGCCTCCAGCGGTTTGTCCTCGTCAGACGTGGAGGAGCCACACTTCCTTTTAACGGTGTTAGGAATGTTACAGCTTTCCAAGTACCTGCGTGGAGTCAGATCAGCGATGGATGAGTTAGGTAAAGATCTCCTCCCCCCACCGCCACAAGAGGCTAAGAGGCACGGAGCTTCAGGCTCGCACACACACCTGATGATGCTGTCCAGGCAGTTGATCTGCTGGTAGGAGTAGCCGGTGGGGGGCTCCTTCGGCACAAGCGGCGCCGGGACCAAAGGTGTGGGGGGTTTCGTCATGTCGGCTATCAAACTTCGGATTGGGTCGCTGCTGATCGCTCGCATGCCTGTTGTGCCTGGATAAAGAAGAGAGGAGAAAGGAAAAGGAACTTGTTATTTAGGTGCCGCGTCTCTTTGACATCACTAGTTGTCAGGTAAGTTCTTTCTCACCAGAGACGACTATTATTCTCTTTTTTCATTTTACCTGTGCTTGTGTTTTTTCTAGGCAGAGGGCGGTTGCGGGACTCGATGAACACCTGCTGTCCGTTGGTCTTGACCATGTGGACGTCTTTGCAGATCTGCTGGAAAGTCATCTGGAAAGAAACGACCCCAATAAACTCGTTAGACCGACGTGGAATAACGCGGCCGTTGACTGTATTTAGGCGGATCGCTTTTCTAAACGGTCGACTTAAAGGTCCCAGTTGCTCAGACTCACAGGTTTCCGGGAAACGGCGGCGGCGGCGGCGGCCTTGGCCGCGGCGGGGCCGCTGCTGTCGCTGGACGAGGCGTCCGAGGTGCCGAGGCACCGCTGGGGCGAACGCCGGGAGGCCCGCGAGCCGCTGGACCCGAGGGAGCTGTAGCCCTGGGAGCTGCCGCTGTGCACCGGCTGCGCCAGGAGCCGGTGGATCTTCTCGCTCAGCCGCACCACGTCGGGCGTGGTGGCCCGGGTCTCGCAGCACTGCGCCGTGGTGAACACGTCCTCGTTCAGAGGGCTCCTGGAGGCGGGGAAAGGCGTTAGAGCTCAGCTTTCAAGATGAGGGAAATCGCTATGCAAATTCAAACTGTGCATTTGCTTGTCAATACTTTTCTACGACTAAATAAGTGATCTTACGTTCTGACTTTGTGGCGCCCGACGATAAACGCCACCTTCCGGCTCCAGGGATTGACAAAGGAAGACCAGCTGGTGTCGATGGTCAGGTATTCCCCGTTGCGGGCGCACATCCTCAAGGGCGCGTGCTCGAACGGCTGTCCGGCAAACTGAAAGACTGAAGAGACGACGGCACGGACATTCATGAGCCAATGAGACGGAATAAAGACGGTTCTGACTCAACAGTTTAAAAAATATGTAAAAACGGAAAAAGTTCAGATTTCAGCGCTAGATGGACTCACTCTTCTCGTGTATAGCCACCATTAAGGGCCGGTCTTCAGGATGGATGTAGAGGAGGATGGGGGTCCCCACCAAGTCCTGGGGCAGATAGCCCAACAACGGCACCGCCCTGCAGACACAATATGTAGATTTACACATTTGTTAAGACAGGAATAGCATTTTTTTTGTGGTTAATTTCTCTGATTGAAAAGAGAAATACAATTTAAAAAAGCCCTCACCTCTCATCAACTTCCTGGAAGAGGCAGCTGGGAGTGTGACTGGTGGTGAAGATCCTCTTCTCTGGAGGGATACGAGGAGCTGAGAAGTACATAAGTTCAAGCATGTACTTGTCTTTAATCCACTGAATTGAAAATAAAGAACAGTTGGTGTTTGATACCCATTCTTTCCCCTGAGCTGATCTCTGATGTGCGTTGGCCTGGTGAGGCTTTGGGGTCATACAGATGTGGCGAAGCGCCCCGTACTTTCGTATCCAGAGTGAACCCTCTCTGCGATGAGCAAGCAGCAGGGCTGTGGCTTCCGCCTCGTCCGAGTCTCTGATGGTGAGCTGGTAGGGCGTGAGGCGGTAGGGGTAGTAGCGCATCTCGCCGGCCTGCGCCTGGTCCGCGCTGATCGGGCAGAACATGGATTTCTCCTGAGTGCAGTCCACTGGCGGAGAAGCTGAGAGAAGGAAGGGGGGGGGGGGGGGGCACCAGAGTCAGACAAAGGAGCCAGACCGTCCCTCGGAAATCCTGTGCTCACACGGTCTCCCTTTTGCCAACGTCACTTGGTCTCGACTCACCGAATCCGATGCAGGAGGCCCAGTTGGGCAGGCGGCAGGGCGCCGTGCCGCTGTAGAAAGTGCTGACGTCCTGCGGCGCCAAAAGCTCCGAAAACATGGTGCCCTGGAGACGCTCTGGCTTGCAGCGCAGCAGGGAGGAGCCGTGGGGCGATACGTACACCACCTTTCCGGACAAGAATGACACGCCCATAGAGAAAGTGTCCTGAAAATAGAAAGGGGGAAAAAAAGAACTGATGAAAAGTGGAGCGTAGAAAAGCTTCTTCCACATGACTTTAATTGGCAAAAAATTACCGGAGCAGTAAAAAACTAAAAAAAATTCTCAAAGCTAAAGACAGTTTGACATTCTTCAAATTCTCTATGAATATATCAGTTTTTAATAACAATGAATAAGTGCATAGACCTACAGTGTTTTTGAGGGTGTATTCTGAAGTGATGTTGTCAAGCTCCTCAATGGTGAAGGCAGACAAGTCCAGGCTGCAGCCGTGACACTCCTCCACGCTCCACTGATGGTAGTACTCCTTGTTGGCTGGAAACGTTAAACACAAATCAGTCAGTCAAATTGAGACATTGAGGCATATTGAGAAAAATTGAATGCTTATTCAAGAAAATACGCGGGGTCTTCGAATGCACGGAACTCCCCCCCCCCCCTCACCTCGGACTTGTTTAACACACTGCAGTGCGTATTTGAGGGCGTTTAGAGTGCTGGTGTGGCCCTTGGCCCTGCGCTCGGTGGGCAGACGCAGCTTCAGCTCCTTGATGGCCTTCATCAGATCCTTCTGGGTCTGGACCCGCGCCGACTGGTTGCTGCTGCAGCCGGAGGTGGAGGGGGGGTCGTGCTCCGAGCTGGTCGACAGCAGGCTGTAGGCCAGCGAGCTGCTGGGAGGCGAGAGGCTCTGGGAGTTGGAGCTGGGGGGGGACGGGAAAAGGGACAGAGGAACGTGAACGACGGCTTTGCACTGAACAGATGAAGCGTGGGAGGGGGGGGGGGGGGGGCGTGTCCCGTTGGTCCCAGCCCGGCGTGTCGCTCACCTCTTGTTGCTCTCTCCCGCTTTCCAGCATCATGCCGGAGTCCTTGCCGTTCGACGAGCTGTGGGAGCTGCGCACGGACTGGCGCCCGTGCGACCCGCCGTCTCTGTCCATCCCGCCTTCGCTCTCCCTCTCCCCGGAGTCGTTCCCGCTGGAGAGCCCGTCCATGTCGTCGGAGTTGGCGCCCCTTTCCCGCTCCTGAGCGCCGACGCCGGCACTGGGGGGACCGCTTTTTGGAGAGTTTAACCCGTCTGACTCCTCGCCGTGGTCGGGGATTTCCTCGTCGGCCCTCGCCATTGATTTAGAATCATCATAACTCATGCTTGAGTAGGATGAGGCTGGAACCGCTTTATTACGGTGTCAGCCGAGGAAAAACAGGCGGAGCTTTAATTTAAGTGGGACTGCTGTGTATACACAGGTGAATCATGGTTAATGGCTGATAGTTACAAGAACTAAGGAGAGAATTTCATTGCTTTTTCTACCCCCCTAAAAATATGGTCGGATCAAAAGGCTTTGAGCCCTTTGAGGGTTTTCAAAAAGTTGCAGATTATTAAATGGCTGTAAAAAGTATTAAATGTGACCAAAAAGCAGAGGTTGTCAATCCAACAAGGCTCCAATTAAATTGCGAAAAAGATGATGCTTATGAAACAGCCTTTGCACAAGTGCGCCAACAGATGGGATGAGAGATCGCAGGGGAGAGTGAGAAAAATAGCTCTTGGTGAGAGGAAAAAAATTAAAAATGCAAATCTCTCTGAATCTGTGACACTCGGGATCTGGCCTCTGGAGGTGCTAAAGGCCACCTGGAATCAGAGAGATGGACAAAGAAGGAAAACTATTAGTTGCAGGACTACAAAACGTTTGTCATGGTCTTTGAAGTATCTCACAAGCACTACAGCGATGGAAAGTTGCTTCTCAGCAGTTTTTGAGGTTGGCCTCAAAAGAAGCTTTTAGTACGGCCGTGAAATATCTCATGTGGTCCAGACAGATGTTTGTGGTTGTTGTAATAGCACCCAGCTGCCTTTAACAGATTATCTGGATTAATGCGGCAAGAGCGTTTGTAGGCATCTTAATATATAGAACAAGTGAGCATTACAAAATACAGGGGGAAATTGTCCAGTTTCACTCTGACATGGAGGACAGTTAAGGCAAGTGGAACACCAGGAGGACTTAACCAAGCGCTCCATGTTACAAATTAGGGATTGCTTCTCAATCCCATAAAAGTGTAAATCAGGCCATTACCTACGCAAGCAAATGTCTCCCGCGATTTATTCCAAGGGATAGGGAGACCCCCGTAAGCCTCAAAGCCTTAAAGCCTTGCGGACGCACACGGAAGAAGGCGGAGCCTGGCTCTGATTGGTTAATCCTTTCAAACGTGTACACCTTGACTGGCTCCCCCGAGCGTGCAGTGGTGCGGAATCTGCTCAGAGAGGTTTATTTACGTCCCTAGACTGACCGCTCAGAAATACTTCAGCTTCCTGTTTGTGACGCACGGGCCCAATACGGCTGAAGGGACCCGGGCGTACAGCGGCCACCGCAAGAGGATAAAAGAAGTGCGCACACCTGATGACGGATGTAACTCATTACACAGAGATAACAAATAAAACAACCACAACCACCTCCAATGGGAATTAGGGTAAAAACTGCTGGTATTGAGTTGAACTGATTCATGTGAGGGCCCCTTCAGTACAGCTCAGCGGCCTTCTTATCAGCCGTGAAATGATAACCAGCATGATGTTTGGTCAGACGGGTGACGCAGGTGACAAACGCCGGTCATCGTCATGATCTGGTAATATGCGAGTGGGGAGTGGCCTTCGAGGCTGACTGCCAGCCATGCGTACTTCCACGGGTGACGGCAGAGCCACACACAGCGGGGGGGAGGCTATTTTAAATACCTGGAGCCATACTGGTCCACTTACCCAGTTGGGAGGCAAACCGTTTCAATTTTCTGTAACAACGGGCAATGTCGGGTGCTTCCACATCACCGAACGTGCGTGTGTTTGGACTCTGGGAGGAAACCATGCAGTGTGCCACCCACCCGCTCATATTATTTACAGGAAATGCACTCAGTAAGACCAACCTCTGTTTATGCAAGATGTACCTATTTTAGGGTGGCAGAAAATTTGCAGCATCAGTCTAATTCACCTTTTTACTCACAAGATTGCAATCTTCCTGAAAATATGCAACGGTATCAGTCTTATTGGGCCAAAATGTCTAATATTCCCTACTTCCAACGGTGAGGATTTGACAATTTGATTAAAAGATTAAACAATTGACCGTCAATTACCACTTCACAGATTAAGAGTGAAATGGTCTGCCCAAAAATGTTTCTTGGTCTTCAGTGATTGTAATGAGAACATTTGGGGCTTATCGACTTCTGCAATAACAAGCAATATAAACATGTCATCTATGCCTGTAGAAAACAATGAATTCTCTCACTACAGATCAAAACAATCAGTTTTCTAGCTGGAGTCAATGTAACTAAATTTGATATTATGCATTGTATATTGTACTCCAATGCAAACATGTCCGTGTCCACAGGACAGTTCAAACAAATGAATTTCCATTATTAATACAAGGGCATTATCGCCCTGCTGCAATCTTCAGATGCAGGCAGCAGGGGGGCGTGGCGTAGCTCCGTGTCTGAACATGTGTGGACTTCTCCGCTTGACTGACAGGACCCGCCCCCTGGTACTTTCCCTGAGCCATGTCGGCTGCCGATTGGTCGGCTCGCTGGACCAATGACGAGGGCGCTCCCGCAGAGGCTGCCTGCGACAGGCTTCGCCTCGCGTTGACTCATGAATATTCACGATGGAGGGCGGTTCACGATCAGTGATTGGCCAGCGTACATAGATGCACATTTATGAGACGACGGGACACGCGCTCCGCATGTGTCAGCTGGACAAAATAAACTGCCCAATACACTTGTCATTACACCATTATGAACTAAATGTACATACATGACAGAACATCCGATTTGCTGTGGTTGAGATCAAGATAAATCATGCCGATCAAGCTGTTACAATCATCGAGATAACTTTTTTTTTTTACAATTTCAGCCACGATTTATGTCATTAGCAATAACTTAAAAAGCATCTCTACTCTAAGGAGAGAATTGCTGTGTCTAATGTCCAGCCTGCAGTGGGACGAGGTTCTGTGTGTCACTGTATCAAACAAGCAAGTCGCTCATTAGGTCATCAGAGGACATAACGTTATGTCCTTAGCAATATACATTGTTGATTGTTTTGGATTAAAAAAAACACATTCAGTTTTAAGTCCCTGAACTACACCTAATATTTGATGTGAACAACGCAATCAAGATTTTCTACACGGGGTGACAAGTTAAACAACTAAAAATAATATAACAACGGTTAGCCTTCACCATCAGGAACCAGAACGAGGATGCAGGAGAGACCAGGCTGCTTCCTGGCAACACCTCTTTCCCCCAAAAAAGAGAAGACTCATCGTGCTGCTGCTGTCCTGCGACACTGACCAGAGAGCAAACTAGCTTTATGATTCATTCTCATATTAAGAGTATCACAGTGGAAACTATAAGATGTTTAGTGTGTGTGATCACCTCGTTATAAAGCAGATTCCGTGCACGATTAAAAACTGCCCACTTGTGCATAAGCAGAAAGGATCATCTGGAAGGCGCACACCCAAAACTCCCTACGTGACGCATGAACTAGTGAAACGTTAACGACAGCTGAAGGACGGTTTCGTTGTTTGCGTCGATAACATCTTGCTGTTTACAATCCTGCCTGGCACGTGCTGTCGTGAACGTGTTTGGAAATAACGTTATAAGCGGTTATGGCCTCATGTTATCGCGAGGCTGCATTACAAACTAACATTACTGCACGGCACGAACGTCTAATTGAAGAGTTCAAAAGAGAGCAATAACTAACTCACGTTAAACGGGGAAACAAAGACTCAACGGCGTTCGTTTCACAACGACGTATTCTCTATAAGAAACACATCAATTTCTGCCGCTCGAGCACCAATGGCTTGAAGTGACAGCTAGCATGCTAGCTACAAACAACCACCCACCGGACTATTTAACGTTACTCGACTAAACACCACCGACTTACCGTAGATGTGCTCGCAGTGATGACAACGGCTTCGATATTCCACCGTCAGCTTCTTGAGAGTCAAAAAACGAAGGTGCACAAATCCGTGTGGCAACGACTGTGTTTGCTTGACGGTTCTGTGTTGGCTGTGAGTTTTTTTTTTTTGTTGCTCTCCCCCCCCCACCACTAGTTTACACGCAGGACTGCACGTGCCGGGCGCCTGGTCTGGCAAGGTAAAATCGAATAAGCCACCGTGATTGGACCGCGGGAGTTTGTGGCCCCGCCTAACACGTTCCGATTGGCCGAGGGGCGGGGCTAGCGGCACGCGGCTGCGGGTGTTCACGTTGCAGTGTGTCTGGTCCTGAGTTTTCCTCTACACATACATGAGGGGGCGTGGACCGCGCTCACGCTTCATGTGGCCTACTTGGTGCACCGTAATGCGTGTAGTGACGGCGCAATTTGATTCTATGTTTGGCGTTGACGGAGTTGGTCTACAATCTTATAAGCTTAGTCGTCATTCAGCAGTTGTTACAGATTCTAGGGGAATATTTAGTTATTAAGTCTAAAACTGGTCATACATTGAGGTGTATTTATGAAAAATCAGTCCTGATGACAACTTTCAAATAGTTTTCAGTTTTACATTGTTGGTTCCACATGTTGTGTTCTCCACTGTTTAATTCAATTTAATCTTTGACCTGGAAATATGACAAAACAGATAAATAAATGTAACTCATCTTTCAGAGAACAAAGCAAAGACAACAAAAGCTCACAAGGAGTTGAACTGAAGTTGGGATTCCTAATCAAACTACTATCAATGTCAATACTTTGTCCTAATGTCCTTTTATATGGATTCAAAGTCTTTCCAACTGATCAACTAGACTGTGCTATGCAGTTGAAATCTGCAGCAGTGGAGCTGTTCTTTAACGTCGGATCTTGACTTCTGTTTTTGTTTTGTTTTGTATCCTGTCCTTTCCCCTTGCGCAGAACAACACGCAGTCTATTTCCGCTGCGCATTTACTTTGTACTTACGGCTGCGGCAAAGCCTGAACATGCACAATCCCACGTGCTCTCAGGCGATGACGTCAGTTGCACTGCTTGCCCTCTCCGAAAGGCACGAGGCCGACGGTGTGGTCTGTGAGAGGCTGTAAACAGTGCAGATGTAGGACAGATGCCAGTATGTTAATGTCACAATGATTATGGTGTCATCTTTTAATAGAACCCGATTTACCAGTCACGACGCAAATAGCATTTGTTGAGCGACAACAACCAAAATATAATAACTCTTGACTGTACACATGTAAGGACATATCAATAAAGCAGCATGAGCTTCTCTCAAAGGTATACCATTCGTCAACCAATATTAGGTCATACAATAAACGATGTATAACGTCGATTCACTAAGGGACAGTAAACTCAGTTGTTTAGTCAGTATAATTGTGTGTGTTAAAGCTCTCTGTTAAAGCTGTGCAACCCTTATTGAAAGTATTGGGATGGGAGTATATTAAAGTACAAACCCTAAAAGAACTCTTCATGCAAAATGAGTCATTTCAAAATAGTATGTTATCATTTATCATAAGTGTTCCACTCCTTCACTTGCTGTAAAGGCAAAATTAATTTCAACTATGTTATGTATCGCTGCATGGCTTCATGTATAGACCTTCAGTTGATTGACTTAATTTGACTAAAGCTGCCAAAATAACATGTAAACCTGCAGTGAGACTGGTATGTTTTTGTACAGAGATCTGCAGAATAACTTACGAGTTTATACCGGCTCACTGTCGATTTAAAAAGCAAACCTTAAACCTATTTGTGTCTTAACATGGAATCAAACTAATGTAAGGAGGAGGATTGGCAAAACACGTAAAACGGTTTAATGTCAGGCACGACTGCCCTTCCCGACGATGCTTGAATCCACACGTCCTGACATCGCAGCTACTCTAAAAAATGTGTTCCCCATCGAGGTGGTGTGTTATACATTTGGAATCACGGCATCTCATTGGTTGAGCTGCGTGGAGCCATCTGGCCAATAGTCTGGTGTTTGGCAGCAGCCACCAGCAGGTGCTTCGTGTCTTTTTGGTGCAAACGGTCGGACCAGTTTACTGCACACATGTTTGCCACATGTAATGTTCGTCATTTAACACAACAGACTGGCTGCAGATGCTATTTGACCTGCAACGAGCAATATTAAATGTACATGATATTTCTGATAAAGCCCTTATGTACTTAATGAAAAGGGGACATGGCCTACGAATGTGTCATTTAACGACTTTAACGGCACTGCGTGGTTATTTTTTATGTTAATATCTTTAACGTTCTGCACACAGACGCACATTTCTTGACACATCAATGAGCTATTTGCTTTACGTCTATTCGTAATTCGAGGGAAATAGAGTCTTGAGCAGCCACTTTTGCACGATTTAATTTGACACTTACTAAAATTTGCAATCTGCAAGTGTGAGTGAGGCTGATAAGCAGATCCAAAACGTACGCACGAGCGTGTCCGATAGGGAGCAGCATTGCCTCTGGTTGTCATACGAGTGAACGCACGGCCACGCAGGACTGAAATACTATGGGGCAACAACTTTATATAAAACCAGTAGTTACTGGTATCCAGAGTGCAACCGAGCTTGAAGACTGCATGGTTTTATTTGCGTTGCACGAGTTCTTACTCTGGTACCGGGTCATCTGGTGATTACAGAGGAGCGATCACAGGTGTGCGTCATCGGCTCCATTTAAGCAGGGTGTGACAAGGGAACTGTCAAGTTGTGGAAAGAAGGGATTAACCGTTTTACATTAAATTTCTATTTGTGAATCGTCTGCTTGTAAGCCAATTGGATGCAGTTACAGATCATTTATTAACGTTTTTTTTCTTCTGTCAATTTGTTCCACTTTTTTTAATAAGTGAATCTGGCTCGACCAATGTTTACCACATCAGTTAATCCCAGTTAGCATGGAAGGCCAGTCACTGGTTTAATGTGGTGGGGGGGAAAGTGGCAGCTTGCTGTGAGGCTGCAGGGTTCCCCTTCTGCTTCACGTGCTTCGGCCTTTTATTTTTATAGATTGAACACTTATCTATGCTGAGACTGCAGCTCTTTGAACATTTCACTTCCAGTCTTTTTTTGTCATTGTCAATGTAGGATAAATGCAATGATCAAATTCACCACATTGAAATCCAAGACTTCCACTAGCGAGTTTCAACAGTCACTCTGCCAAACTAATTAGGGAGCCACAATAAGATTGAATACATCCTCACAGCAATGGGATTTATCCAGTGGGTTCCATCCAAGTTCTCTCAGCTTCCACAGTCCATAGACGAGCACCTGAACACCTTAAATGTCAGTCCTGACAATTTCAGATGGGGTCGGCGACCCTGAAATAGGATAAGGGGCTTCAGGTGGATGGATACATGCGTAGCTTCTCTGACCTTCTAGCCTTCTTCTTCTTCTATTTGACCAATGTATCTCGACAAAGATCTGGACTTTGGATTTTTTTTATTTTGCGTGTTTCTGAGCAGTAAGAAGCACCAATTTAAAATCGGTGTTGAATACCTGCAGTTTTGGCATAACTTCATTCCGACACCCGACTGCATCGTGGTGACGGGTGATGTGACCCATTTCGGCAGGTTCGAGAGGACAGCAGGACACCGGCCCACTAGGTCACCAGGTCCTGTTTGATCTGGTCCTTCTCTCTCGTGGATTGAGTGACACATCGGCAGAACAAATGGACAATGCAAATTAAAAATACAGCCACAGGTTTTCACAAACGGGAGGATTTACACACCAACTGGCCGTCTTTAGCATGCGGAAAGTGTAAAATGGCTGAGGATTTGTAATGCTCATGTTGGTGCTCAACATTTGGCTGATGAGCCCTTGTGACTGCTGCCACCTGCAGGTTGACAGAGAGAGCACAGCTGACTCATTTCTTTTAAACATTTGTTAAAAAAAACAAAAAAACATTCAACAACTCTCTTTTTTTCCCCTCCAATTTCTTGTCACACATTTTAAATTCACATTTCACCTTTTTGGGTAGATATATTCACATTTGTGGAACTGCAGTATTTACTCTTTCACTGGGTTCATGAATGATTTTGATTTTGAAATGTATTTAAGTCGCTGAAATATATATTCGGAATGAATAGAAAGAGTTAAAAAAGTTTATGTTTTGTATCTTAGTCTTGCAGAATAATTTCCACTATTGTTGAATGTGCTCAACTCTTCAACTTTGTTTGATAATTTCCTGTTATTTTTTGTACATTTTCCTTTCGTTGAATATTTCTTTTTGATCAATGTAGTTTGTCCAGGCATGATTGTGGTCACATTTATGGTTGCAGTCTTTGTTTGGTTTAAGAACAGGGTAAAAGTTGCGGTAAAATCTCTACTTTGCTTTAGAACGTCTAAAATTTTTCCCGTTTTTTGTTATGGAACCAAAAGACTCTTTTTTCCTAAAGCCAGTTCTGTAGTGGTAAAATTAGAGGTGGGTAAACTCTGAATTTTGTGATCATACAGACCTCGACGCGATGCGAAGCAACTCAACACAAAGCGTCCCGACTCTTGTAAGGCTGTCCTGGCTATATTGCATTATGTTATCAGTAAAAGTCATATACAATCAATGACAATGAATACATGTGTATGAACAACATAAGTTAAAGGAACACTCATGTACTACCTATGTCATCATAAATAGCGCATACAGGTCCGCGAAAATATTGTCTGACATGAAACCGGTCCGTGAGGTAAGAAAGGTTGGGGACCACTGGGCTGATCCACAACGTGTGTTTACACACCTCCTGGATCCTGATTGGTGTCGCTGCTGCAGCCGCAAGGCACTGATTGGATGCTCACAGACCGTAATACAGCGCAGATGAAAATGATTCAGACTACGGCGTTTATATGTTCAACAATAGGAAACGTAGTCTTAGCTGTTTTAAAATTACACCAAGTTTTTTCCGGATTATTCCAAAGGAAGAATACAAGGCGCAGGGAACTTTGAGGTGCGTAAACGCTATTTATAGGTGCGTAAACGCTATTTCCAAAATTATAGAGGTGCGTAAACGGCGTTTACATGCGTTTACCCTCCACTACAGCCCTGGTTATATTATATAGTTTATCACTATATAATCATTTTTACTTGTATTGTGACTAACCATTTAACTTCATGCCCCCTCAACGGTAAAACATATTAATTA